TAACTATATTTTATACCATCATAAAAATAGAAAGCAAGTAAAAAATCAACAGAGTCATGCCCTTTCTTCTGAATGTTACATTCCTAATCGTAGGGTGACATGATTCCCACTTCCTATCAATTGATTGCCCAACTATCGTAGTTGTGGCTTGTCCCCGGATAGGAAAGAATCCTTGGTTAAATCGCCCCACAAGCTGCGCACGGAAACTCAACCTTCACATCCGCGGACACTTTGGGAGGACGGCGCTGAACGTTGCGCGCCTGGGTACGACCTTGTGGGGTGGGTTGAGTATCATTATTTCCACTGCCTGAATTTTGGCTTTTATTAGGAGGCGCAGAATTGAGTGCAGTAGGGACATGATGAGATCGAGCGACGGTGTGGTAGGGTGGAAGTGGTAGAGGGGGGCTGCGGGGCGGTAGAGGCGGTAGAGGCGGTGGTGGTGATAAAGGGGGTAGGGTGGAAGGGGTGGAAGGGGTGGTAAGAGGGTAGAGGTAGAAGGGTGGAAGTGGTAGGAGGGCTGCGCAAGCAGCAAAGCAAGCGTAAGCGAGCGTTTGATGCTTGTTAAAGATTAAAACTATATGCAGAATACATCATATAAATATATATGATTAATTCAGAGAATGATTGCTTGGCCTGATAATTCACCTGAAACATGAAACTCATGATTTTAAAATGATTGAATTGAATTGCAGTGTAGAAGATGTCAGAGAAGAAATATCATTTGATTTCATCAGAGAGATCTGTGTGTGTGACAGCTTTGGCCTTCTCATCATATAATGATAATAATAGAGTCACTTACATATGTACAGTGTACTTGATTTAAATACTTGCTTTGACAGGCTTTCGCCTGTTCTAATAACTTATTCAGTTAAGAACCTCAGTTATAACTGCTTAATGAATGAGAGTTTAAGTTTCAGCTTCATCTTCAAATTTTTTTCAAAAATAATCTTATTAAAATAGATAATGAAATTTTTTTTAATCTGTTTATTAAATATGTTCTTAATATTATACATCTTACAGTATCTGTATTCAAAAATTTTCGGTTTTCAAAACAATTAATTACAAAGCTGCTGCAGAAACATACTGTGTTCAGACTTCTCAAATGTTATTGTAGTTCTGATAAGTCACAGGCTTCAATTGTCTCACAATCTTTTCAAAACTAAGTTTAAACTTATCAGAGTCAAAGCCAGCTTCTCTGACCCTCTGTTCTCTCTGTTTGAGTGTTAATTTCTTGTGCATGGCACAGAGTCAGTGAAGAGAATTAAAGACTATAAACAAATTGACTCTCTTTGTCAGTGAGATTAGATCTTAGAATGAATGTAATGGCACAAAGAGCTGTTGTAAAAGAAATGGCTTCATCAGATAAACCTGACAGGTTTGAAGAGCTCTATGGCATGGTGACTGCAATAGCGGGTGACTAGTGGGTGATGAGGGTGATTCAAGAAGGGCGAGGAGGGTGAGCATGAGGTGAGGCTGGGGTGAGGATGTAGCAGCGAGGGACTGGTACTAATACGGAAGAGGAAGATCCAAATCTCCGATTAACTATGCAAATAAAAGAAAAACAAAAAATCAAATGAAATGAAATGAAAATGCCATGTATAAAATTCCATATCTATCTATCATCAGTTCGTTTTCCGCATAATACCCAAACAGCGCCATTTCCCATTAATAATGCTACCACCTTTCTCTCCCACATCCCTGCCACGGCCGATAGTCCCAGCAGGAGAAACGCTACTACTCTCAATCCACTTCCATTTCACTCTGGAACTAGAACCAGAACGCTGTTGAGACTGAGCCTTTGTCTCCTTGCCGCCGCGGCCGCCGCCGCCGCCACCGTCCTCGTCGTTCTGGTCATGGTCACCGTCAGGCACATCCATTCGAAACCGCCGAACACTGCCCTCATACATCTCCTTGGCCCCCTTCCCCTCTTCGAAGAAGGGTATCCGGCTCCCGCCCGGCTGGCACCAGCTGGGCGCAATCTTCCGCCACATACCCCTCACGCCACGGGTTGAGCGGTCGATTTCTTCGTACTCGCGCCTGCGGGTTGATGGGGATGTCCAGTCTATGACTGTCGCGGGGATGGGTTTGTACGGTCCGTCGGAATCTGCCTGGTGCAGAGCAGCGGTGGAGGTGGCGTCGTGACTTACTGGGTCCCAGGTGCGATGTCGCTGCGTTCCAGGGGTGGAATTTCCGACGGGGGATGATAGGGAGGTGGGTGATGAAGGGGTTGTTGATGTTAGGAGGGGTGCTAGGGATGGAGATGCGGTGCAATATGATTTGCTGGTTTCAAGGGATGTGATTCTGTTGGTGAGTGCGCTGCTCTCCGTCGGCGAAGTAAATGATCTGTCATGTGTTTTTGACCTTTGCCATGAATGTTTCGAATCGTGGGATCCTCTGCCGTCTGCCGCGTCTGGCTTGCTGCTGCTGCTGCCGCCGCCAGCTTCGAATACACGGCAGCTATTCCTATGGAGCGATACAAGATCTTCTTTTCTGTGGTATGGATCAGAATCCCCCTTGCGTAGCTTTGGAGAGTGGATTTGGGCATAAGTTCCGGCCTTATGGCTACTGTGGTACTTCGACGACTTGCGGCGGGTCGCGGATGATGATCTGGATGTAATTTCCTGAGATGATGAGCGATGTCCGCCCGTTGAACAAGAAGAGGTCCTAGATCTACTGGCACTCTGTTTCGATTCGGTGTGGAGGCGTTTTCTGGAACGGGAAGGTGTATTTGACCGGGCTGACGAGTCTGCTGGCGTCTTGATCAAACGCTGCGACTCATCATGGCGTGTTTCATTGCTCGTTGCGGAAAACTGGGTCCCTGGCGTCAAGGAACCTAGTTCTGATATTGCTGGAGAACGACTCTGCTGCATGTTGACATCGGTAGCCTCGAGAGCGGGATAATACTTGGGTTTGGCATGGGAACTGATGCTATATGATGATTGTGCTGCGTTTGGTTCAGCAGTGTAGTGCGCGGGCACGAAGGCATCAACGGTAGCATAGAGCTTGTCATTGTGCTCTGGATGTGGGGGGATATATAAAAAGGGCGAGGTGATGCTGTCCTCACGTATATGTACGGGAGAATGGCTTTGATGCTGATCGACCTCAGAATCACTCCCCGTCTTGCATGTGAAGGTACCCATGCTTAGTCAGGGCATTCACCGGGCTGTTGGCTGCTATACGATTCGGTATGGAGTGAGATGCCCGAGAAACTGGGCAGCAAAGATATTATTAGCAGATGGTGTCTGGAGGCGTTTGATGCGCAGACCATCACATGGCGCAAAATAATTCCGTCAAACGTACCAATTAAACCGCGCATGCGCAGTTTCAGGTTGTCTCTGGACAATGGAGTTTCGACCACGAGAACTAGCCACTTATATATGAGGTAGATAACCCCGCGTCGTTTATGCAGGAGTACTCAGTATAAATAAGGTAGGGTAAATAGGACAGACACAGAGAGAGGGTACTTTGAAAGTAGAGCGATAAAGGCACAAGATGTAGAAGTTCAGAGTATGTAACTTATATGTGCAGAAGTTCAAACTTTCTTACTGGAGTTCATATGGGCGTTTCCAGTATCATGGTATATTAAAAAGAAAAGATAAAAAGCAGAAAGAAGAGAATGTGAAATATAGAAAGCTCTATGTGATCAAAAATGATGCTTAAAATATGCAACAAACAGGAAAAAAGAAAGATCACTATCTGAACAGAATGATCAACATTCTGAGGTCTGGTCACAAAAGAGAGAAGAAAAAAGAAAGAGAAAAAAAAAGGAAAGGCCTCTTGCAGCAGGGCGGCAGACACCTGTTGTGGGGGGGTCAAACAGGTTGGACTGAGTCTGGTGATATCAGTAATAATAAGAAGTCATGAAAGAAATATTCGGGGTTGTCAAAGGACATACATATATATACGGAGTGGAGCGCCCACCAACAATGCCTAAGAATAACCATACCATACCAACACATTTATTATTATTTATCCAGAACAAGAGTCCCACAAAGGGAAAAAAAGGAAAAAGAAATAGTCAACGAAAACTTCGGCATATTCCCAGGTCCCGCTTTTAGTTTTTGTTTTGTAGCCCTCTCTCAGGCGCCCATTGTTGCTTCATCCACAACGGTCCACAACCGGTTGATTCGACAGCATTTTGTGGCGATTTGCCGCCAGGGTCTTTGAAAATGTGACTACGGAGTATGGGTCCTGGGAACGAACGGGGACCACGTTATGCGCCCGGCGAGCGACGCTGGCGAGCAGCTGCCGGGAACTTATAACTTATTCCTCCACATGAGTGGCCAGAATCGACTCAAGGCGAGGGCACCAAAAACAACAAAGCCGGCTGGTCGAAGGCGCGCTGGGTTGTGGACCGTCGAGGCATTCGAGAACCAAGCAGAGGCAGAGTGTGTCAAATAATACATGGTCATTCGGGACCTTATCTGTGGCTTGTTTTACAGAATAATGCGCCACCGTTTGTTGGGCCTTGCCGGGGGGGGGAGTCAAGATCAAACCTCATAGAGTCATTACTGCGTAGGTCGTTCGTTGACTTAGCGGGGGGGGGAGTTAACGAACGGTAAGTTAGAACTTAACTGATTATTAGAAGAAAGTGAAACTGAAACAGATCAAATTGGCTTGAACAAATGGAATAATATCATACATAAATAATCCATGCTTGTTCTGCTTTTGTGTTGCCCGGATATAAAAATAGAACGTCAATCAACATGGGGATAACCAAGCTTGCTGCCAATTTCATTCATTATTCATTTCTCCCGCCGAAACGAACACTGACGGGTATAAGTTAATAATAAGAATAATGTCCCACTGAGCAATTGCAGGGACACCGCCGACAATAATAATCCTCATTTTTTTTATTTCCTTTTGCCGCAGACTGAGTGGGTTCGATTGACGGGCCAGTTTTGCAGCTAGAGAAAGAATAGGCTTAACCCAGCCACACCGCCAGTCAAGGAATCCACAGAAGAAAAGCTTCTGAGAGCGGTGACCAGCCGCTTGCAAGAGTTGGCCCCCGCTATCGTTTAGTTACGTTTGTTGGCAATATCAGCGTGTTTTTTCTCAGTATGGATTGAATTTGCACCCCTTTTGGCTTTTGGTTGGTTAGCAGAGGTTGGGTTGACGGCAAAAAAACCAGAACGCCCAAAGCTTCAATAATAATAATAGTTAAAAAGACTGTCTATCACACTGTCCAAGTGTCCACCGCCTTGACAATCCCCATTTCATTCCGAATCGATAATGGATTTGACTGGGTTGCTCCTCGTCAAAAAGCATACGAATTGTTTGTTCCCACTATACGGAGTACACATCCAATCAACAGTACTCTGACACCCTCAAACGGCGCCCGTGTGAATACCTATAAGGTCATGGCTGCTGTGTATTTATTCTGTGGTTCAATTCGTGCTTGCATCTCTGCATATAACCGTTCTCCCCTCCTCTCTCTTTGCGAAAACTGACTGACCTGCCTTGGCTTTGGCCAAACAGTAGGTAGGCACGGCACGGCTGCTTCTTCCGATTGGTAAAATGCAAGGGCATTGAATACCGGAATATTAATATTATTATAGGAGAAACATGAGATCGTCACAGGGGAATGGGATGGTTATGTTATGGCATGGAACAGATAAAATTAAGGGACCTAAATATACAGAGAAGAAATTAGAAATTAATTTGAACAGTGAAATAAATACTGCAGAAAAGAAACCCCCTCCCCCCAATGCTATCTATCTCTCTGATACTTTGCTACCCTCTCTCATCATAGTTATTAGTAGGTTTATGGAGTATAGTATGTGTACATATATTCAACCATAGACCTCAACAGACGTTCCTACACTTACATATCGTCCAAAACCCCATGGGCTGTAGGGAGGAATCGAGTTCCTTGCATCGTCGTCATTGATAACGGGAGCATAAAAAAAAAAAAAAAAAAAAAAGATATTGGTCCGGCAGACACACCGGATGGATGGGCGGGCCTCTTGAGGTTTGCGGTTGTGCATGTACCAGTAGAGGGATATTATTAATACATACAATGCACTGTACATGGACGTCTTATGTCGAGAGGATAGGAAATTTCGATAGTTGTTGAAAGAATTGTGTGTTTAGTCTCTCGCATATTTTTTTCGGGATTCTGATTGATTTTCTATACGGGCATCACCAGAAGCGGGGGAGCGAAATATTTACTTGTAAACTCAATGGCTCTGATATTTTCAAGGATGTATGTATTTCTCAACTGATGTTGATTGTTATTCAGCTATTTAATGCTCATAAGTAACGCATATCTCATATCTCTCGAGCTCAACTATCGTCTCCTTTGCCTACGCCAGATTGCATGGACCCTATCATAACAAGTCACAAGCAAAGTGAGCAGGGAGTCTTATGAGAGCCAGCCTCACTGATAATAGTTTTAAATCTTCCTCTGCCTACCGGGATCTCTTGAGATAGACATGGTAAATATGCGTGCGGACCAGATATTATGCATTAGAATCAGCTACGGGTGGAACACCTATGGAGAGAGCACACACTCTCCCTGCTACGCTGTTTCCCCGCGATATTTTGCTCGTTTAATGACCGACACATGAGAGAGTCTGAGGTAATGAGGTACGACCGGTCCCATAATAGCTAGGTGTAAGGACACATCATAACTGAGCATGTGGTTGGTATCAACCAAATAGCTGAGGGAATATCGTATCATATATGACGAGGTAAGATGGGAAATCTAGCCCCTGCTCGTCTTGCGTTCCTTTTTATTTGTATTTTTTATCTTTATCTTTATCTATTTATTTATATATATATATATATATATATATTTTTTTTTTTTTCACGCCTGGTACCCCTTAACCCTCTCCAAATACGCCCGCCACCCTTCCTCCCGATACCTCTGAACCGCCTCCACAGGATCCAACGCGGCATATATACCCCGGCCCGAAATGATAAAATCCGCACCCCTCCCCACCGCCGACGCGGGAGTCTGATACTGCTGCCCCAACGCATCCCCGCTCGACGACAAATTCACCCCCGTCGTAAAGACCACAAAGTCTTCTTCTTCTTCTTCTTCTTCTTCTTCTTCTTCTTCTCCTCCTCCGTCTCCTTCTCCACCGCCAACCGGCAGCACCTCATTAAGCGCCCTCGTCGCCACAAACCCCAGCACAAACCCACGATGCTTCCTAGCCGCCTGCACCGACAACTCCGTATAGGGTCCCGTGGCCATCGAGCCCTTGGACGTCATCTCCGCCAGGATAAGCAGCGCGCGCCCCTCGGCGGCATACGCTCTTTGGAAAACGGGGGAGGAGGCGGTTTGGGCCAGGGCGTCGACGATGCCCGGGCCGGCGAGCATGGCGCAGTTGACGATGTGGGCCCATTCCGAGATGCGCAGGGAGCCGCCGTGGTATTGTTTCTGGACGGTGCTGCCGATGTCGACGAATTTGCGGTCTTCAAAGAGGAGGAAGCGGTGTTTTTTGGCGAGGGCTTGGAGGCTGGTGAGGGTTGATGGAGTGAGGTCGGTGAGGATGTCGATGTGGGTTTTTAGGACGGTGATGTAGGGGCCCAGGCCTGTTTTTAGGAGTTAGTCTTATTATTGTTATTCTTCTTCTTATTAATATCATTTTATTATTTCTTATTCTTTCATTATAACCGTTTATGTTTTTGGGGAAGCTGTCTGGTGGTTGTAGAAGGAGATATTGGAAAAAAAAAAGGGGGGGGGGGGAAAGCGGGATAATTCTCACAGCCCCTCAATTAAAAATGAGGGGAGGGAAAATCTTTGAACGTACGGTCAGCTAGATCCAGCAACTCTTTCGTAGTCGTCACATCGGCGGAGACCACGACATTTGATTTCTTATCCTCTGCTATTTGGAAAAGCTGCTTGGCCAGTGGATTGCTGTGCCGGCTTGCCCGCACGGAGTATGGGAGGTGAGATTTTGAAGACATTTTTTTTCCCTTTCTCTTGGAAGAGGCGGGTTGAGATGCGCCGGGCGAAAAAAATGAACACTCGCGTGGTTTGATTTTATTTGCGCTTTTCTTCTTTTTTTTTTTTTTCTTGTTCTGTGCTCTCTTAAACAGCTTAATCGGTTCGTTCTTCTATGGGGAATTTAACAATGAGAACGCTGCTGGACTATTTATTTATTGAGAGTTATCTGAAAGAAAGCTTCTGCAGCTTGATTGGCCAAACGCTGGATTGTAGCAAGGTCAACAACTCCCCTTGAAGCCGAATAAATGAGCAGTTCTTTACATCTTTACAAATAAAAGTTAAACGATTAAATAAAAAGTAGAAGAAGGTTCAGTAAGTAGAACAGAAATTCTGTTCTGACACATTCATGAATTACTAACTAGAAAGTTCTCAACATACAGTTGCTAAATTTCATGAAGAGATTCAGTTGAAAAATAAAATAAAAATAAAATAAATAAATAAATAAATAAATAAAAAAATAAAAAAAATAAAAATAAAAAAAATAGAGAAGTTCACTTGAGAGTGTTTAGATAGTCTCTGAAAGTTGTAGATTAAACATCTTCACCGAGAGACAATGGTGTAAGAATATAGACTGTCAATCATTCATTCATATAATCTCAACATATCACTTGGAATCAATCTGAGTAAGAAAAGGAAACTAATTAGTGGGAATTTGAGAGTAATATTATAAACAATCAAGAATAGAAGTGCAATTTCATGAGTATCAAAGGTGCGCCCTAGATGCCTCTGATAAGTGATCATGGCATCTGTTTTAGTTCCATACATACTACTCCGTACCGAGCTACCGATGCATCAACACGCCTCTCCCCGACCGTGAAGAAGGTTGATAAATGGGCACAGTTGCGTAAGCAATAATAATAAAAATCCTCCTCTGGATTATTTCGTGCGTCCTACTTGGTATATGCGCACCCCAGCAGTCACTCGCTTAATGAAAGCGTGCCGTGGAACCTTCTTAGTTCTGCTTAGTGTACACATAAGGAGTAACTGTCTAGTGAATTAGGGATAAAGGTGTTGGTGTTAGTATTTATCCTCGACGAACGCGAAACCACGGCTTAGGATATTGAGCGGAGAATCTCAGCCAGTGCGCGCGCGAGTTTCGGGAGATCCATCATCCTCAAAAGTCGCGACCCTGCTGATGAATCTTGACCCAGATTTTTAATTTCGATCTCATATCGGTTATAGCAACTGCCCCATATATCCACTAGCATATTATACATCAGCACGGCAAGTGGCTTCATGTTTTGGGAAATTTCTTGGGAATTGCCATGGCCAGGACGATTTTCCATGTGTCCCCCTGGTCATGAAGCGTGTCATAGATGCGATTATGTGCCTCGATAAAAAGCTAACAGCCGTGGCACGAAAGTTTACTGACTCCAAGGTAAGAATAGGCTTTGGCAAGGGATGGGTTCTCCGATTCCGATGCTGGAATAAGCAAGAGAAGTTTAATCTCGCAGTGGGTTACCAGATCTGTGCCTATCTGGTTCTTAGCATATATACGCTGTATCCCGTGTGACAGTTGATACCTTTAGTAACTTTTTCTCCTGCCTAAGGCGGGTTTCTTTGCGTAATTTGTTTCGTCGTGACAATGCTCTTTCGAAAACGTCTTCCCAATCCTTCGCATTTTTGCGGTATCGTGTGGGCTTTTGACATGGTTGCTGGAACAGCGTGGAGGTTGAATTCGTAACGGAAAAGATGACGGCATTGAGGTGACCATGAGACCTTCAGAATGTTATCCACTTCATTCATGGCAACAGCAACAGCAGCCTTCTTGAAATAGGATTCCCAGTGGTGGAAACCGCTTAACTGCAGGCGCTCGTCAGGTGTAAGGCCATCTTCTTTGGAGATGTATTTCAAACCATCTTGGCACATGCGGAACAAAGCAATCATCAGCTTCCAGGCTTCTGCATCATTCTCGTCTGGTTTCCCATAGATGGCACCCTGGTTTCTCGTAAAGTACTTTTCTAGTGCAATGATGGGCCTTAGAAAACTGTTGCAGGGGATGGTCCTCGTCAAACTCGGTTAGGTCGAGCCCTCTAAAGAGCGAGAATCTGCCATTGACGCGCGTTTGAATCCTAGCGAAGTTGAACTGGAGACACTTCGTTCGGAAGTTGAAGACGAGATTCTGAAGTTCTCGGTTTTTTATTTCGTGAGTGGGAGTTGACTCCTCACTACTTGCTGGATATAATTTGTGATAGCGAACGGATAGATATCTCTCTTGGTGCTGTCCAAATCCATTTTGCATGCTCCTCACATGTTACGGTCGGGACAGTCGTATTGCTACTGATCTTAATGGTAATCTTTTCTGCGGTTGTATCGACACGGAGAGCGGTGGCAATGACCTCATGGTTCGCGTTAGAAACGAGGAGGCCCGCGAGCGAGTCCAACAGCTTGGTTATTTAACTTCCCAGGAACGGAACGCGGGTAGGGGAGGACAGAGGTACTAGTTCTTCTGTGTCAAGGGAGGACCTATTTATTACTCGGGAGCTGGGCTCTGTCTCACTTCTCCAACTCTCCTATGGCGGCGATCAGATTTTAGATATCTGAGGCTGTCGCTGGCTCTTCAAAGGATTTCGGTAGGCGCATGTCGTCTTGCTGGCGTTGCTCTATAGCTCTGATTTGCGCAGTGACATCGACCTGCCTCAGATACCCCAGCCATATTATTGTCTGGTGGGGGGTCTGTCCACTGAACCCTGGTCATGATGGATATGTGTACTACTATATATATGTGTACTTCGGCCACTTGGAAGTTTAGGAATCGGTGTCGAAGCTTGACCCGATACGGTAGGTTTTTGTTTTTAGACTGACTTCGCTCTCAGCACGTCGTAACCAGGTGTATAATTGATAAAGTTGACTCCCCCCGCCTTTATCAAGCTCAAAAAATAAAATCACGCCACAGCTTCAATTAGCTTCGGTTGACAAAGATTTAAGAAAAGTGTAGAGTGAGGGGTTGCAGATTCAACATTGCCAAGGATTCAATTGTATGTAATGGATGAAAATATAAATACAAACCCTTGCACCGGTTCACTCCACTTCTGAGTGAAAAATAAAAATATTAAAAAGAAAGAGAGTAGAAAGATAGAAAATTTTCAAAAAAGCACAGCCTTACGATCCCCAGAAATTGTCTCCCTTCACCATCGAAAACGCAACACCAAAAGCGCTAAGGCCCCAAAGGCCAAGCTGCGCAAACGTATGCAGCGCACCGATATATCTCCCCTTCCCGTACGGCTTGTCAGAGTATACGTAGCCGTACATATACAGGGCGCGCATGACGATCCAGGTGCCGGTCAGGGCGATGGTGGCGCTGGGGTATTTCAGCCCTGCGACGAGGGCGGAGAGGGTGGTGAGCGGCATGTGTTCAAGGAAGTTGCTGTGGGCGCGTTGGGCACAGTTGAATCTGTGGGCGGCGGGCTGGAGAGGGGATAATTGGAATGTTAGCGGTTGACGGTTCTTCTTCTTTTCTTCTGGTTGAGGGGGAAGACTGAGGAGATGATTTATGAGTTGTGCGGATGCAACGTACGTTCTGCTTGCACTCCTCAGGAGTTGCGTAGGCATGGGGATACCTGATGCCAGACTTTTGGCGGTTCTTCCCGACGACGAAGATATGGACGAAGTTGAGGAGGGGGATGACTCCTACGGCGAGGGCGAGGACATTGCTGTTGGGCGGTTGTTTGTTAGCTATGGATAGCCTGTTCAATTGGAATGCGATGCGATTGTGATTGATGATGATGATGGACGCTGGATGGGATAGAAGGGAGGGAGGGACATTGGAGAAATGAGAAGGGAACGAAATTGAATAGCATTGCATACCCGTAGTTATCTGGAAGAGTGATGGTAGTAACCATTTTTGCAATTGATGCGGGATGGAATTGTTAGGCGAACGATAAGTTAATACTCTGGCAAGATGGATGCAGATGCAAGTGTTGAATTGGTTCTTCGTTCTCCGCACGAGACAGTTGGAGGCGGGGAGGAGGACGAGGCCACTTATATATAGTTACAGCAAAATAATACAAAATTAAATGGAAGTCTCAAACTCTGTTCCCGTCCCACCCACAGGCGTATCGTATGGCAATTGCCATTGATGATAATACTGGTCAGGCTACCTTGGTATATCCACTATCCAACTCGATCTCTCCATACCGCAGCTTGGCGCCAGTCCGCGATGACATGTTCACATCTACCTAAATACCTACAGTATTATGAGGTTGGGGGGTATGTTATGTTACACAGCTTCGGGCATAGTTTGATCTTATTTCGGATTACAACAATGCATGGAATATCCTAGAATAAATTAATTATGCATGCTTTTATTTAATAGCTGTATGAGCTCGGAGCTTCAGTCTTAGCGCCGGCACAACATCATCCCGCGCCCTCCTGCCCGATGGGACAACAAGGTGATAGCCGGGCGAACAGAGGGTGTTACAATGAGCACCCATCATTGATACTGATTGTATTAGCAATCAGGACTTCCTCCTTGAAGATTTTATGAAATAGTGACTTCACATCAAGGGAGAGCTCTATATCTATACTCAGCTCAGAGGGAACTTTTTATACCAACCCCCCGAATGGCCAGGGTGCAAACAAGTCAAACACTAGACAACTTGCTACACGACACGGCCCGTCACTTATCCTCACAAGTTGATCTTTAGTCCCAGGAAAATGAGGTCTCCATACATACATACACCTTTCCCAACAGTGATTCCGTGGCCCGGGAAATCGATGATCTTTCAGATAATGACATCGCTCGTCCCGGCAGTAACGTAATCAACCACCCAACGCCCGCGTATAAGTTACCCAACGCCCGCCCAATCTTCATTTTTTCATCCATCTTCAAACATTCACAACATGCATCATGAAGCAGTTATACAAGCAGCAATTGATGATTTGAATGCACAATTGATCCCTAATTATACTGAGACTGCTAAAAAATATGGAATCAGTTGATATACATTATCATGATGTTATAGAGATGTTCAAACATCAAGAAAGAAAACAAGCTCTACTCACTGTAAATGTAAGAAATCCCGCTCCTCGCGGATCCTTTACCCCTATTCCTATCTCTCGCGTAACCAATAGGGTTAGCGGCCCTTGGCTACACACAACTATATAGACTGGAGTTCGCGAATACTATTTGTAACTCAGCTTGAATGCTATTATATACTTAATCTCTACATTTTATCTTTCTACTGTGAATACTTCTAGTAGCTATCAGTATATATTATATCAAGCTGCAAATACCTGAATAATTGTCTGTGAGTACTTATTCTTATATTTCAAGCTCTATCAGTCAGCAATCATCTGTTATAACTGAAAGAACTAGAAACTTATATACTTTAATCTCTGTGAACTCTACTGCAGATATTCAGAAGTAGCTATCTGAATCATGAATAATCTCTGTAAAAGAAGTCTTAGAGAACTTATTAATTACTCACAGAATATTATTCTCTATATCTATAATAGAGAAACTCTTGCGGTAGGGGGATGGTTCCGATTTTCAAGGCCAATGCTAACATTTTCGAGAGGACAAGGGTTTGAGTGAGCTTGCGCTCGTACGACCAACCGCCTTGCGTGTTATTGGCGTGGTGGATGACCCCCTTAGTTGCATTCTCGGCCACATAGATCCCCCAATGGTACTCAACCGCAGCAACTGAAAGAATGAGATAAATCCCGTTGGCTTCCATGGTGGTATGGGATCGATGGTATGGGGTCAGACGGGATAGATCGAAAACGCTGGAAACCGTCGATTGAAAATGCGATGAGCTCAGGACGTAAAGCCCGCCAGAGTTGTCGGAACGAGGTGTATGGACCGAGACGACGAAGACAGGAAAGGGCTGGACTTTGAATGAAGAATTGGCAACGAAGTATGCCGCGAAAGGGGGGAGTGGATATAGGGTTCTGGATACTGGGGGCAACGGTTGAGTATAAGATTGGAGAATCGATTCTGGTTCTGTTGGTTTGGATTTGAAGACATCCAGGGACGAGGGCAGAGTTAAGGCGCTTTATATAGGCGATCCTGCGAGGCGGCCCATGACTCTCCCATCGGTTGTCATCGTTCAGTAGCATGTACAGAAGAAAGGAGGGCGCAGTCCTCAGTGGAGACATGAAAGAGGACAGGCGTACGTTCCTTGGAGAAGGTTGTCGGCGCGTGCGGTATCCAGTAAAGCAATGGGAACCAACAGATGGTGTTTCCCACCATGACGCAGAATGCGCCCTGGACGTTTTGGGACAGGGGTATTGCCATCTAAGGGTTTCCATTGGTAGTGAACGTGAAGCGCTTGCCGCGATCGCCTGCGCCGTTGCTATCGTGTTTTGTGTATGGCCTCTCGACGGCCAATGAATCTACCGCCGGTAGCATATGAGCGCGACAGGTTATATTTATAGGTGCATTTCCTATAAATGTAGAAAGAAGAAATGCTGATGAGTTTCATCCTTCTTTCAGGTTATGAAGTCTAAAACCAATCCTAGCCAAGCCTGTTGGGGCAGGGGGTTATTCTGGGCACTGGCCACTTGAAATCATTGATTACGGGGAATAGTGGGTTGATTAATCGAAATCTTCCTTTGGTTTCTTCTTTACAATGGTCAGCAATGCTCAACACCATATCTGAAACTGAAGTAGGAAGCGCTTCATGCAGCAAAAATGTAGATCAGAAGGGACAGGTATGGGCTTGGAGTACCCGTTCAGCTCTCCATTCATCAGGGTATTCAGGGAACGCCTTTTTCATCGTTTCCAACCAAAGCTGCCATCCGTACACAACATAGCACGCCTTGCTGTACTCCCAATACTCAGGATACCAACCTGCAAATTCCCAATCAACAAACCCAGATAATCTACCACTATGTACCAGCACGTTTCCTGGCTTGAGATCCGCATGCGTGAAGAAAACACGGTATGGCCGGGAATGTACCTCTGCAACCAGAGCTCTATCAGCGTCTTCTGGTGGAATCAGGCTAGAGATGCTCATGAGACGCTTGTTCAGATCCTCAATTTTGTTGTAGGGTCCGTTCCCGCCATTGTCATGGTCAATTCGACTCGCGACACTCTCCACCAAAGTGGGCTGCAGATAAGATGGGAATAGGGATTTGGGATAGATCGAATTTGCTCCACATAATCCCTAAAATCAATGCTGAACTGCTCTAGTTGTTCAGCATCCATCAACGGGAGGCATTTTCCCGCAATGTCACCCTCGATGCGAGTGGTCAACATCCAACACTCTTCTGCTGCTGGTAACTCGATAAAATCAAGAACCCGAGGTGCATTTAATGTGGTGTGTTTTGCCACCAATTCAAGTGCACGCGCTTCGTTCACGAGACGCTGAGACGGGGCCCGTTTGAAGGGTAGCCGTTGAACATTAAGCACACCGTAAGTCCCGGTACCGTAGAGGTATGTACCAATTGGAAGGAGAAGGCGATAGAGAAAGAGACGGGCGGATTGTGGGACAAGATGGTAGAGTTGAAGTATTCTCAAGGGCGGCTGAGACGACGCGCTGGAATTAGCAAAACCGTAGGTGATAGGAGGTGAAAACGGGAAATTTTGACGTAAATACCTGGCCCATATTTTCAGAAGATCCTTTGCTCTCCACCGAAAGAAAACTTTGTTAGCTGGCCAACCGCTGAAAATCCTTTTCCCCCTTTTCGTCAAAGCAGCTTTTGTGCCAAAGCAAACTGAATGAATCGGGGCTCTCCAATCGACCGATAGCCATCAACAACGTGATCGGGTGAGTGTTCTCTCTGTAGGCTACTTGGGGCAAAAGAGCTCAGTCACCACCAGCGCTGCTGGTAGAAGGGCCGATCAACCCCCGGGACCCCCAACACTCTCCCACAGGGGCCACGGTAACACCAGGAGCGTACTTTTTCATCACTAGTTACCGGCCTTGCTCACTGTGGACGCTCTTTCAAGAGGCTCACCCATAATAAAACTATCGTCAAATATTGGATGGAGTGTCACAGCAGATGAAGGTTGCAAATCAGAAACATGCCTATCTTCATTCACGTGGGACCAAAATCAAACGTTCCGGAAGTCTACCGATATTTCACAAGGTCCAATATTGGATATCTGGTTATGGAGTTCATTGATGGCATTTCATTCGAAAATATCATGCCCCAGGAAAATCCTGAAGTCATTCAAAATTTGGCTGAAGCAATTATACGGTTTCGCTACGAAAGTTCCACCAGACTTCCCAGGGCCTCGGACTCGCGGGATACCTCGAGGGTACCTGTTTTCTGAGGACGGGGCTGGAAAATCACTCAGCTCAATGAAAAGTCTTAATTCATGGCTGGGTGAACGTGCCCGACTTACTGCTTCGGAAACCGCATTTGATTTTCAACTTTCCGACTTTGTGTTCTGCCATATGGATCTTAGTCGACGGAATATCATTCTTCAAGATGGGTGTATTTATCTTTTGGACTGGGAATATGCGGGCTTTTATTCTCGAGAGTTTGAAAAATACTCCATCCTATTTATAGGACAGAAGGAAGACCCCAATTTCGCATACAATCTCACAAATGCGCTTGACTCTATATATCAAAAAGAGGGTATGAAAACTAAAGATGGACATATAATTGGACTTTTGGATCGAGTTTATCAGAACAATTTGAAATATATTTTGTATGTCTCCTCAGAAAGCATTGATGACACTTGAACTAACGAAGTCAACAGTTCCAATCCACCGGAGATAGACTGGGAATCAGTGAAGCAGTTTGATTTGCTTATTTGATGTACCATGTGTCGAGTAAATTTTACATCAGCAATCAAATAGCTCTAGTAAAATTCACCAATTTCCATTGGATCTGGGAGCTGCACAATGTGTCCTTGGGCGTTTCTATGGTATCGATTTTGCATGCGTTGCATGAACCCGTTCCTCTCATTATCGGAGAGCGGAATATATCCTTGACTCGTCATATCCAAGAAGACCGTTCCCCTATAAGATACGTTAGATGAATCAAGTTTCAAGAAAAAGGTTCTGCTTAGCCGACATACATACACTCAATAACGACAGCCATTTCCAGAACCTGTCATTTGATACCTGGTGCATCCCTTCACCTGAATCAATTGGAGGCAGTGCCCTACTTTGGGATTGGCGCAAGTATGATAATCAAAGTATGTAAGCCTTGAGTCTGATAGGGCATAGGGGTGCAATGTCGCGCTGAAAGTCCCATTTTCATCGCCACCATTTGCAAGAGACATGTTCAAGCGAACATATGATGTTTCACCCTGGAGAATCAGGTATATTGACCAATGGTTTCTGCTTTTACCCATGGTGTGAACCACAAATCTGACCTTGGCAACAGTCATATCGTTAAAGTTCATTTTTGGCGGTCCAAGAGACTGTGGTGCAAAAGACCAAAGCGGGGGAGGATGAAGAAAGCATGCGCTTTGACAAACTTTCCGCCTGACAAACCTTCAGATCCCTGTTTGACGCTTACATGAATTATACAACAACCCTCTGTTCATGGTATTGTTCAGTACCAATAAATTAAACTCTAGGAACATGCGCGGTAATCTATGGTTTAGGAAGTGTCTTGGCAGCGAGATGTGGTTAAAATGGAACCCGAATTTGGTAGCTTCTATGGCTCATTTTGTTGAACGGTGTAAAGTTTGCTTGATTGAAAATTGCTAGACGTGAACGACATGGACGGCGTCGCGCCTCTCGTCTGCTGGGATGGCTTCAGGCCACATATACAGGAGCTGATATATAGTTCTACAGCTATAGCTATACTGACACACACTATGACCTTTGAGGCTGTTCCAATCAGAGTCGAGAAGGTGTCGCATGTTTTCCATGCAATTACCCTCGAGGGGAGCTTCCGCGCGAGTAGTCTCGCTCGTACTGCATCGTTTTTGTCTATGCTGCCAGGGATTTGAGTTCCTGCGCCAAAAAGCAAGACTGCGCTCTTCAGGTTTGGACACGTAGCGATTTTACGTTCGCGAGTTTTTTTTTTTTTGGTTGCCGGAATGATACCCTTTGTATCACGCATCTGTTCCAAAGACGTACCCAAATGGTAGTAGGCTGCTGAGATTGGGAGGGGGATCTCGGGTAACCGAGCATGAACAAGAGCTCATGTCTGGAGGGCCTAGGGTTTGTGGTTCCTGGTGTCAAGTTGTTGATATTCGTTTGCATCGAGTGTTTCAAAACCAGCAGCTAGCATAAACTAGCCATCATCCCTCAGGAGACCTAGCACATTCCCGATGTTGGTTCTCAAGGATGCGACAAGAGCTCGTCCTGATTTCTCAAAGGGATTGCAAGCCTGGTCCATGATGCTCTGAAATGGGTCAGGTGAATCCACGTAGCCAAGTAAGCTCTTTGACAACGTCCTCTGCGGTGAGAGGCACAGCTCTGCCGGGAGGCCCATGACCCGTTCGACGCTGCTGATACTGTGCTGGGCCACTTGAACCACGATTTTGATATACAAGTCGCCCTTGATGGGCGGTAGGCCGCTAATATGAGTGAACCCCGGCAAATTCTCAAAGAAGCCGAGGATATCATGCAGGCCCATCAAGAACCGGTAGACGTGAAAGAAGATGGAGTCGTATATCTGTAGCAGTTGTATGTGGCCAGACAAGCACATGAGCACGACCGGTGTGTTCAAAGGCGACGATCCGTGATCCTGGATTGGCGAGATGATTTGCTTGACAATGGCCGCCAATTTGGAGGTACTCTCCAGGGCCCGGAGGATGGGGTTCACCTGCAGATCCACGACCTTGTCAACACATGAATGGATGAGATTTGGAGGGGGAATGCTTAGAACGAAAGTGTCCATGTGCGAAAGCTGATGGGCGATGTCTTCGTTGAGGCGAGCAAGCCGGGCGAGGGCGCTGCTCGAGCCGAGACACGGCTCCGACAGTCTACTTGCGATGTTAAGGGCGTTGCCGGGTAGAGATTGAAGCTGAATAGTAGGGTCAACGCAGAAATCTAGACTGTTGTTACCAGGCAGAGCGGGAAGTGATTTTGGCGCCGGCTGCTCTCTACCATGCAACCCATGGAGGTCTGCTCCAAGGGTGAAGGCGCCTGGGTTGGGACCATCGGCAAGGTTTGAGAGCGGGGCAGTGTCGTTAGGGAATCCAAGAACCAGGGCATCCACGACTGCGCCCGGAGTCTGGCTGCCGGATACTCCCTCGTCGAAGAACATGCTATATAGTTCGGAGTCCACAGTGAGGGGGTCGTGGAAGCTATCGAAGCTGCTGTTACCTGGAGTCGATTTTGACGCAAGTTCCTGGAAGGATTCGGTAGGGGTTTTGGGCTCTGTTTCCGCAACGGATGCGGGGGACACTTCGGGCACAGATTTGGGTGCTGTGGCAGCTACAAATACTGAATGCCGTGGTCGTCGGGGTCCCCGTAGCTGATGCGTGTTGTTGGGCCTGGTGGGAGGGCGTCCGAGTGGTCTTGGAGCGCCCGTTACGCAGGATACGTCAGCTCGGACACAGCGGACGCAAGGTCCATTGTCCAGGCTTTGCGATCGCAAGCATCGCAGCTTGTGTTCTCGACATCGGTCGCATGCCGACCGCTTAGCAGCCGGCCGCCGCTGGTGTTGCTGCATGGTGGTGATGGTGGTCAGTCAGGTTGGTACACACGCAAAGGGCGATGGTTGTTTGGGTAACTAAATGAACCGGAGTATCTTTAATCCGTCCCGCATCAATATAAACTACCTACGAGGGCTCATCAAGTTTACATAAACATCTCCTACTAACTATTATTTTACCTATGTGTTGCATGATGAGTGTGAATTGATCTGCCTCCATGTTAGGGGCACAATATGGGCTAGATGGCACTGCCTTGAATGCTGCTGCTTCTAACCTCCGATCGGCGCATTCACGCATTCGGAGCCTTGAGAGTTGACCATCTCTACTTACAGAGAGGTTTATATTATCCCATTTTATCTAATACTAAATATCCTCAATCTCCCGACCTGGTTTTCTATATGGTCCATTGCCGGTTTTATTTCGGGGTAAATGCCTCTTGCGCCGTTCTGATGTCGAGAATGTATCTTACTTGGTCTCCAGCACAGTAGTCTTGACGGCATGATATGATTTATACCTCCCAGATATTTGTCGGCAACTAAGGCAACATTTCTTTCTCTGAATTCCCCTAAACTCTGCTTCAAATGTCGAAAAGCTACTCTGAGCTGCATATCGCATGATCATAGGTATTGAGATCCATGAAGGATAGCAAAAGTGGACATCTCTCTTTCAATCTCTCTCTCAGCAGGAGCCAAGCTGAGGAAAGACTCACTTTAAAGTGGCAGGGAAACCAATGCTGATTGAGAAGTTACCTGTTTCCAGTCTTGCATACGCAAGAGCTCAATATTACATGAAGCTCCAGATATAACGCCAATGCCTTCTGCCAGCTGCCCGCAGTACACAATCGTCCTTGTCACTCAGCGCTGCAGGTGAACGGAAAATATGCGAGGTTGAATTCGCAACAGGAGGAATGAGCGCTTCTGGCGCCCGCTACCCCGTTAGCTGAGAGATCCATTGTCTTTCACTTATGGGAGATAGGCATACTAGGTACAGACGACAATAGGCTGGTAGTGCTGGGATTCCCGAGCTGGTAGCTTGAAATAGAGAATACTTGAATAATTACAAAGCTCTTGTATCACAAAAAAAGAAAAAGAAAAAGAAAAAAGAAAAGAAAGAGAAAAGAAAAGGAAAAGAAAAGCTGTCTTCGCACCGTTTCCCAAATGGAATTGTGCATCTGGCTATGATGGCTGCGTTAATATTCAGCATGGGATCCCGGATGAGAACCTTACCCCAAAACATCCTGCTCGTGACAAGTTCGCACGCCTTCATGAGGTCCTCTATTGCGAACCTACTAGAGTCCAGAACAGCCTTTAACCTTCCCTGTTCGACTATCTCAACAAGAGTCAAAACTTCATACATGTTGGGAGTATTGGTGAAGAGGATATTGGAGCGATGATTGCCACTGATCCAGGTCAGACACGAGCTGTTCAAGAACCATCGAACCATTTGTCTCAGGACACCGTCTCCTACATGAAAAGCGCCGATGTTGACCAAAGGGGCCACCTGGACAGAGATATCTTGAAGGTTTGCGTAGAGGGCCTGCAATCCATAGGCCGAGGCCAGAGAGCGTGGCAGCAAGGCGTGTTTCTTGTAATCTACAAACTGTGGACAGCAACATGCACTATCATCAGGGCCCCAGAAGCATAATGGAGAATAACGCAGGGTGAAGCATACTTTGTCAATTCCGCATCCTCGAAACAAAGCTTCATTTGGAATCACTCGCAACTCCCAAAAGGAAGGCAACCTAGGGCACGGCACAGCTGCACGGCGATGTGTTCGACAATCCCACTGGCCCTATTGACGAGCACCGGCCGGCACGAACGGACCTTGGTAGTTTGAACCACAGTCGAGGCTGTTAACCCGTTGGAGATAAGTCCAGCGTGCTGACCCAGGCTGAGAACCAGGTGCTCACCAGCGCCGTGCTCCTCGACACCGGGTCCCGAGAGTGACACAACATAGGCCTCCGGTAGAGAGAGTAGAGCTCATTCTGTTGAATTGACTAATTCAATCACAGTCACTCATTCTCTATTTTCAGACTAGATAAGAGATGACTTTTCTGCTCTTTTAGACCTAGTTATCACTAAGACTGATGAGATAACTTTCATAAGAAACTTCGCATGTGCTCTTTCAGAACCCCGGTGCCGCAGAACACAATGCTCATCGGCCCCGTCATGGCCAGCACCCGAGTGCCGGGCTACCGGGCTGCCGTAGCCCTTCGGAAGCCTCGTCCCCCGCGACAGCGACAGGACAACGCGAGAGACGCAGAGCTCGGGGACTAGGGGCGGTGCAAAGGGCAGAGGAAGAAAGACGCCCATGAAGTGGACGATCAAGAATCCGAGCACGACGTAGGAGACGAGGGCGATGATGTTGCTGGAGTTCGGGCCGGCGTGGGAAACGAACCGACAAGCTTGAGGGACGACTTGTAGTGGCCGCGATGCTGGTAGGCCTAGGCTCGCATTGTGGACGGCATTGGTGCCGCGGGATCGGAGCGTACCATGTCTAGCTGTCTATCTAGGATAGATAGCTGTTTGGAGAGACCTCCGAAGGCGAGTGAGCTGGTGTCTCAAAAGGCACGGAGCCGGACCTGTGCCAACGTCAGCTTCTTTGATTGATCATACATGCCAATGCCACACCATCTTAACCTAAGCGCGTCCAGCATCTTAACGTGAGGCGCATAGGCTCGAGGCTGTCTGCAATTTAGTGATTGACCGTATCGACCCTTGTAGCGGGATAAGAGGCCACGGGTGAGGTTGCATGAACGGCGCTACGTTAAACCCTCCGAATTTCCTAATTAGGCAATTTTATTTTTACCCTCCGAATATAACCCCTTTGATCAGAGACCCGCCCGATGAGAACACACCGAATGCACGGATGGATCTCCCTCCACAGATCCGGACCGGGTATTTCCTCTCTCTTCTTTTGTTCCGAGAAATCTGCTCTTGTTCCTCAAGCGATCGCGCCCCCGAAACCAATATTAAGAGGGACGCCAGCAAGCAGGCAAATATCCCGAACCCATAGACATATATGGCATGGCATGATCCGAACACAGACCCCACGGCAAGAACATGCTATTCAAACCAAAGCACTCGCGAGTTACCTAAAACCATGCAAGAGTCTTTGACCAGAGGCGCGGAAGACGACGATGCACCCAGCAGCAACACCATGAATTTGTCGTCAGAGGCTACGACTCCAGAGATTTTAGAAGCTCCAGAGACCCTAGACACTATGCATGTGCCTCCGGTCAAAAGAGACTGGAGATTTTGGGCTCTCTTGGGTTCCATCAGCCTCGCGGGTCTACTCACGGCTCTGGAGGGAACCATTACGTCGACAGCGCTTCCCTCGATTATCGCCGATCTAGGCGGCGGCCACCTCTACATCTGGGTCGTGAATGGATATATGTTTGCCATGTGAGTAACACCTGGCGCTCGAGTGGGAGGAGAGGGGAACAGGCCTGTCTCTGGGTTTAACTAACCAGCCCTCCATTCTTCTCTAGGACGGCGATGCAGCCTCTGTACGGGCAGCTGGCAAACGTCTTCGGTCGCCGCTGGCCCATGCTCATCGCAACCGCCATGTTCGTGCTCGGCAGCGGCATCTGCGGTGGCGCAAACAACATAGGAACGATCATTGTCGGCCGAATCATTCAGGGCATCGGAGCCAGCGGCACCACCGTGCTCACCGAGACCATCATCTGCGACGTGGTGCCGCTAAGAGAGCGCGGCAAGTTTCTGGCCATCGTCATGGGCTTCATCTTCCTGGGTACCGCGCTGGGCCCTTTCTTCGCCGGACTCATCGTGCAGTACTCGACTTGGCGCTGGACTTTCTATCTGGCGCTACCCGTGGGCGGCGCTGCCCTCGTCTCTCTGTTCTTCTTCCTAAATGTCCAGTACAAGAAGGAGACGAACCTGGCTACGAGAATAGCGACGATTGACTGGATGGGGAACGTCATCTTCATAGCGGCCATCACGTCGGTTCTCCTCGGCTTGTCGTGGGCGGGAGGGCTGTACCCGTGGTCGTCCTACCACGTCCTGGTGCCGCTGCTCGTAGGCATGGCTGGTCTGGCGGGGTTCCTTGCCTTTGAGGGCTCTCACCTTGCCCCAAATCCCACCGTCCCGCTGCACCTCTTTTCCAATCGAACGTCAGTCGGTGTCCTTGTCATGACATTCTTCCACGGCATAATCACCGTGTGGCAGCTCTACTTCATGCCTGTCTACTTCCAGGGCGTTCTCGGCTCGTCGCCCAGCCTTTCCGGGCTCCAGATCCTCGCAACAGTCCTCTCCATCCTCCCTGCGGCGGGCATCGGGGGAGGTCTCATGACCAAGCTAGGCATCTACAAGCCCATCCACTACGTCTCCTGGGCCATCACTCTCATCGGCCTCGGCCTTTTCACCCTCCTGGACATGAATTCGAGCACCGGGCACTGGGTTGGCTTCCAGGTTGTCTACTCCATGGGAGTCGGCATGCTGGTTCCCACGCTTCTTCCAGCACTCCTAGCCCCGCTGAGCGAGTCTGACACGGCGCTGGCAACGGCAACATGGTCGTTTGTCCGCAGCTTCGGCATGGTGTGGGGGACGGCCATTCCCGCTGCCATCTTCAACACCCGCTCCGACGAATTGGCACCCAAGCTCATCCAGGATGCCACGCTCAGAGCCGAGTTCTCTGCGGGCCAGGCGTATGAGCATGCTACTGCCGCGTTTCTTGGGACTCTGCCTCCGGCTTCACGTGTCGCAGTTACCCAAGTCTTTTCCCGGAGTCTGCGCCTAACGTGGTTGGTGTCACTCGCCTTTGCTGCTGTCGGGTTCCTCGCCGTGAACCTTGTGAAGGAGGTACCTATGCGGAGTGAGTTAGAGACCAATTATGGAATCGAAGAAAAGCCGAAAACGAAGGCCCCTAAAGCCTAAGAATCTGGATCTTGCAAGAAGTAGCGGCTTTTCTCTGATAACAGTCGCTGTAACAGTCAAGTTCCCGATTTGGGGGATGAACGGTGCAAAGCTAGGCGGTCAGATGAATTTCATCCCGCTGCAGAATAAAAGGATCCTATATACCGTATTTTGTCTGGACTACTTTTCCCTATCTGTCGAAGGAAGGGAGCAATATTTGGACGAAGGGCTCATGAGTCAGTGTATGCCTTCGGGAATTGGAAGCTGTTTCTCTTGTATAAAAGTGTAAATTATATGTTCCGTATTTGGCGGCTGTTTTAAAAGAGTACCGGATAGAGGTTTCATCTTTTTCTCTCAAGGGGAAGTGTTGGGTTTCAAGGGATAACACATCTCCCCCTTAATACGTTCATTGTTGTATCTTCATACCGCTAACTCATCTCAGATCCATCCATCTATCTTGCTGTCTTTAGAGTTAGTTGCGATTCAGAATACGATTTTGAATCTGTTCCTTCCTCAAAACTACGTATTTTCCAGCTGCTAGTCAATGGTTCCTATTTTTTTTGATATTTAACAACCCGCATCGCATGGGGGCATTGTAGCCTGGGTTAGGTAGACTACAAGTGATCTGTTGATGTAAAATATCTTTCAGTTAAAACCTCTCCACATCTCTGCCGGGAAGTACATACCTACATCGGCCCGATTACTCTTACAACCATGGATCATGGATCGGAACAAATTTGCTCATAACCCTCCATTTCTCTTCCACTAAAATCCAATATTGATACCGTACGAGGTCAAGAGCAACAAAACTGTTTTCATGAAAAATGTCGCCTGTTGATGATGACAGCAATTCTAGTTTTCCCATAGAATTGTTTCCCTAAACCATGGCCAGTGATCATCCCGGCCATATTTCGCTGTCTCCCGCAATGCCATAAAGATCTGATACATGCCCTTCATACTCATCGTCGAGACGAGGTGTTGGGGCCCGTACAGCATCTGTAGAAAAAAGAAAGGAAAAAACAAATTAATCAACGCCATTTAGAATATGCCAAGTCGAAGGAACTTACAGTCTCGCCTTTATCTCCAACGAAACACCAATACGCCTTCCAATCAAGGCCTTCAATTTTCAAACATGGCATGGGCTTCAACGGCGCTTCCAGCTTTTCTGGATTTTTCATGGGCCCTTCCAGCCGCTTGCATAGAGCGACCATCCAGACACCTAGTTGTACCATACCGTCTGATCCAGGTAGAGTATTTTGCACTCAATCACTGTCAGCTGGGGCCTTCTTACCCCTAGTCTTGGCCACACAATCTATATAGACAGTTGCAACCATCTCTTTGCAACTCAGCTTGAATACTATTACATATTTGATCCCTATCTTTATCATTCATGAATACTTCTCTGATTGTTATTACATCTCATGTTAAGCTGTGAACACTTAGAATAACCGCTTACAAAGCTCATATTCCTACATTTCAAGCTGCTTGACATGAAATGTACTAGCAATCAGAAGTATTCATGAATGATAAAGATAGGGATCAAATATGTAATAGTGTTCAAGCTGAGTTGCAAAGAGATGGTTGCAACTCCAGTTTATATAGATTGTGTGGCCAAGACTTGCTAACCCTACTGGTTAGGTGAGTGGTGAGAATAGGGGTAAGAAGGGCCCTGAGGAGCAGGGTTTCTTACATACCATACCCCCCCCTCCTCTCTAGAGCTTCGTCCGCGAAGCCCTTCACTGGGTTGACTCTGTGAGTCCATATCCAGAACTGCAGTGATACTCGCTCAAAACCCTTCGCGTCTAAAAATCCTCAGTGAGGAAAAAGCCTGTTACCGCGAAGGGAAAAGAGTCTGTCAGTGCGGGTTTCCTGAGAATCCGTTTGAGAAAGGTAGATACAATAGTCTACTCTTTTAGACGTGAATGGTGGATTCTGGAGGCCTGCAGGCACTAGAGACTGAGGGAATATTTGAGTAGTAGTCATATATGCGAAATAAATGTCAGAAAATGTCAGTCACTCGTAAGAGTGATTCTGTCTCACAGAGTCTGATTGCTACCTGTGCCGACCAATGAAAAAGACACACCCATTCTCAACTTGGACTTCTTGGGCACTGTCTCTATTTTCTAGCTCAACAGCCAGGCTTAGCAGCAGTCGGAATACTTCCTCATCCCATGAAGGCTCCGGCTCCCAAGTTCATGACACTTCGACGCAGCATCTTGAAGGCACTGCAATTTTTCAAGCAATTTCAGGTCGCATGATGTGGTAGGAGCATGGAGCCGTCGTAAAAAAGGTCGGGGTACTCATGGCCATCGACAGCATCGACCCGTGGGTGGAAGGACTTTATATATATAAGTCAACGTTCAAGAAATATATCCGAACGAAGAGACACCCAACCATAAGGTTACGTGGAAGTACGCCGACGCCGTCAGAGATATCAGTGAACTTGAATTGATATAAGAGCACCCGGATGACCCCTGGAGCTCCCTTCATCATCTCCACTCTGATGGGTGGCTTGGCAACCCTCAAGTCACCGATCTTCTTGGTCAAGCTCTGTGAACATAAAACTAGTCTCATCGCTGCTGATGCTTGTAGCTTCGCATGCAGCTAGCAATCAATACTGGTCTCGCGCTGCTCTGCTTGGACGGAAGACATTGCTGCTATATTAAAAGTCTACCTGGCATCTGGTCCGGGCGGGTTGTGACAATCATAAAGCCACATGAGATTCTCTTTGGATTTCAAGATAAAAGTGCCAGTAAGTAATAAATGTTCAATTGCGCGACTCTTGGTCATTCTTTTGAAGCTTTGAAGATGGGATGTTGGTGCCGAGCAACGGATCAACCCCGTGATAAGATCAAGATTGATAAGATAACAACCATGATGTCATTTCAACTCCGCACATTTCAAGCAACAAAAGAGTGATTGAGAGATAACAGACATTTACATCACACTTGTTAAAGTCATCAAATGTGTCAGACTCTTTCTCTCAGAGTTTTCCTTGCTGCAATCATCACTCTGTATACGGAGTAGTAAGAAGTTAATTATCACTGTGAGTAACTTTGCAGACATTGTTAGTTAGATTTACTAGAAGTCAATTGACTCCAATTAAGTCATTCAGCTTTATACATTATTCTATTCATCTGTAGCAGCTCATCACTCTTTCAGTTCAAAATATTCTCGGAGTCATTTGTCACTGTTGCAGCTGTTCAGAATCATATTACTGCTGGCTATGAAATTGCAATTGCATTTGTTCGTACAAACATATACAAATTCCTCCTCTTCAGCACGTGCGATGTTGCGAACTTCAACAAGCCACAGAACGAAGGCGTCTCAATCCTTAGAAAACTCAACAATCTCGCGCCTCCCCCCTCACCCACTAATCCTTCTGTAAAGGGTTGTCATTCTGCGAGATAAATCTGGCCCGCAGGCACGACCAAAACTAGCACTCACATGAATAGAGAAGAAAGAGTCTAGGAATTCAGGAGGCGGAGGCGTAATTGACAAAAACTTAGTCCAGATCTCGGCTCAAGGTTATCTTATATATATGTTGCTAAGGTGTAAAGCTTGCTTGATTAAGAAGTATGCTAGCTACACGGGAAGTTATATGGTGGAATTTTACTAAGCCAGACCAAGCCTGCTTTTCAAGGATTTCATGAAGTGACACCATGACTACGCCGATTGGAAACCTGACAACATCTATTTCATGGACGTACACGCGAGTAATTCACAGGTTTATACAAAATTTTTCCTCCTTACACGCAACACAATGCAGCGCAATGCAATTAAGAGAGCAAGGCCAAAACTCAACAGACTTTAATAAACCAAGAGGGACGGACATACATGTAACAGTTGTATCCCAATGGCAGGCGTAGGAGAAAGAGAAAGACGCAAAGCCCACAGACAGAAAAAGGAGGTGAAAACGGCCCCACCAAAAAAGGAGGCCAAAGAAAGAAAGGAAGGAAGGAAGGAAGGAAACCAGTAAACCAAAAAAGTAGAAAAGAAAAACCAAAAAGAGAGATTTTCTTATACACCTGGCTTGCTCACGCTGCCATATTTAGCCTGCCATGCGAAGAAATACAACAATGCCCCCAGCGGTTGACCCACAAGACAGAAACTAACCCAAAACACACAGTTACCAATGATTTTTCCCGTAGGACCGTTCATCTTCTCGAGCGGTAGCGTTGCTGCGATTAGTGGGAGTTGGAGGACCATGCCGGCGAAGGCGACGCCTGGGTTGGATGGTAGGTTAATGTCCAGCGGTTTATAGTAACTATACATGATGTATGGGGGTAGTAATTTTACTTACCTATCACGTTATGTGTGGGAATCCCCACAAGCAATTCATGCAGTATTCCGCTGAAGGTGAAAACCACAACGCTGGCGGCAAAGGGGCTCCACCCCCTTCCCACGAGCGGCGAGAAGATATGCCGCCGCATAAAATGGTACACGGGCTTATTCCACGTACGCCAGTAGGTGCCCACACTGGGGCTGTTCCACCATTCGGTGTAGAACTCGCGGTCGCCAAAACGCATGACCTCTGCGAGGGCGTTGAGGGAGGATTGGAACAGGGCGAAGAAGCCCGCGAGCCAGATTATGAGGGATATTGTGGAGAGTTTCATGACGCGCTCGATGATGGAGGTTAGATCGAGGGTTGCGATCTTTTCTAGCGAGTTGCGGAGGACGGGGGTTGCGTATTGGGCGGAGGTGAGCCAGATGAAGACGGAGAGCCCGATCATCTCCATGACGCGTTTGGCGACGAAGGACCATCTAATGCGTTCTGTGCGGGGGTATACGGGCTGGTATACCAGGGTTGGGGCGAGCCAGAAATAGGTTAGGTTTTTAACGGTGATGTTTCGTGGGTAAGGGAGAGACTGGTAGATTTCTGGGAGCGGGGAGGTGGAAGATGAGTGTAGAGCTTCGTGGCGGAGGTCTCGGTTGGTGAAGGCATAGGAGCATATCTTCAGCCAAACGACGATGACGTGGACCTCGCAGAGTGTTCCGATGCCAGGGTGGTTGACATAGTAGTAAACTGCGTAACTGGTGAAGAGGAGACATAGACAGGCGTTCAAAATATGTGCAAAAGCGATATATATCCATGCTGATCGGAACGCCAGCTGTTCCTGAGTATTTTCTTCCTCCGATTCCTTTCGTTTTATGCGACCAATGGCTCCCTTGACCTCATGCGCCGCGGCGCACTCAATTACATATGCCACGAAGAGATGGCAGGGGACGAGCGCGAAGAGTATAGCGCCGAGAATGACATCCTGTTTTCGATAGTCGTGGCACCGAATACAGATGAGGACACCATACTAGGTAGAACAATTCACCATTAGTAAAGAAACAAATATAAATAATAGGACAGAGGAGTTATTGAGGTGATTGTAACAACCCACCTTCATAAAATTCTCGACAATTAAACGTAGATTCATAACAACTAATAGGATATCATCATCGGATTAGCCACTGCAATCCTCCCGGAGGAGTGAGAATGAAATGCGCCAGCCCCAAGAAGAAGAAGAAGAAGAAGAAAAGATTCATACTCAACACAAGAACCATCAGGTTCCGGAACCCAAGGAAGCTTGGGGTAGTCTCCGAATCACGACTCAGACAGGAAACGCGGGGGTGGGAGTGGTATGCGGCGAAATGGCGATATTTGCCCTTGGTTGCGCGTGGATTGGGATGGGCATGCTGTGGTCCGCTGTCGGGTTGTTTGTCCTTTGCATCCGCAAGCTGAGGAGCTACAGTTGTCCCATTCTTTCCCACCCCCTCGTGGCGATCTAGCGGCTGGATGTTGTGACTCGGGGAAACAGCTATTTGGGCAACCCTTGCCATCCTATCCTTGTATATAGGTGCGGGGCTCTGGCCTCTGTGAGATAATAGCCACGGAGAATTGAGAAGAGGAGGCCAGGTATGTATATATAGCTCGTATATGTGTGAATAGAGGATGTGTGTCAATATATCCACACGACGAGGATAGGAATAAAATTAAGAATAATAGGGAGAGGCGAGACGGAATATTTAATGCCAGCAGTGGCAGCCCGAATTGGCCCGGTCCGAAGAGGCGATCCACGAAGAGAAGAGACGATGGATTGCCATGAAGAAGAATAAATAAAGAGCGGTTAGAATAAAGAGTTGTCTTGCTCAGAGCTCCCTTTTATTTAACAGCAATCATCTTTGCCTGAATCATTGGGGATGAACTTGGACCTGAACCTGGCAGCAACCGGCTTTCATGACGAGGGGATGGATTTCCCCAGGGTTTCCTACTATTAAATAAATACAGCTGTCCGCCTTGGCAGCACTAAATAAATAACTAAATAACTTCGCAACATCTTTGTAGCAACAAGACACACTACACGGGAGACAAGAGACAGAGAGGGACAGGCGATGCCTAGATATATTTATTTTACCTGTATCGAATTTACTCCCGCCATAGACCAATTTCTTGCACCACTGAATCCTGCAGTACCAGCGCCCAATTTTTAGCCCGCCGCGCCGCACCTCCACCTTACCATGACATACCCTCGATAGCTAGCGAGCTGATCACCCTTTCGACTGACTGACTGACTTACCCGATATTAACCCCCTGTGCATATATCTTCTGCTGTTTCTGGTATGAGCTCTTACGACCACGATGCGGCGGAAGGGGGATTCTCGCGCCCGCTGAGGTCCTACGAGGGAGGGGTGGGAGGCCCTCGAAGGCCCAGTAAGTATATCATATTGGCCTCCTCACCTCCTCACCTCCTCACCTAACAAAAATATAATATCCTCTCCGTCATACTAAGAGTGCGATGAATATAATAGGACCTGTGACCGACTATGGCTCGTCAATGGTGCAGTGGATGCGGGTGCGCCAGCCCCGATACAAAGGATCACACAGGCTTGAGCGGGAAAGACCAAGCGCCAGCTACACTGTGGACGTATGTAACCCCATTGTATATGATTTTTTGATACATATATACTAAACTAAGGGATATTATTGACTTTCTCGATTATTAGATGCTCCCTCCCTTAGCCAGGATCGATTCGCCCGCTGACACCATCCCCGTCCGTCATCTACACCAATCCATCGGCAAATCAAAAAAACCAATTACGGTCGTAAGATGGACGCCAGAGGGCCGACGCTTGTTGACAGGAGGCCATACTGGCGAGTTTATGTTATGGAATGGTACAGCATTTAATTTTGAAACGGTTATGGATGTTAGTGATATACACATATCCCCCTTAGCCCCTACCTAACCCCCTGGCCCATTTGAGTTGTATCTTGAACGCTGACTGGCTTCGAAAAACGCAAAAAAAAAACAAACTATAGGCCCATTATGATCAATACCAAGCTGGCGTAACCTCCGCCGCATGGTCGCATAGCCACGACTGGCTGATATCCGGCGGCCAGAAGGGCGACATCAAGTACTGGCGGCCCAACTTCAACAACGTCGAAACGGTCGACGACGCCCACCACGATGCCGTCAGGGATCTGTCCTGGTGCCCCAGCGATACGAAATTCGTATCCGCCTCCGACGACACGACGCTGAAAATCTTCGACTTCACCGCCCGCATGTGTGAGATGGTTCTGACGGGCCACGGCTGGGATGCAAAATCGTGCGACTGGCACCCGTCAAAGGGTCTGCTGGTCTCCGGATCCAAAGACCACCAGGTCAAGTTTTGGGACCCCCGCACCGGCCGCTGTCTGACTACGCTCCACAGCCATAAAAATACAGTTACCTGCACTAGATTCTCGCGCGTGAACACAAACCTACTGGCGACATCGTCGCGGGACCAAAGTGCCCGCGTCTTCGATCTACGGATGATGCGAGACATATGCATTTTACGAGGACATGAGAAGCCTATCTCCTCCATGACATGGCACCCGATTCATAGTTCGCTTATATCTACGGGAAGCGAGGATGGATCAATTCATCATTATTTATTGGATGAGCAGAATCTACCACCTGGACAGGTCCCCACTGTCGCGCCATATGATAGCGCTGATCCCGCTAACACTCCCGCCCAAGTCATATTCCCCGCCCATCGTGTCCCCTATGCCCACTCATCCACCATATGGACTCTCGACTGGCATCCCCTCGGCCATATTCTCGCGTCCGGCTCCAAAGACAATTTCACCCGATTTTGGTCCCGTGCCCGGCCTGGCGAAACCACTTATCTCAAGGACAGATTCCACATTGGCGAGGAAGCAGCGGAAGCCCAGGGAACGTGGAGCCGTGGATTTGGTCGTCGACAGATGAAGGAGGAAGAGGAGCAGGAACTCCAAGATGAGGCGGAGGGGCTTGTCGACCAAAGGAAACCCGACGCCTCACTCCTTCCGGGTATCCAGGGAATTCCCGGCGCGGGCGATAATGTTGGACTTCCAGGACTGATTCCGGGAATTGGAGCTGTGCAGCCACCACCGCCACCTCCATCGGGCACGGCGTCATCCATGCCGCAAGTTGATCCGAGCCGTCTGGCGGCAATGATTTCCTCCGGCTCGTTTCCTCCACCTCAACTTGATTCTATACCACTAAACTTACGCCCGCCCCCATATCCCATGCCTAGTATGCAGGGGGGTGGCCTCCCACCAAACATGGATCTATCATCTTTACAAAATCAGTTCTTTTCACAGCAACAACAGCATCAGCAACAACAGCATCAGCAACAACACCACCAACCCAACACACTTCAGCAGAACCAAAACTTCCCCTCGCACGGTGGCGGAGGTTTCACGTCCTCAGGAATACCAGGTCTTCAGGGCCAGGGCCCAACTGGTGATTCAAATGAGGATTTCACGAACGGTGTAAGGAAACGCGGGCCGTTGCCAAGCCAGCAAGACAGCTTGATGGAAGAGCAACGACGGGGGAACTGGCGAAATATTAGATAAAAAGAAAACAAAACCATATCATCTTTTGACATATGCTAAAAAGAACCTGTAATATAGAACGGGGGTTGCGATTTGTTTTCGGGACTTTTTGGGCGAGATGGAAGGGACCATTTACCTACATGCGATATCTGTTTTATTTCTTATTCTGTGGTATCTGCTTATGCCAACTGTCGAGCGAATTTCGATGGGGAATAATGCGCGTATGGCGTTGGGATCAAATCCTTTACGTATAGTTTCTTCCCCTTTTGCAGACCGGACTACCCCCTATACTTTAGCTAGGCATATGACCCTGAGCACGGCTTTTCAAAAAAGTTTTGGTGGTTGCCGTAGAGGCAAAGTGTTAGCTCTCAGGCTATAATATCGTAAACAAAAAGCATGCCAGGCCGTCAGGTGGCTGCGCTATAGTCCACCCTGGATAGAAAAGCTGGATAGGACCAAGACAAGCGTATTAAGGGCCGCCCACGAAAACGGAATCCAGGTCGACATCTTATAATTGCCGGCTTCATAGACGGCTCCGAGACTGTTATGTGCCAGTTCACGTCAGACGCAGCTACCAGTATCCTTTTCAATTCCATATAGTTACAAAATTGAACCCGCAAAACAAAGAGCTAAAACATCTGAAGCAGGAATGAGGGAGAAAACATCTAACAACTCACATAAGCCCTGTAACACTACCCGCCAGCAAACCCTCCAACCCCGCAATGAGTATGTATATCAACAGCACGGCCCAGACGATCTTCCAGCTGCGCCATTGCATCACGACGGCACACAGAGCGGCCGAGAGATGTACACCGATATAGAAGAGCAGTGTCCAGAAGAGCGTGAAGCGCCATATGTCGTTTGTGTAATAGAGATATTGGGCTCCGTCGTGGTAGAAGCCTAAGGTGACGTAAAGAGAAGGAAACGGCGGGGTTTCGTAGCCTAGGGGGATGGTTTGGGAGAAGGACATTGTTTGGCTGTATCTGTCTCCGCGTTTGAGGTTTCAGGATAATGGCATGGATGGTGAATGGGTGAATTTATGGCTACGCATCCGTCGAATGCTTTGGGCTATTCATCGGGGCTAAAACAAAGCACTGTTTTGTTTCTCTGGCCTGGTTGCAGTGGTTGGTGTTGTTTAACATTGTTGAGTGCAGCGATGACGGAAGGAAGGAGGAAATATGTTTGCTTTGTTTGCAGTTTCAGGAGCTGGCGTTGAACCTCGGCAGGTGGTTCGCGAGCTCCGCCGATGATGCAGGAGTTGTAAGGGGGACTGGCGAACATTCACACTTCAACTCAACTCTCATGTAACAACAGCTACCGAAGATAGGGAGAAATTGTTCTCACTCGAAAATGGGCACTGAGAGGTCGCTCGCAACTCTGCTTCGGTCGCTCCAGACGGTGTCTGAGCATCAGGATGCTTACGGGTAGGATGCGCCCACTCCCCTAGCCTTTGAATGTCAAACCCCGAGAACTGACAAATTGTATCTCTAGCCTCCTACCATCATCGACGGGGCTTCTCTCGTTACTCTCCAATCCTCGGAACGTCACACTACTATCGTCACAGCTCCTGCACTCCCCAGCTCTATGGAGCGGTGAATTCGACCTGGAAACCTGCCGGCGCATTCTCAGCGTCTTCAATACTGCCGCGATCAGCGTCGTGCACAATGAATCACAACAACAAGGGCCTCCGTCGCTAAATATACAAAGGAGAGGTCTCGAGCGGGAGGAATGGGTGAAGGCTGTGGTTCAGGGCGCAGATGACAAGTCCCCGCGATGGAGACATAGCATTTTGCTGGGAGGCATACTCTTAGGCATGGAGGGCCAGGACCGACAGAGTTTGCCCTCAAATCTGAGAAAGAAATTGGAATCCGGCCTAGTGACGGCGTTTCAGCTTTCGTTGAGCGAGCTCGATTCATACCCAAGAGTTGCGCGGGATTGTATAGCATTGGTGCTGAACTATACGTTCGAGCTGCTGGCGGATCCGGAGAGAAAACGGCTAGATTATAACATCCTCCTTCCTCTCCTCGTGGATACTGTCTTTTTCTCTCCGGCAGGGTTTGAATCAGGGTACTTCCTTGGTGCTATTGATCGGGACATTCGCGAGACCCCTTCGAAGAAATTCGAGTGGCCGGCTCAATCACCAACTTGCCTACACATCCGCGCAATCACGGCAAAACCGCTTATCTCTTCATTGGGTCCTTTATCGCGATTAATCGCGCATGCCATTGGCAACTGTCAAGTGCAAAGGCTAGTAGTGCAAGCGGTGGATTCTCTCCTTGAATTCACGAGGACATTGATGGTTCAGTGGCGGCAGAATAAGCTATCAGAAGTTGATATCTCTGAGGAGGCCGAGTTTCTAGATGAGACGTCGCTCCAGACGACTATTCCCATTCTTTGGCGATTACTGAAGACATCCCTATTTTCTATTGTTATTTTTCTGAGGGCTGTTCTAGGAAGGGTACTAAATGATCGCGTCCTCGCGGCTGATAACTGTAAGCCCAGCCCTATTCGTGGTCTTATTCGTTTACTTTTATTAACTCAATATTTTAGGCGCACCACTACTTGCTCGCAAATCTCTACACATACTTCGCAACCTCTGTTTCGTTTCGGGGCGAATTGGGCAGAATGCCTCTTCCCAGTATGCCTTTGTGAACCTGACTGCAATCGACATCCTCTCGCAGTATCCAGTTGCCTCCCAAGAATTCTTAGAAAATATCCGTCCTGCATCAGCCGGTCGTATCCCAGATTACCCTATCGATAGATGTCTAGACCTGTTTTTCCTAAACACAGCTGAGCATTTTGCTTTGGTACTATCCCCAGCTGTCAACGAGGACCTACTAATCGCTGCTGCACTTCCTTACCTTGCCGCAGGCGGCAACAACAACCTTCTGGAAATATTTGAGGCAGCGCACAGCGTCGTACTATCCGTTCTCGCTGCACCCAAGAGTGCAGATATGGCCGCGAAGCATCTCCCGTTTTATGTCGATACCCTTTCTACCGTATGTCCTCATTCGCATTCCCACTGCGATGGATATTGAGGTTTTCTTCCTAACTAACAATCGATATCCATTTCAGGTCTTCCCCCAGAATCTCTCCGCCCGCCAATTCCGCCTAGCCTTCAAAACCGTGCTCCAAATCACCGCGCCCCCATCTCCCTTAGCAAACACCCAACCGCTCCTCCCCTCAATCCTTCTCGAGCTCCTATATAACAGAGCCCTACACGCGCCCACCTGCCCGCTAACCCCGCCCGTGGCCTCCACCTCTGCCTCCGTCGACCTTAACGCTATCAGCAACAGTACACCCCCCTTATCCGAACAAGCCGTCCTAGCCATGACCATGATCGACTGCCTATGCTTCCTCCGCCTCGAGGCGCTGGAGGAATGGCTGCCGCTCGTCGCGCATCTGGTCAATATCATCCCCGACAAGGCGATGAGGCAGCAGTGTCAGGAGAGGTTTTGGGATGCGCTGAGCAGTGGGGAGATGGATGTTGATCGGGCGAATTTTTGTGTTACATGGTGGAGTACGAAGGGTGGGAGGGAGATGGTGCTGTTTGGGTCTGAGGAGGATTTGGAGATTCCATATATGAGTGGGGCGATTGGGACGGTGGCGGAGCCGCAGAGTAAATTGTGATGGTTAATGTCTCGGGAGGGGGGGTTGTGGGGTTACGTGTTTATGTAGGAATGGGTGTATTTTAAGAAATACCACTTCTACTTATATATTTATTTGAGTTAATATTCTGCCAATCAAGTTAGAGACTGATTTTAACCTCCTACTCTAAACCCTACAGCAGGAGAAATGAAACAAATCTGAATCGATACTGATATTACTCTGTAAACCTTGAAGTAGCGGGATGGAATAATTATAACAAATATAAGCAGATAAACGAACACTTAGAATAGACAGGCAAAGAGTCGAATGAAAGGAAAAAAGAGAAAGAAAAAATACGAAGAAGTTGCGAGATCAACTTAAGAAAACATCACCACCTTTCAACGCCCCTAACGCATCCATCCCCCTCGCTCAACTCCCCATCCAATCCAAGAACATATCCAAAATCGTCCATCCCCCCTTCTTACCCTCTGTTGTCCCAGGAAGCTTACAAGATGTCCCCCTATCAGCCTCCACCTTGTTCTCCTGCTGATGAGAAACACCATCGCCAACGCGTTTCTCACTCCTGTCATCATCACCACCATCACCTCCATCATTCCCACCTCCAACCGCATTCACTGCCCGACAATAATATCTCTCACGCAAAGTATCCAAATGATTCTTCCGCAGCGGATCAGGATAACCCCCATTATCGCCGACATCAAATAGACTCCATGGCCAGTCCTGGCCTCCTCCATCTCCACTTCCTTCAGCCGTCACGATCTCCTCCCCTTCCCCATCGTCATCCTCACCATTGACAGTCCCAAGGCCCCTAGGGGGCCCGAAGAAGAGCCTGACGTCAGATAGCATGGTCCAGTGGTCGGAGCAAGGGTGCGGGTCGACAACATCTGGATGCATCTTGTATGACGGGCAGGTGGAGAATATATCCGGGTTGAAGGCTTTGGAGCAGATGGTGATGAAGCGGGGGATCATGCGGAGGTTTATGTCGCTGCCGCAGCTACTGCGGCAGATGCACCGACAGGTGTTCGTGTTGTTAGTGGAGGGGGTGGTTTTCGTGGTGGTGATGGCGGTCGTGATGGGCATGCCATTTCTGATGCTGCTGGCGCTGCTGGTGGTGTCTGTGATTGTACGAACATGGTTTTGGACCTTGTATGAGCGGCAGACGCGCAGTTGGTGAGATTTGCAGCCGCAAGGTTGGTGAAGATGCGCGCGGACTTGGCACATCTGCTTGTTTCAACGAGTGGGTATCTCGATATATCGAAGCTGGAGGATGAGATTTTTCAAGCACTGATTTCCATATAATGAGTGACAGTTGTTCTTCCCTTGCGCGGGCTATTTATTATGGTGAAGTTCAAGAAAACTATACAGAGATTGAATATTGATAATTTAGGGTGTTGCTGGAAACGGAGCATGAAAGCCAAAACACGAAAATGCAGCGGGTATAAGTAGCGTATATCATTGCCTTCAGGGGGGGGAAGTGGTAAGAAGACTTCATGTGTCTTGGGGAAGATTTCTGGTTTTTATATAGTCTTCAGAGCTGGCAAGATGGTATCTCTAGATTCACTTGTTGTGACCCAACAGGATCAGTGAAAGCAAACAGATAAGCAGGAGAGGGGGAAGGCCAATGCTGAAATGCCTATGAAAGTGGTTAAATTGTGCCATCATCATGCAGTTTTTGTTATTTTTGAATATCAGGTAGTAATCTCCACAGATCATTTTACGAAGCAAGGCGATAAAGGGTAGGTAGTCGCAATAGTAGCAAAAGGATTCATTGGTAAACTGGGCGCATGGAGCATGCTTGGAGTTAGGATATCAATGTTCCTCTGAAAATGTTAAATCAGGTGCAACCGTTGTAGTCACTGGCGTAGCTGTCATGTTGCCCTCAGGAAATAAAGGGGATTCCAACCCGCGTCATTTCTCGATACTCAATGTACTCCTTGCCGAAAAAACTTATCAAAAATTTCTCCTCTCCTAAAGGAAAATTTCGATATCAGCATGAGGGTAAACGAATTTGCAATAAACATCTGAAGAGAGGCGACTTACTCTGAATACGACTGGAAAAGAACTTCCAGAGCACAATGGTATAGGCAAGGAAACAGACTCCGTTTCCCAGAACCATTTGAGTTCCTAAACTCCACCAGAAAAACCCAAAATAACTTGGGTGCCGGAGGATTCTGTAAATGCCGTCTTTGACCAGCGTGTGCCCTTCTCTCCGTCGGGACTGCACTGTATGAGTGAAATTTGTCCCAGCCTGTGCCATTGCTAACGACCGGACAAGTTGGCCGACGACAATGAAAACCAGCCCGAGCCCAATTTGCACCTGGGCACCACCGAATGCTAGAGATACCATCCTCGCGTATCTTTCAGGCAGAACTAAGCGAGTAAGTAAACACTCTGCCATCGCAGAGGTGTGCGCAATATTATAAGCTGCACCGTTCGAGGAGAGCAGGAAAGCAGATATCGACGCATAGGGTGTACTGTATCGTGCCGTAATATAGTATTCGAGAAAATGAAAGAGGCTGAGGGTTGTGAGGAAGAAAGGAGCTCGCCATAGAGAGGTCGACGACTTGAGGAGGAGGAAGAAGGTCAGGACGATGCAGAGACCGAAAACCTGGCCCAAAACAAACGAGCGGATGGATATCCCAGCTAGAGACTTCTTCCCCCCTGGCAGAATTGCAGGGTCGATGATTTCCCTCGGATGTTTAGTAGCAGCACCGTTCAAGTTGTTGTTATTTCCCTCTGGGCTATAGGGCACGTATTCACGACGTGGGCGCCAATCGACTCCGGTTGAGGGCGGATCAGCCATGATTGGACGGCTGCAAGGACGATTTGACGAAAATTTGAGCTATATACGCCTATTTCGCGTTCTCCGCAGTGGAGAGCCCGCACATATACAGGTAAGGCTTTTCGAGTAGATAATTTGTAGCGACAATCCGTGCAACAGTTTGCCAAAGACCTGGAGGTAAAGGCTGTTGTAGTGGAAAATTTTACAGCAGCAGCGATGGAGAGTTGTTCGGCCCCATTATGTATGAGCAGCTAGCTCAAAGCCGTCAGCTTCCGAAAATGATAATAGCCCAAACAAAGAAAATATCTAACTAATGGAAAGGTGCGACCAGCTCCTGGAAACAGCCGCCGCCCATTCAGCGAGTGTCCTAGGTAAAGTTCGTTGAGCTTTGTTATATTGATATTGTTGAACCGGTTTAGCGCCGGCCTCAAGAAGCACTTACGTAATAATGACGTATTTTAACTGGATACTACTCCGCAAGCATCCAGTTATTTAAAATGAGTTAATATGAGTTAATATATCATGAAACTATTATTTTCACTCGGTAATATGAATTTTAAATAATATATATCTAGCTGTTATTTATCTCGCAACTGTTCAGTCAGTAATCTAGATTAAAAAAGAAAACTGTGTTTTTTATCATTTCTGTAACATCGCCTTTCTCGAAAGTCTGCTAATACAAGAAAATGATGAGGCCAGAATAAACAACAGACTGATAAAGATATCCTCTGGGAAGTATAATTAACATTGTTTTGTTTTACTAATAAATAAAAGCTAAATTTTCAATTTCTATCCCTACTGAGGCGGGTAATACGTTGTCTCGTACGGCTTCCCCCGCGCCTCATGCTGCTGTCTAGCCCAATTCATTCCTACCCTCATTTCATCTGTCAGTGGCACAATGCAAGGCGGTCGGTTGAGAATGATAGGAGGACTGATGCGTGAGAACTCATCACGGAATATGTGGCGGTCTTGGAGGTCATTGCGGTGGACAGTGAGGGTGTCAACGTTTTGGGTAGCGGAAAATGGGAGGGGTTGATGGAAAGTTAGTTGGGATGGAGATAATTGAAAGACAGAGTTTCCCGTTTGCTGGGAGGGGTGAACAAAGGCAGCTAGAAGCACGCTGTCAGACTTGTCCTTCTCGTGCTCAAACAAGACTACTCCACCAAAAACCTGCGTCCATATGGATAGTCCATGGCACAGCGATAGAGTTGATGATACAGATCAATGATGTAGTGTGGGTGTGGCCTGGAACGTAGGTCTGTCGAGTAGACATTGATCTCGGGATGGGCAGCGGTGTACAATTCTGCTGTGAGGGCGTGGGTGGTATGAGCGGCTATCTCTAGAAGATGGAGGCTGAAGTTGTTGAACGAGGGTACTGTGTTTTGATATGCCTGCACGGCCTAAGTGAATATTAAGGGGTCCAGTATCTATCATTAAAACAATGTTGTCTGTGGACTGAGATCACCTTTAAGGTAATCATCAACTCAGCAATAGATGTGAACTCCGTGCGAAACTTTCTAAACACAACAACTGCATTTTCAGATGGGAGGTCTCGATTCAAGACAGCAGGCAATATGGGTGTTCTTCCTGTGTTGCGTTAAGAACGAGTCCTGACTCCTCAGGATTGAGTGGACAAGGGCATCAAGAGGTGCAAGATGCTGTGGGTCCAGGTTTGCCAGAGCTGCGGTCTGCGGCAGAGGCATGCGGGAAGCTGGAACTCCTTGAAAATTCATTATCGGGATGATGATGATATACAATAATAAATAACGAGTTTCTGAGTTTGGCAGGATAAATAACCCTGTAGGTAAATATTGATTGGTTTGCACCGCGAATTCCTGGGGAGATTCATAGATACTTAATTATTGGCGGCAATTGCGGTTCCCGGAGCTGTTTTTAGCTAGGTTTATATAAATCTTGGGGTAGATTGTCGTTTAAATAAGTTGAGAATGCCATCCAAGTATTTATTTATTCGGACGGTCGACTCAAGGTTTGTCATCCGCTGCCAATTAACTATTTATTTAGCCACTCAAACCGGAATACCTATCACCACAGACATCCAGCCGCTTTGCGCTTCAATCTCTGTCACCATCAATCTCCCCTGCGAGAAGGATAGCTAGTTGATTGCGATCTGACAACCATCGCTCTCTGCAGATAACTCAGATATCCTCGTGCTGTTGACGCGATGGCAGAGCCAACGGAAAAAGAGAAAATGCTCCGTGGAGAGCTTTATCACGCCTTCACGCCGGAGCTTATAGCCGCGCGTGCAAAGTGCAAATGGGCGTGTAAGAGATTCAATGATTCCGAAGAAGTGACTCGGAGGCGGCAAGTTGAGCTTTGGAGAGAGTGAGTGAATCCACATGGGTACATATAGTACATCATGTGGTAGTTATTTATACGATATCCCCGCGTTTCAGCCCCTCCATATGTCCACACTCGCATTTCCCCTCCACCCCGCCTGCACCAGAATGACGGAGAAGGGGGGGGGGGGGAGGATGATAATCCGATTCTAGTCTTATCTTGTAACAAATCTCCATATCACAAAACAATTAACTCTTATCTCTCTCCCTCGTTTCTCTCACTAGCATCATCGACGACCACACCCCGCTTCCACCCCCAGCCGCTGACCCGGCCGCCGACGAGGCCCTCTTCGAAAACGAGCCCTGGATCGAAGCCCCAATCCGCGTAGACTACGGCTTCAACGTAAAAGTTGGCGCAGGCGTCTTCATAAACTTCAACTGTGTCATTCTCGACACCTGCCTCGTCACCATCGGAGCGAGAGCGCTGCTTGGACCCAATGTCAGTATATACAGTGGAACGCACCCGTTAGATCCCGCATTAAGGAATGGGACCAAGGGACCCGAACTGGGCAAGGAGGTGCATATAGGCGAGGATTGTTGGATTGGTGGGAATGTTGATATTTTGCCTGGGGTTACCATTGGGAAGGGGGCGACAATTGGGGCGGGGAGTGTTGTTACCAAGGTGTGTATGACTACTTTTTTTTAGTTTCTATTTTTCTTTCTTTTTCCGTTGATTGTTAGTTACGAGTTTTGGGAATTACATATATAAGTGGATCAATGTCTCTGACATTGCTGTTTTCTAAGGATGTACCGGCCTTCCATGTTGCTGCGGGGAATCCAGCACGGATAATCCGGCGGATCGAGACGTCAATGGCAACCTCCCCTCCAGATGCGCAGAGCTGATATCGCTTGGGGTTTGATAGGGAACTCCATCACACATAGCATGGACCATGACGCTTTCATAGACGAATATTTGCTACCTAGATTTGCCTGATACAGAGAAGACGGAATGAGGAACATAGAATGAACAATAAGAATTCCCGGCGCATTCCTAATAGCTGCTTGAAATGATGTCATGAGCACTGGATATCGAAGGTAATTAAGTAAAAACCAAAAGGCTTTACTTTATGACATCTAACTATCTATCAACCCTCAAATTTTCCTCAAATTTTTTTCGAGTTAGAAAACCAATATTTCTATAATATTAAGTTTGAAACTTATTTTCTCTAAGTGCATATATATACTCTACTCTGATATCGTCATTATCTAAGTTGAATTGTTGAAGATACTAATGTTTTCCATACGTATCTTTCATGTAGTGGGCTCATACAAAAGACAAGTTTCATATATGTTCATCTTTGCAGTCAGGTGCACTCTCACTCATGGGAGTGAGGGCGCGTGGCACCAGCTACTAATTTAACCTGGGCCTGAAAGTAAAGGCTTGGGGAAAAAAAAAAAAAAAAAAAGGGGGGGGACTCGGACAGGTTGTCAAAACTCATATCATCATCATCCATCATTCATCAAAATAACTACCCATCCATTGAACGATCCGATAGTAATAATAATAATAATAAAGAGGAACAAGCTCCTACAGTCGCCCCGACTTCAGCTCACGCAAAAACATTCATTTATAGAAAATGGGTTGTTTCCTCTACAGAGCACCTTTGCCGGATTTCTGACGCCAACGCGGGATGTTGAAAATAATAATGAGAATAACTAAACAAGCATAAAAATATGAGCAAAGAACCGGCTAGAGCCCTGGAATCCAAATGGATATGGCGCCGGGTGTTTTCCAGTTAGGCTCTGCTGATCCCGAAAGCTTCGCCTTCCATGATTCCATCCAGGCTTCTAGCGCCTGAGTTAACAACCAGCTTCCCAAATTTCCTTTTGTTTTCCTTCCTCGCTTTGGCTAATAATATCCCGAATGTCAGAATAAATGATGGATGCTACCAAAGAAAAGAAAAAAGAAAAGGCCCTGGTTATATAAGTCCATTTAATCCCTTTCTAAGTTCCCTTTTTATTTTGTTGTTGGTGTTATTATTCGATGTCGTAACCCATTTTGAACCCGCCGAACAAAGCCTGCTCTCTTTTCTTTTGTTTTCCCGGGAGAAATCCTGTGTGAGGAACCTGGTTTGGCGGGACAAAGAGAGGTGAGTGATGAATGAAAATGTGGTAAAAGCGGGCGGGGACGGTGGGCATGTTTTCTTTTTCTTTTTCTTTTTTCTTTAACTCATTCCCTTTAGGTGCTATTCCCTGAATATCTTATCTGACTTGCTATAAGAGAAGGTAATTGAAACGGTCCTAGAAACGAAGTTTGCTCCGACAATGCTTCCAGCATTATTAGCAGCTGAACTGATTGTATGTAGTAACTCCGTAGTACATGTATAGCTTAGGCATAGGTTCAATCTGCAAGCCGTAGCTCCAATCTTAGCTAGTTACTGAAGATTTGGCGGGGATGACTCATTATTGATGCTCTGGAGTCTGAAGTGCTTAGCCCACAGACTACACTGTACAGTACCGTAGCAGCACCAAGCGCAAAACTTTTAAACACAGTATCTGTTTCATCAGAAGAGCTGAAATCCGAATGATGTTGTGAATACTATAACTATGCAGGACGGGCGTTGAAGGTTGAATTTGAGATCGTCAAAAAGTTGCCGCTCAATCAGGCAACATCACATGACCTGAACGTAGTCAGCCACCGCGGAATGGAGGAATTGCCCACGCGAGGGGAAGCAGAAGATGGATTGGCAGGGGAAAAAAGCGCGGGATGAGGACGAACTGGCGGAATGGAATACTACGTGGTGGATGGTTTTGTTGAAAATTAATTCGGGCATTCTTTGAGCCCAGATTTTGGCGTCCAGGCAGACATGACATGGCGCGGAGGGCGAACTAGGTTTGGAATATCAGTTTCCATACATATGCTGAATGTCCAGAGTAAAAGCCCTTTCTCATGACTGATTGGAGTGAAGAAAGCTGCCAAGTATTGTTAAATTATAAATTAGAAAAAGGATAATTTGATAGTCATTCGTGTGTTGCTACTACAATAATAAGAAAAGTAATGTGTAGTTTGTAGTTCTGCTCTCTGTGGAGTGAGCGCGTCCAGCAGCAGCACATCGTCATTCCTGTGATTTAGTTAAACTACAGCTAAATAATTATTTTCAACGACAACCACCAACCATCACCACCACCACAACAATAACAACAACAACAACTAACCGATACACCCGCGGCGATAATAATCTCCTGTCCCTCAGCACAGCAGCCAACCACTCGTCTACTTCCCGTCCAGCCAACCACGGCGACAGATATCCTCTATCCGCCTCTCCTTTGACCTTCCCTTCACTTTCCCTGTCTTCCTTGTGGCCCTCCCGACGCCCAATCGCCAGGCCCTGGCCTCAGATCTTACCCCTCCTTGTCGAATCACATAGGTCGCCATTTTTTGGCAGGTGTTTTCGCGCTTGTTAATTCTGCTAGATGAAGCTGCTGCTGCTGCTGCTGCTGCAGACCGCCGTCGCTTGCTCCCTAGCCTAGAACTCCCCCCTCCCACCACTCCCTGGTCCTCAGCCTCTAACGCACTCTCTGCCTGGAGCTTGACTCATTCTTGCTCAACCTATTTTGCCCACCCGATTATTTCACAGACCGTCACTATCGTTTCATTCGAGTTTGGCGGGAAAAATGTCATGGCAGCTTCCCCGCTAGATAGCTCTAGCACCCCACAACCTACTACCGTAGCTATTGATCCTCAAGGCTCCCCAGATGATCCCATGGAAGGTACATATCCCCAGTCTACACGGAAACGTCCTCGTCTTGACAGTGGGAATCACTCAAACGAGTCTATGACCATGTCCGTCCCCTCCCCAAGCTCAACCAGCGGTCATTGCGGCGACGACCAGGTTGTCAGCGGCAACAGCCTTGTCTCTCCCACGACTACGCCGGTGCCAGAACCAGAAACCCCCAACCCACAACGTTCCTCCAGTAGAGTAACGATCAATATGAAATCTCCCACTCTCCACGATAATTCTGCCTCTCATACCGCCGAAGAAGCTCCAGCATTATCCGACCAACAACAAGAAGAGCAACATGAACAACACCACATATCTGTAGATATTACATCCCATAACAAACCCGAAACATCTATGGCTTCGTCACCGTCGCACAGCCCCGAGATTGAGGTTGCTGAGGTGGAAGATATGGATCAGGATCCCAGCACATCCAACTGGAGGTCATTAGAAGATGCTCTCAGAGCTCCAGAAGAACCTGAACTTGTGCACATTCATGACGAGGTTTCCCTGGCAGAATCCTTCCCACGACTCAGGCAGGACTGTGACATACGGCAGGCAGTAGAAGAGACTGCGAGTTTTCTCGAGAGAGGTAATATATTTTCTTTTCTTTGCTGTTTCTTTTATTCTTTCTTTTTTCCCTCCCTCTGCCAGTTTCTATATTTATTTGTTTTTTTATATTTATATTATATTTATATTTATTTTTATTTTTCGATGCACCATACATTTACTAATGACCAATGTCTCCATATACAGGTCACCCTCATGATATCGCAATCTTTATGTCGGTTAAAAACTGGCTTGAGCTCTGTGTGAATAACCTGAGTAGTATCACATACGACACTGTTGCTGAAGATCGGGATGTATGGGAGGAGGTTCCAATGCTTATTGAAAGTCTTTTACGGCGGCAGTGAGTAAATACACTAGAGGTCAATTTCAATATTTCACGCAACTGCTAATGAAAATGGCAGGATTGATTTCCAACCCGACGAAGGAGAAGGCCCTTGGAAATTCTTTGAGGATTTCTCCGTGGCATTTGGGCGCCTTGCCATTCATATGACTCGGATCGATGCTCTAACACTAGAACATTATCCAAACGACACAGATTCTGCGCCAGATCTACTGTCAAAAGTTTATTTACCCGCGTTGGGATGGATATTACAGGTCCACACAATTCCATTTTACAAGATGATGGAACGAACTTTTGGCCCCGAAGTTATTAACTTTGTGGCCCGTGTCAACGACCAACTTACTGCCGCTCCAGTCAATCTCGTAAAACGTCTGTCAGAGTTCGCGCATTTGCTTCTCAAGGCTCTCCAACCATGGCCACAATTCGCAGGCACCTTCATATGTCTACTGACCATTGCCCATAACGTTGTCGATTCTGGAATGGAGCGGAAGAGGTACCGCGCAGACGATGAACTAATCGCATCAGCAGAACTTGTTGATGCCATTAAATCCGTATATACCTTCATTCGCTCCATAGATACCGAGTATCAGTCTTCCATTTCGAAGAAATCTTCTTGGGTTACCAATGACAGCAGCGAGTCTGTTCTCCGTTTCGTCGGCTACACGTACCATAACACTGCCCTGTTGAATAGTCAGCTGGCAACGCAAATGACGCGTGATCTTGGCGTGGATGTTCCCGAGAATGCCAAACAGGAGGAATATCCCGCCATCATCCACCTAGGTTGGAAGTTCCAAGTCTTGAAGAGGCACATCACAGAAGGTCGAATGGAACTCCGCGTCTTTGGTATGGAAACTATGCAGGCTGATCTTGTCGGTGTCTGGCGCCAACATATCCAAGGAAACCCCGCTGGCATTAACTACCCAATTATCCAGTATCTTGTGAAATTCCTGAGGGACAGTAAGATCGTGGAGTACATCGTCGGTGTGGATTCACATCCACAGTTGATAAGCCGGAGTGGAAACGTTGTTGGGTTCCTTGTTGTAACATCCACTTACACAAATAACGATACTGATATTATTTGGAACACTGTGACTGAAAGCGAAGACCCGAGAACCGTGGCGGAGGTTCTGGGGATGCTAACTCGGACATTTATCATGCATCAATCTGGGTCGAATGCTTTGAATTATCTTTGCACCAAGCTCATAGAATTGCCTTTGAACCGCTTCGACGCACGGATGCTCGAATATAGCGACTGCCTTTTAAATGCCGTGAGGGATAAACATACGGAGAGAATGCGCCAGCAGCCTTATGACCATGTGCATGTAGATGTGGTCCCCTATCGTCTGTGTGTTCGCCTGATTCGTGACGCCACGTCCATCAGCGAGTTTTCCGTCGAGCAAAAAACGAATTTGCAAAAGTTTGCTAGCAAGCAGCTTTCACATCTACTGACACTTGGGCTAGATGACAACGATAAAATGGAAATGTACAAGAAGTGCATCGATGATATATCTGAAATGAACGACTTTGTGGTTGGTAGTATACAAGCCCTGAACGCTCTGATACCTCCTTATGATAGCCTAGACATTCGACGGCTGGCACTGGATTTTGATTTCACTCGGTTAATAATCACGGAACTTGCTCATACTTTTGATACTGTCTCCACCGATTTCTCAGATCCCACTGTTAGAAACTCTCTTCGACCCCGGATTCAGATGCTTCTTCGAATTATCGAAAAAGTGCCGGAAACTATTACTCCAGAACTAAGCGAAGTTCTCTGGAACCGCGTATTTATGTCAAAGAAAATTGGTGAATGTGGTCGAAGCTTGGCTTGGGAAGTACTCCCCAGAGCTACAGTTCGAGCTGGAAAGCGAAATCCGTTTCTCGAATCTTACCTCAACAACTATCTCCTTCGAATCTCCCCAGAAGACTATACCCTTGATATTCTAGCATTTGCGGAGCAGGCAGTGAGTTACGAAATTCGCTTCGATCCGCCCCCGGAAGTGGACGAAAATGAGATTATTGCCATTCCCGGAATGGATCGATTATGGCATTTTATCCTCACGGCGCCCCCCGGAACGATCGAAATGAAAGCCATCAACTTCGCGATAGATGTTTACCTTGATCATATATTGATTCGCAGAGCCCCACGCTCCGCAGCAGAGGCTACCCATGTCGCATTGGTGGATCGCTGCGTTAGGCAACTCACAGCAGCTGCCGCGAAGTGCAAAGCTTTCACTGACGGCTCCGCAAGCGGCGAGGATGAGCCTATGGTCATTGTTCCGTCTGATGGTGAAGTGCGAGCGGAAGAACTACGGTTTACTCGCTCGCTTCTTTTCCTGCGCCAACTACTTCAGGGACTGCGAACGCGGCCGCAATACACTCCGCCCCAAGTTAGCCCGCAAGAATCAATGCTCAGGGACGATGAGATAAATGGAGAAGTTCTCGAACTTTCATACCAAGCTTTCAATGGGAATTCTCAGACCAAGATTCGTACTTTAAAGATAGGAGATCTTTCCACTGCGTCAGATTTGGCTGAGAAGTTAACTAGGCTCACCGGCTTTACGAGTTTCTCTAGTTTTAGCTGTGGACAGAGGCTGGACCTTGCTGCCAATGCTGATAAGACTTTGCGAGATTTGAAACTCGTAGGCCCAGGGCTCCTTATTATCCGAAAGAATCCTGACGCTTTCGAGGCGTCGGTGGGGGGACGGCGTCAGTCGTTGACTTTGGTTGACTCCGAGGTTTTGAAGCATTTCGATGATCTGTATGACTTGTTGAGTCTGGAGGAGAAGTTAGCTAAAGAGGTATGTTTTGTCTTCGTCATTCTCTCCCGTTCTCACTTTTGGATCGCCCAGGGTAAATTCGTAAATACTAACAATTAGTGTGGTTAGATATTTGACTTCTTAGCTGTCTTCCCGCCCCAGCAGCGCGTTCGAGATTTCGTCAGATCCAAAGAAACCTCCGAGCCGGAGATGTTCCCTTTGGAGAAGCCCTACAAACTTCTATACTCTATAAAGGCTCTCACAACATGCGTAGGCGAACAAATTTTAGATGTATGTTAGCAAGCGATTGACAATACTCATTGTATGTCGGGAAGCGAGTAACTGACAAATATTGTGGTTAGAATAACGCCGATCAAGAGTTTATATCCCACAGCATTCAGAATCTGGTTGTGTTCATAACACGCCCCCAGATGGCTGAGGGTTTAGAAGATAGCACACTAAAATTAATATTTGCACGCAATTTTGTGGAATGTCTGTTGTTTGCATTGATGGGTAAGTTAACAAAAGAAATATGCTAATAACCCCCCCCTATGATAAGCAGCCATCATATTAATGTCCAAAAATAATTTAGCAAAATCGACGCCAGAAGACTCTGAACAGTTATTCCCCAACCCGTTAGAACTAGCCACTCGACTTTTATCCTTTATCTCCCTCGGCCAAAATCTTACTTCCAAGCACCTCTCGGAACTCTCCATACAGAAACTAATATCTAATTCCTTCGCTGTCATCATCGAAGCCTCGATGCACGATAGTCGCGTTTGGGACGCCGTTGAGCAAAGTACCCAAATCAAGGATCTCATCTTCACCTTGCTTCTAGCGGAATCTAGGCAAAATATACGCAAGAGTATTGCGGAAATTATATTTTCCACCTGTGGTACCTCCCCATCTCAGAAACGGGTTTGGAAGTCCGACAGCCAGACGAAGGCAGGCGTTGACACTGGTGGCAAGCCCCCTTCCGCCACGACAATTCATATTGTTGCAACATTATGGAAACATATTTCTGCCCGCTTCCCGGATACTCTCAAATATGGACAGTCCTCCCAGGAGTTTTTCGAAGTTGCGCTTATCCTTTTTCAGACCGTTGCCATCTTGTCTCCTGAAGACTTAATTTTTAGAGAGTATCTTAGGCAATGGGGAGATCTACTTCTTAGTCATCACACGAATGAGGTTCGTTTTTAGTATTCCTATTTCCTATTTTGTATTTGTATCGTTTTGAGTCCGTTCAGTTACTAAACCTTCTCAATTCTATTTCTTTAGTTTGTTGGTCGAGAGCCTGTTGACTACATTGTTCTGGGATTTACTCATCTCTTGAAAATGTGCCTCGAGCTCTCTCATTCCATAACCGGCACCATGGACACAAGGTAAAGAATACCCACCCGCAGCCGCATATGAACCGCACATAAATCTTTTATTTAGTCCGGCGGATTCTAACTAAAAATAGTAATCTCATGGAAAAGCTATTCTACACCTTTCTATTTCCCGAGCTCTCCGATCCCACTGAGACTGAGGCTATTCAACCGAGCATTCCTGTCATGCATAATCCCACCAGGCAAGAGATATATAATATTCTCTTGCGTCTGTGCGAAGATCAAACAAACTATGAGAAAATGCTAACATTACTTGATGATGTCATTCCATATGGTATGACGTTCGCCCATTGTATTACTTCTAGTTGGATAATTTTTATTTGGTGGTTATTTTGCTTACCCTTTTTCAGATTATACCCATGAACCAAATTGGATTTTCGACCGATACAAAACCATCCGTTCTCCCGAAGGCTATGCGGGTTTGAAAAACCTGTCGAATACTTGCTACCTGAATTCTCTCTTTACTCAGTTATTCATGAACATTGATTTCCGAAAGTTCATGATTGAAGTACATGTTTCTGACGTGGATTCCACTCAGAATCTACTTGCAGAGACGAAAAAGGTATTCGCTTACATGCAAAATACCTGGCAGAAAAGCGTTGATACCCAGGAAGCCGTGGATACTATCCGAACATACGACAATGAGCCTATCGACATCAATGTTCAGATGGATGTAGATGAGTTCTACAATCTACTATTCGATCGATGGGAAAGCCAGATTCGGTCAGCGGAAGACAAGAAACTCTTCAGATCTTTCTATGGCGGCCAGCTTGTGCAGCAGATCAAGTCGAAAGAGTGTCCTCATATCTCGGAGCGACTTGAGCCGTTCTCTGCGATACAATGCGATATTAAAGGGAAGGCTGGGCTGGAGGATAGTTTGCGTGCATATGTAGAAGGGGAGGTGATGCAAGGGGGTAAGTTGAATGAAGTTGATTGTGAAGATCTTGTTTCGGCTTTACTAAAATAGTTTGCAGATAATAAATACTCCTGCACATCGTGTGGACGTCATGTTGATGCGGTCAAGAGGTGAGCTGTTAATGTGCCATGTTTTGGTATGCAGGAAGGGCTGCGGTTGTTAATTTCCTCTTTTCTTTATGAGTAGGGCTTGCTTGAAAGATCTCCCGGATAACTTGATATTCCATCTCAAACGCTTCGATTTCGACGTCATCTCGATGATGCGCAGCAAAATTAACGATGAATTCCAGTTTCCGGAACGTCTTGATATGACCCCTTACACGGTCGAGTATCTGAGTAACCCCGGCACACCAATTGCACCGGATATCTTCGAGCTGGTAGGTGTTCTTGTGCATAGTGGTACTGCCGAATCTGGCCACTATTATTCGTATATCAGAGAGCGTCCTACTCCTGCAGACCCCAGTGCCTCATGGGTGGAATTCAATGACTCCGACGTCAGCAGGTTTGATCCTTCCAAGATCCCTGATCAGTGTTTTGGTGGCCTAAATGACCCAATCCACGGTTCGAACATGCCCCCAGTTCGCTTTAACAAAGTGTGGAATGCGTACATGCTATTCTATCAACGGGTGAGTAGTATGGAGAAGGCCAAATCTGTTTATGAACCGTCCCTTGATGATACACCAGTCAGTGTCCCACTACCTACGGAGCTTGGAAACCACATCGCATTAGAGAACGAAATTTTCATACGGACCTACTGTCTGTTGGACCCGTATCATGCTTATTTTATCCGTGCGCTTCTGGAACAAGCAAGAAGGTTTGCTGCCATTGAAGAAACCGAGTTCAGTAAGATTCAAAAATCAGCCATAATCCTCGCCCTAGACAATTTAGACCAAATCATTTCAAGGTCTAAAGAATTACCTGAATTTGAAAATATCATTATTGAATTGGGGAGAAGTGTCAATGAAAGCACCGAAGGGGCTACGGCAGTCCTCGGTTGGACTATAGTTCGACCCTTAGGTATTCGAGATCTTCTTTTAAAGAGCCCCAATAACGTTGTCCGCGATGGGTTCGGTCGACTGTTGATCACCGCCCTCTCGCGGTTACAGGAGCCGCTAGGGGATGAAACAACAGAAACTGGCGAACAAGCTAGCTGTGAAAGCAATTATGCGATGATGGTTGAGAATATTGTTGACACACTTGATGGGCTGTGGGGTTGTTTACACCTATATTCGCGTGCCTGGGACGATTATTTCGAGCTGCTCCTTGGTATTGCTAATTTTGGCGCCTTGCCTGTCCATGTCATGCTTGAACATGGCTTCTTGTTAAAGTGCCTGGAAATGGTCTGGCTGGACAGAGAGGATAGCAAACGGTTGAAACGACAGTATGGGAATTATTTCCGGCTTATTGAGAAAGGTCGCAAATATTCACACTTCAAACTTGTGGAGGTCCTTTATATTTTGATGACGCATATCGACTTCACACTGATGCCCTCACCTGACAATCGATCTCGGGATTGTATTATGGGTAAATATTCGCTTACCAAGGCTGAAGCCGAACTGATTCGACCCGTTGGAAGGAATAGCGATCTCATTGTCCTGAGGAAAATCCTGGAACAGCAAGCTAATCCCCCAGTTTCACGGAAAATAGTGAGCGTCTTCTTAGCCGCTGACCCTAAATATGGCCTAACGGACAGCATCTGCAAGGTTCTCGAGGAAGGCTTACGGGCTTCTCCAGCCTACCTCTGTGTTCCTTTCCTTGAAGCTACTCTAGTTTTCTGCCAAATGTCCACGGATGGCAATCAGATAACAAACCTCATCGACTACGTGTCCAAAGGCGTAGACTCCATCAATGACAGTGGGGGTCGTGAACATCTGGCCTTCTTCCAGTCGCTGGTGAAAGTCAAAAACGAAAAGGCTGACAAGGATGAATATTGGTTCTGGAGCTCCGTGGTCGACCGGATACCGGATTGGGCGCCGACACTGCTTCAATACCCGGAGAGGGCAGTTAGGAATGGGACGCTGGATTTCCTGCGGCAACTCCTTTTCTCGAAGGAGTATGAGAATATCACCGACGATTTCCGCCAGTTTTACAAGAAAATTGGCAGGGATTTAGCGCAGACCTGCGTGGACAAGTTGCGCAGGACTTATCTTACGCCAGCGGACGCGCAGCCTCCTGAAGTTAAGGCGATGGAGACAATTGCACTTGTGATTATGCATTGTATTGAGGTCTATTTTGATGAGAGTGACAACGCAGATGCGGAGTTTATTCAGCAGGCTACAGGTATGGCAGAACCAGATCTACTTTTTATCTTTCCTTATGAATAATCCCGCTAACTTCCTTGCTAGCTGTCATCTCTGCACTAGAACAAATGGCCGTGGATATCCCGGAAGAACTGATGTCTGGTAAGCAGCCACATATCCGTTTCCTCCTTGTTTTCTTTTGCTTCTAACCACCACCCCGTTTTTCCCTTTTCAGGTTCTGACTTCGCTTCAGATGGCTGGGAAGATAATTCGATGATGGGGAGCGATTCCGATGTTGGTCTGACCGGGTCGCCGTGAACTAAAACTCTGGCGCGCATGATATGGCGTCCAACGTGCAGTTGGTGTTAAAAGGGGAGTCCTTTTTTACTTTTTGAAAGATAGTATAAATCTCGTTTTATTTTGTTATCCCTATTTCTTTTTGCTGAAGTGTTTCTTATTTTCATTTTACGGTACCAATTTTTTTTTTCTCTCTTCCTGTCTTGTGTTGATGATGATTGAATGACCATTCCCTCATCCATCCCATATCCCATTCCCCCTTTTCTGCATTTATCTGGCGTTAAACTTTTCTGTTTTCTGTATTTAGAGGCAAAATGGGGCCAGTGTATTTAAATGTGGGGGGTCTTTTTTTCTTCACAAGGAAATCTTGGTCTTTCATGTCTAGGGAACCCTTGGTCCTTTTCTGTCTTTCTTTTTAGCATCATACAAGTGAATGGTTAGGAGAGTGAGGGGTATGTCCTTGTGTTTCTCCCACTTCACTTCCTCATGGAAGTTTACATTTGAAAGAATGAAAGAATGTGGTGAAATCATCTCTCTCCGTCGGTTCCTTTGACTCGGGTTTACGGACTTTGGGACTTTGTGGTTATTCTTTCTTCTTTCTTCCGAGGTTTTTTTTTTTTTTTTTCCCTCCCTCCGTTTCCTCCGTTTTCTCTTTCAGATGTATATGGTTTGAACGGATGTCTTGTTCTTTTCCATTGTATGAGCTCTATTTTGTTCTTCAACCTTCTTTTTGTTTGATATTTTGGAGCCCGTCATTGACTACGGATGATGAGATTAAGCCGACAGACAACTTACTGTACCTGTAAGAGCCGATGGAATGGATGTTTCTATAGTTATCTTGCAATCTGCAGCTCGCTCCCTCTTTTCAGTTCAGGTCCTTGGCCTCCCTCACCTTTTTTTGTGTGTGTGTTTGTGTGTGTGTGTTGCGCTTCAAGGCGTTAATTATGACCATGTTTCATATGTTTGTGTTAGTTACTATTAGTTACCACAGAAAATATGTATGTAAAATTACTTCTACGGAGTCATTTATTGAAAGAAACTTTCTCTAGAGATTCCACAACTGCTCCCTCACTGAATTCTCTCCGGATGATACATATTTTGATATAGCTCCCAACATATGTATATATATATATATACATATATATTTCTTCTTTTTGCACCTGGCAACTTTGAGCTCTAGTTTTATCCAGTCAATTCACTAATCAGGACAACATGGAACAGATAGCAAGAGAGGTATCAAAGTCTTGCTCTGGCCATCTTTTCTGGAAAATCCCTCAGTCTAGTCATCCGCTGTTAGGAAAACTCACGCATCAACGCGGTGTTGTTTGGCTGATGCATGCTTTGCTTCGTACACTCTGGTATATGAGGAACGGTTTGCAAGTGCCGACAGTCGATACTGAGAAGTTCTATCTTGCATCATTGGGTGCCATCCACTCGAAGCTATGGAGGGTGTGTCAGAGAAGAATCATTCCGGTGGTATATCTTCGTATTTATCAAGAGAATAACAATATAGTAAAACAGATAAAGTCATATCGACCCATATGGCTACAAAATAAGGAAAGGAAATACATATAAAACCAAGCCTGCAAAAGTAAGATGACCAACCTAATGGTGTCACTAGCACGGATAACAGGGAAAAAAAAAAGCACTTGAACCGCCGTGCATCCTGCTTGTCTATCGTCTATTGTTTATTTTGCTATTTCTTGTCTCCACCGATCCCAATATTACTAGGATCCCTCACCGTCATCATGCCAAGTGATTCCAGATTAAGATTGTTATGCGTAGTTTTGGGAAACGTTATATGTCGTCGTAACGTGAATCTCAGCCGGCTCTCTGTCGTCCCTGTCGAGGGTCTCAATGCTGCCCGCCGAGATCACATAGTCATTGTTCTTTGAATTCGGATCAAAGCTCTGCACGATCCGCTCTTCGCTATTATCGTCCATTGTTGTCAGGCCCATCTCAATCCGGATCCGGTTCTGCTTTTCTTTCCTCTGAATCCGGGTGAGTTCGTGAGTACCGGTGGTTGTGGTCTTGGCGCTTCGGCCCGTTGATGTCGTCGCCAGGCGGACGGTTTTGGTGAATAGAGGTTTTAGGACGGGGACATTGACTGCAATTATGGCGACAAACTATATTTACGACAAACGCGTTAAGAGTTATGTTTCTTTTCCACCAAACGGTTCAACCGCGTGACCTTGGAAGTGTTATCTTACAGTTTCTCGAATTGACCAGATAGTTCCAAGGTTGATTGACGCGACGTCCTGTAGGCAAATAATGCAGCGCAGGAGAGTAGCTATGACGATAAAAACCCCAGAGCAAAGCCACGCCCCGAACAGAAGTTTTCTATCATTAGGACGTGAGCCGCTGTTTGTGCATATGTAGAGCGGACAGGTCTGCATTCATACCGTCGTAATGGAAGCTTTACTTTCCACAGTAATGGAAGGGGAATGTAAATAATCATGATATCAGTCCTTCGATAATCAGCAAAAGTCCAAGGAGGGGAAATTTTCGGAGGGTGGACATACGTCACATTGGTCGTAACCAAGGCCAGGTAATTGGGGATGTTTAGTGCACAAGCATCTTGCCGCATGCATTAGTTCTCTTTTCTAAACAGCGATTTGGTTCAGCAGACTTACCACCAGGATATGGATAAGTCTGCCAGACCTTCTGAATTGGATAACATCGGGTTAGAATGACAATAATTGTCGCGATGTAGGCCAAAACGCAGGTAACGGCAGTTATTGTAACTGCACGTTGCTGGCGAAGGTTCAGGCTGAAAGCACAGCAAGGTCAATAACCAGATGTGAGATATTTGAAAGCAGAATAAAGACTGACGTGAGCCTGTTAAAGAGGAATAGCATGCACGCCTTGAGGCACCAGATCAGCGTGACATATAGACACCAGCCTGCAAGCAGACATTTGGTGCCAATAACCATCCGTCGTTTCTGTTCCTCTGTAAGCTTGAGGGCGATTTCGTCATTAATTCCAGTCGTTGAGCCATATTGACCTGGGGAAACGTATTAGAAATGATAATTCGGCAGGTCACTGTATAATGCTTTCTTTTACCGATTAATTCGAGCATGCACAACTCAGCCTAATGTTCGCGTCAATTCTCTGGTCAAAAATAAAATAAAATAAAATAAGACGCGAACCAGGGAAGCTGTCATCATACCGTCCAAAAGAGAACTGCGAGAACAGCGAAGTAGTCATCTCCATCCCATTTTCAACCAATAAGCCTGCATCAGTAGATTATTCTGATCAATAAAATAAGCAGCCCAATGCCATACTCGGTCCATGCTTCAGTCTGGAACGGTGTCGCCATCGTCAACGAAATTGAACGAACGGAGTGGAACCCTCACTGAGGAGGAGGGCCGCATATTATATATAGCTCGGAGTTCCGGTTGGGTACGCCAACATGTCCTCGGCGGGTAGCAGATCCTTTTACATAGAAAGTGAAATCCATTCCCTCAGGAATGGCTGGGTTGAGGGGAGTGGTGTGAAAGGGGGTTTTTAACGAAACCATTCCTGTTTGCCCCCACTGCCCACCAGCTTTTGCATATCAAGTAAGTAGTCTCCTTACAAAAATTATTATTCCTGTTAGCAAAATCCACCCTCTCCATCAAGTATAGGCTAATTTTTAGCGCAGCAACGGTCAACCTCTCCGGTCCGAGCCTCTTCCCGGTTTATGGAGCCGTTGTGGAAGAAACAAGGGGCCTTTCTCGTGAGACGGAGTAAGCTGACTTAGCTGAGTGGCTTGAATCGCAAACTCAAACCCCTTCAGGCAGACCCTGACAGGCCTATCACACCGAGAGGCTCTGAGGGAATCCCAAGCGGATGGCGCATGCCCGCCCCAATCCAGGAGGCGCTGACACGCCGACAGTCTTCCTAAATACCCATAGAACCATTGGCTCTGTCCACCAGAAGCGGGGATCTCTTTATTGTGCTCCAGAGGACCCCCCTATTAATACCAGACGCCCATCTTTTATTGGGCTGTAGTGACGTGAAAAATCGTGGAACACCAACAACTCGTGATTTTATCGAAGACTGCTTTCCATTATCTCACTCGAAGAGTTTACCCCGCACAAAGCACAAAATGCTCGAGTCTGCTATCCCTGAACATCTCCTGCAAGAGAGGACGAGGCCCGTTAACACGCCACCGAATTTTAATCCGCCCTTCCCAGCGTACTCTGCCCGGTTCCCAAAATGCACAAAGGACCTAGTTATGGCAGTCGTCGGTGCCCAGTACTCCACACCCACCGATGAAGACGGATTAGCAATGTCCACGGTGTCGGGATTTATCAACAATCCAACTGCTGCTGGGAAGAAGCCATCGTTTTGGGAGTTAGCATCCGTGACTGATAATCGGGGGGCATACAACATTGCTGTCCTTGCTTACTGGCCTGATAAGGGATCTTACACGGAATGGGCAACTACCAGCGGATTCCAGACCTGGTGGGATACGCTGGACCCTGAAACACAGCGCCACGGGTGGTTTCTAGAGGTATTTTCCCCGACAATTGATCGGTTCGAAACCGTCTTTTCAGACAACGAAGTCCCAGAGGGTGCGGCACATATGAGGGAAAGTGTCAGTGGTCCTCTCAGGGAACATGTGTATTGGGGTAGCATGCGCGACCGTTTACCCATCGCACAAACGGATGAGCTCGTGGGTGAGAGCGGCAACACAGCGAACAAGCCCACGAACTCTGTTCTACGACGCCGTATCCGCGTGGGCGGCAAGCAAAACTTCGCAGTCATTCGCTCGGGTCAAGACTGGTCGAACACTCGCCCTGAGGAGCGAAAGTTGTATGTCGAAACCATGCATCCCGTCCTCACCAAAGGGATGGACTTTCTTCGCGACCATGGCGAAGATGTGGGGTGCTATAGCTGTCGGTTCATGGACATTGTCGATCCTGTCTCTCACAAAGCTGATAAGGAAAGGACTTTTGGCCTTGCTTTCTTTGACGACCTTAGCTCACTGGAAGGATGGAGCAAAAGCCATCAGACGCATATTAATATTTTTGGGGGCTTCTTGAAGTACGCGAAGTCGCTGGACAACAATATCAGCCTGCGTCTGTTCCACGAAGTATTGGTTCTAAAGCCGGAGCAACAATTGTTCGAATACCTTGGGTGCCATGAGAATTCTGGGATGCTGGTTTCTTTGGGCGCTACATAGTAACTAGTTAGAGTTTCACGATATCAACTCAGGAGTTAGTTGAAAGATGTAGGAGTAGTTTAAAGTTTATGTCTCGAGTTTCAAAATAATCATATTGTTCGCCCGCCTACCCACGTTATCAGCATGGAGATGTTTTTCTTTCTTTTCCAAAAGAGTTCATTCAATATCTGACGCTGGAAATCTCGCTGTCCTGGTGGAAAGTCCGATCTTCAAACCACACTTTCCTGGGCTGGTGTGAGCAACAGTATCGAACACAGGCCAAACGGCCCCACGTTCAATCAATTTTGCCCATCCGCCGGGCCGGTTCCCGAGTTCCACGCGAGGCCAGAGGCGATGGAGCCTACATACCGTCGCAAGCCGGTCGGCCTGGGAGTCCGATCCAGGATCATCAACGGCCCGCCGAGACGCTTTTGGCGAGAATTGCCTCGTATTATAATTTATCGGACTGGATACGAAGCCAAGCATGGGCACCCCCGCCTTATGCTCCGCAGTCAAACACCGGAGCAAGCTATCGCTTCCGGGATCCCAAGAAGAATAATAATCCTTAAGTTGCCGAATGGGTTCTCTGCTCTGATAATAATGGTCAATGGTCAAGTGCGGGTGGAGCAAGCCGATCTGGGACATAAATAATCGAGCAAGAACTCCCTAGCGGGCGAATATTCTAGTTTCCAACAGCTGCCACAAGGACAATAAAAAATAAAGTCCTCCCAATATTTCACGCATCGTGTTACTTTTCGACGAAAGTGGGGACATCTCCATCAGGGATCATCGCGATGCGCGCTGCTATTTACTTTTCTGGGGCGTATTATTCGCCTTCAAGTTTCACGCGGCTCTGGAACTCAGAATCCGCCGATCTTCAAAGTGTTTCTGAGCTGCAAATGTGCCCGAACCTGAGTTCAAACAATAATAAGGAAGCGTTCACTCAACAGAAGTTCTCCTTCTTTGCGAAACCCTTTCTTTTGCGTTATGCACAGCGTAATGCATGCATGCCAACTTTCAAGCGCGCCACTTTTCTCTGTTCTGTAGTTGTTTCCGAAAGGTGGCTGGCACATTGGTCATCTTTTAGGGCCAATTCTGTTTTAAAATTTGTGGATCGGCGGGATGGCGTTACGCAAAAGCTTGGCTGGGACCCTCAGAGGTTGGCAAAAGGATCAGGTCCAGAGCGGTAGTTGAATTTCCATTAATTAATATTATCACTGTCTGTCTACCTGTCTGCTGTGATCACTGTGATGTCTTTGCTGGGCAAGAATGTTCGGAAAACAAACATCGTAGAGCAAGCAGCTTTTCGTTAAGGTTTAGGTGCGGTGCGCACCAATATCACCAAACTCACAAGTTGTTTTTTTGCCTGAAGGTTCAGAAATGGGATAGAAACTAGGGCCTATTCATTTTTGCTGAGATACTTCATTTAAAGATGGGGTCAAGAAGTCTGTCTCTCTTTGAGATCCGGCGGGCTTATATTCGTTTTCACCCCTAGGAAATTTGGTGAACATCACATCAACGAGCGTTGGAACCGAATGCATCGTCCAGGCGGATCCGAAAGGAATGGGCATGTGTCGAAGAGACGCACCGCGGTGCATCATAATTGCACAGAAGCGAGCGAAAATTTGGCAGAAAGAGAATTGGTTGAGATAAGAAACACGATACGCCTGTATTGTATGCTACAAAATTTCTTGAAGTAGGAAGGTAAAGTAACCTAGACGTCCTCGAACTCTTCGTCGTCCTCGTCTTCATCGGACTCGGCTTCTTTCTTCACTTCAGGTTCGAATTTAACTCTCTTGGCGGACGGGCCGTCTTCTGCAGACGTATCAGGGTGTGCAGTACCAGCCTGAGGACAGCTACTGGCTGAGTCCGATTCCAGTTCCCTTTTAAGTGATCCATTAGGGAATGTATGAGCTTTAATACCATCTACTGGGGCCGAGGTTGAGCCGCCAGGAGCAACTCCAACGTCCTCGAACTCGTCTTCTTCCTCGTCTGATGACTCCTCGGCAGAGCTCACATCTTCTTTAGCCTCCCTTTCCTTTTCGCGCGCCATTTCAGCGTAATATGCAGCAACCTTATCATCAAGAGCATCGATGTCTGGCTTCTGTTCCTCCTTTACTTCGGATTTGACAGCGAGTGCGTCAACAGCAGTTCCATTGGGCTCGGACTTGATTCGTAGATTGCCAGCTTCTGTTTTAACCGTTGATTGTGTATGCCAAACAGGAAGCGCGTTTTGCTTCTCGAGTGCAGCTTTTCGCGCTGCCTCTTCCGCTTGCTCAGCAGCACTCTTCTCAGCTGAGGAAGTAAGTGACACTTCTAAGGACGAAGCGTCTGTTTTCGATATCCCTCGAACAGCTGCCTGTCGGTTGCCCGTGTAGGCCACCCCTGGTCTTGTCGGGTTGGTATATTGATTTCGTATAACATCGACTTTGTGCTCCCAGGCTGTCTCAAAATCATTCTCGGGGACGTCGACAGAATCAATCTGTTTGAGCAGCTTTAACATCTTATCCAGCTGCGCCATTAGTTTGCTATTTTTCTCATGACCAGTCCGATCAGCGCCAGCCCCACCCTCGACCTCATCAGCTCTTTCTAGTGTAGCTCCGCATCGATGGCACTCAAAGCCTTCTGGCCCGATCCGGCTTAGAACTTCCAACTGAGTCCATTCAGCACCACATCTTATGCAAACATATTCCTTCCTGTCTGCAGTAGGAGTATATTGCGATTTAATAATCGAGGTGAGACGGGAAACACGATATTTGATAGCGTCCACAACAGGGTAGAGTGGTATATAGTAGTATTCACGGTTCACTGGGCGAGTTTGGCCATCTCGAATCTCAGGCCTTGAATGACTGGATACAAAGTTAGCTCTAAGGTTAGGCAAAGATTTTTTTCATGGAGACATCTCCCATACACTGCAATGAGGCGGTCTTCACGCAAACGAGCACAGAGCTTGCGCAGGTCCTTCTGTTGCATTCCAAGAAGATGTGCGAGGTCCTCCGCATGAAGGCTACAAGATACGTTAGCTAGAGATTCTATAGAAATTCGCGAGATTGAAGGAATCATACACTGAGTGTATGAAAAGAGCATCAATCACGAGAATGTGGCGAGTCTCATAGAAAGCGCGCACGACAGTGCGAATAAGGCTGCTTGCGAGATCCATAGCTGTTGCTGGGCGGATATTACGCCAATCGACAGTCTCGGACGAGTTGATATACGTCTTGCTCAACTGCAGCTCGGTGGCCGCCTGGCGATGGACTGGCTGGCACGGGCTCTCCGTTCAAGGTGGCTCTAGCTTATCTTGAAATCATCATTCTTCGCATCCCAGGCAGCGGCAAGCTGAAAAGGGGTGCGGTTAAAATATAGGGCTGTGTTCCCGTAGATAGCGGGTTTCCGTTCGCACTGAACAGGACGACAGTATTTGCTTGAGATTAGTTGAAGAGAGTGTGGTGTCGTCGCGATAATACGAGAGGGGACGAGAAAATAAGAGCCCGCGAAGGAGGCATTTTATCTGTTTTGGGTTAGCGTGGCGTGATCGAGGGCAAAGCTGACTAACCAGCGACTCGGACTGACGAGCTAAATCACGATTTTTAAATTTTATGCGGAGCGCGAAACTGCCCCAACTTGCGACAGGAACTCCTCCCTTGAGGAATTGATAGAATTGAACTGCTCTATGGGAAGCCTCCCTTTTCTATATCCAAGATGGATACCCACCAGCAGCCTCCAGGCCAAACTCCTTCAAGCAATCCTGCGCCGGACCAGCAGGCGGTTCCCAACCCAGACCATTCACAGCAACGGGAACTTCCACAATCACACCCCGAGGGCGGTACAAAGCGAAACATGGAATCAGATGTCACTGGAGGAAGCCGAGGAGGTCGCAAGAATAAGAGAAAAGATCTGGGAAGGAAAGCTTGGAGGTGCTTTTGCTAGTTTTTTGGTTTGAAATGATTCTATACTATGAAGTGTACCGCAACTAACTAATCACAAGCCGTCAAACCACAGATAAAAGAGCACGGACAGAAGCCTCCCAAGAATCGAAGCGCCGTAAATTAGAGCGCGGAGAGGGAGCGCTGCCTATCTATGCTACAGAGTTCTCCAAAGAAGATATTGAAGCAGACCAACGACGCCCAAAAAAGAAAGTCGCTGTAATGCTGGGATATTCGGGTAGTGGGTATAAAGGAATGCAATTGTCAGTTTGAACGTCGCGAATTTCATCTTCATATTTATTCTAACGTATAGTCTACAGGAGCCCGACTGAAAAGACAATTGAAGGCGATTTATTCACTGCTTTCGTCGCAGCCGGGGCAATCTCCAAAGCAAATGCTACAGACCCCAAGAAGTCGTCCCTTGTTCGATGTGCTCGGACAGATAAAGGCGTTCATGCCGCTGGCAATGTTGTCTCGCTAAAGCTCATTGTCGAGGATTCCGATATTGTGCAAAAAATAAACGAACAACTCAGTCCGCAAATTAGGGTATGGGGCATCGAGATAACAAATAAAAGTTTCAGCAGCTATCATTTATGCGATTCACGTATTTATGAATATTTAATACCAACGCACTGCTTCCTACCACCGCATCCTAGTACGTCCTTGGGTCAAAAACTAGTCGAAATCGCCGAACAAGAGAATGACCTAGAGGGTTATAAGCAAAGGCAAGCGGAGGTCGCTACCTATTGGAAAGAAGTTGACGAGAAATATATTCAACCTATCCTGGAACGACTGCCCGAAGTAACACGGAACCGTGTGAAACGGGCGCTAATTGTTAAATCTGATACTGGCCCTGTGGACAGCTCTGATTCCCAAGGTGAACAAAAACTAAATCCATCTAATGAAGGAGATGATGCGCCCACCAGTAACGAGACATCAATCCAAACGAATGAAAACAAGGACACTAGCGCTGAAGACGCCCAGACAGTGACAACCAACGACGCTATCCGCATGATTCGAGCGGCCTACCTAGATGCAAAGAGGGCATATCGCATACCAAAAGAGCGAATGGACCGCATCAACGATGCCCTTGGGATGTACGTCGGTACAAGGAATTTCCACAACTACACCATCCAAAAATCTTTCCGCGACGCGTCCGCTAAACGACTCATCAAATCCTTTAAGATCTCGCGAGATCCATTGATCATCAACGGCACGGAATGGCTTAGTCTTAAGGTCCACGGCCAGAGTTTCATGATGCATCAGATCCGGAAAATGGTCGCCATGGTTGCCTTGGTGGTGCGCTGTGGCTGTGACATTCAGCGGATCCCAGAGACGTACGAAGATCATAAAATTGCCATCCCCAAAGCGCCAGGGTTAGGCCTGCTGCTCGAACGTCCCATTTTTGATTCATATAATAAACGAACTGTGGTTGAGTATGGAAAGAACCCGATAGACTTCTCCAAGTATGAGAAGGAAATTGAAGAGTTCAAACAGCGGGAGATTTATGAACGGATCTTCCGCGAAGAGGAGGAGTCAAATTCGTAAGCTTCTCTCTCTTATTCTTTGCTCTGCCGTTTTGCAGCGGCAACTTCAAATTTGCTCTGTACGAAACGTAACCGCTGACAATATACAATACCCAGCTTCGGGAATTTCTTCAACCACATTGACACCTTTCAAGATAGCGCCTTCCACTACGTGACGTCGGGAGGAATACCCGCGTCCAAATCCCGCGGAGGTACTGGTAAAGCACCCATGAGCGGGAAGGCGGCGTTGAAAGAGGTTGAATCCGAATCCGAGGATGAAGTCGTCAACGGTGGAGAGGAGGGCGGATGATTGTAAACCCGCGCGCGCGCATGTGTGAAAACAGGCCCTATTCGGGACGATGGTGGAAGTCATATATAGTCCTCATATACTCTGTACTGTACTTGTATGCATAGTTATACCGTACAGTGAACAGCAGAAAAGCCTTACAATAACGGTTACCCTGAAAAAAATAATTAAAAAAGCATCTACTGTTTGTTCCCCCGTGCAGAATTGGCACTGCCAGATAGATCATTTCTGTGATCCACTGTTTGTCCGGCTTTAGGACACTACATCTACAACCGCCCTTCTCCAGCACATCAACGATAAAAAGCTCGATCCCATCGCAAAGGTATATAGAGAAAAAATATAAATAAGAAGCCAATAATTCTTGCATTAACTTAGCATATACAGTACATATAGAAACGCAAAATTTCAACACAAAATATGTTTCCATCGCAATTATAAAAGGTCAACCACAGCGGACACCACGCACATCCACAAAATCAGAGGACTTGTCGAATATGACGCAAAACAAAAAAGTCAAGAAAGGTACAATACACAAAGGAATAAGCAAAAGAAGGCAGTCAGTCAAAGGAAAACAATTAGCCTATAGGCTAATAAAATGTGGCATGGAAGGGGCCAAAAAGCCGTTCAGTTTCAAACAAAACAAGAAACGATATCGTAATACTCATTCACTCTCACTGACATTTCCCATTGTTAATTTCAATCTTTTCTTCATCGCTGGAACAAAACAGTGTGAACAAACAAAGGTGGGAAGGTCAAAAAAAGGAGGGAAGGAAAAACAAAAGGAAGCCGCAAAAGAAAGCTAAAAGGACAAATCTCAAAGAGAGAAAAGAAGGATCTGAAATATTTCACTTAATAAAAATCGGGGGAAAAAGGACGGTGCCCTAAGAAAATCCAGATATATCAAAAAGAAAAAGAGCCAACATATGAGAAGAAAACGAGCAGTCAGATACTGAGCAGGGACAGAAACACTAAAAATCACTAGAGACGGGGAAGATAAACTCAGGGCCAGCATGAGAAAACGAGAGAAGCGAAAATTGGAAAAAATCGAGCAAGGTATTGAAAAGGTTAGCCCATTAGTAGAAGAGCAAAGATTGTGTCTTCTGATGGCGAGAACCATGTTTTCCAGCTTCAGGTTGCGAAAGGTTATGCTGGTGTTTGGGTTTTGGCGCTGGCGCTGGCGCAGGCGCAGGTGCGGGAGGCTTGGCTAATGGAGGACCAAATTGATCCTTCGTTGGACTCGGCGGAGGATGTCCCGTACCACGGCCAGCCGCCTCAATCTTCGCAGCAATGCTACGTTCCCGCTTAAGAACAAGCTCCGTCCACGCCTTAGGCTGTCCGCTAGCACCGGCTGCCTGTCCCTTTCCAACAGTCTCGGCAAGGACTTTCATCCAGCCTTCCTTTGCCAGGGCACTATCGGCATAGAAATCAATTATTTCGCCGTTACCAAATCGGATGCGGAAACCTTCCTCCACAAACATGTAGCCCTCCTCTTCCTCCGCGAAGGCTGATTTACGTCGGCGACCGCCTTTCCCGGACGTTTCTTTCTGGGTTAATGTAGACTTATCATCGATCAGCTTGGATGCTTTGGCCAAATTGATGGTAGCCCGAGGTTGGCGAGTAGTTTCGTGGTACGCGGTAAGCTTTGACCCCTGAAGTTTAAAGTAACGTCGACGCCAGTACTAGGAACAATCAAATATTAGCCGAATCTCCCCGAAAGGGAAACAAAACGAGAGGAAATGATAAAACATACAGGGCAGTCTCCACCCTGTTGAGACAAAAATCCCTCCCATGATCTTGCAGCTGCATTATCGGCTTCTCTCATCTCCCTAATGCAGGCGTTCATACTCTTTGGCATATCATCATCCGTGGCCCCTTTGGGCTTAGGGACATAGAGAAGCTGAAGTTCCAGTTTGCCAATCTGGTAGGGGGGTCGCTGCTGCATCCCGGACCCTGCAGAGTAGGCCATGGATCTCTTGTTCTTTGAATTATTAACAGGGTCAGTTGCCCACTCGTTGAAACAAGTTACATCGACAGTCATTGGTCTCCCAAATGCCCCTTTCTCGTAATCACTCAGAGAAACGTAAGCACGAGCAAAGCTGCCATCGCTGGAAACTAAATTCCGAAGCGCGTCCCATGGGTTCTTTTTCTCAGCCAAAGCCTTTTCTTCAGCTTTCTGCTGTTTGAGCTGCTGTGCTTCCATCTGCTGCTTCAACCCCAACTCCTTTCTCTTCTTTGGGGATGCAAACACGCGGCTGAATGTCGAACTCTTGTGCGGTTTTGCCGCTTTACCAGGCGACGAGACGACAGATTGGCTGGGTTTAACTTTAGGCTCTTCCATTTTCATTTGAAGGGTCAATTGGAACTCAAGCTCGTTCAGAACAACCAATTCAAATTCTTGGCCGATAGGAGCGGATTTTCCAAGCTCTAGCCACGAAGTTGTTACACAGTGGAGGCCATTGTCAAGAGTTAGGGCAAAGTTGAACCGTTCACCTGCATCTAAAATTAGTCAATCATTTCAATACAGGACGATTACAATACGTACCTCGTGCCAGGGGCAAATCCAAATCCTTCACTCCAACTACCTTGACAAAGAGTCGTCCCCTTTCATCACCCTCCTCAGTCTCCTCTCCGGTAGTTTCCGATTCATCCACGCCACCAACTTCTTGCTTTGCATTGCTTTCCTGTCCTGGCAATGGAGGGACAGATCCGGGAACGGGCTTCTTCTTCGGCATGCCACCTGCTAACTTGATGCTTTGGCGCCTCGTTTTTCCATTCCACGGCTCAGTTGTCCACGTCTGTTGACTGGGTTTTCGTGGAGAGCTTCCTGCAGATTTGGTGCCTCTTGGGTCGCCATCCACAGGAGAGTTTGGCTCCGACGTCTCATCTTGGCAGCTGGTTGCGACGATAACTTTGGTATTGTGCCTCATGAGGTAACCTCTCTGTCGAGTAGTAACATTATTAGCAATCCTGTCACCAGCTAAGGGAATTTCCTTCCTTTCAGATGGCATCAAATTAGGCAAACGTGATTGTTGCATGTTGACATTGGTTGTGTCCATAAAGGGGGTGGTGTAACGAGTCTGCTTGGAAAGGAAATGGTCAAACGCAACCTTTTGGGCCTCAATAACGCGGTCAAATTCCAGGTCAAGTCCAAATCCTAAACCTTCGTCGTTTGCGCTCACGGGAATATCGAGTTTCACAAGAGAGCTTTGCCGCTTGTCATTATTGATTGGCACTGTCGCATTAAGCTGGGGAAGATCGGATAGGAACGAGGTGAATTGATCGCCATGCTCTCCATAACTGGGCCGGGATCCGGTTGACGATTCTTCTGATATTGACGGTACAGGCGGTTCCTGTCCACTTACCTTACGGCGAGTTGCCGCCATCTCATGGACGTCTGCAGGACTCAGGGACGGTTTCGTTTTTAAGCTTCCATTGGACGATTTTATGGTCGCAAGAGGATCTGGAATAGCGAGGAACTCGTCAGTGGGGGACATGTCGTCGTCAACGGAATGGCGAATGACCGATTCGGGTGTCGCAGGCCCGTCATGATCGCTACCATACACACTTTTTGACGCCTGGCTACCATGGCCATCTGGAGTTTCCTGGCGGTGGAGAGAATCCCGAATTGACTTCATATCTAAGGCGGGGGCAAGCTTAGAGGCTTCATCAAGCGTTGAAGAGCGGTCAACGTACGAACTCAAGTCGAGTTCGGAGTTATCTTCACCAGTAATACCGGAAAACTCAGAGCGGCCTGGGCTCAGATCAGGCAGGCGGTATTGTTGTGGCGCATTCTCCGGTACTGGCGTGCTCTGATCATCCGTCGAATCACTAGAGGTATTGAAAGTTTGCTGGTCGGGATCGTTGACCGAGTCTGTGTATCCATTTTCATTGTTACTTTGCGTTCCATTACTATCATCATCGTGTTGAACTTCATGGCCGTCGTGTGCAGTCTGAGAATAATACTCAGAGATATCATAAATATCGTCATCCTCAGCTGGCTCTTCCTTGATCATGACTTCTTCCTCGTCTGTCTCCAGAGAGGGGATGGGGATGTCGGGGTCTAGGGGAGTGTGAAATCGTGGACTGGAGCTCCGAAGTGGGGAGGAAAAGTCCTCATTTTCGTCGTCATTTTGCTTTCTGATGTTTCGTAGAATGGATTCTCTTGAAATATGAGGCGCAGAGACGTGCGGATTGAACGGTGAGCTGTCCTGCCTAGGACTTGAAGTGTCGCTGAACGATGGGGTACTTTCAGTCTCACGGTCAAAGTTCTTATCCTTTATCCCAGCACGTCTCATTCTACGCTCACGCTGCTTTTCGGCTTCCGGAGAGCGTTCCGGGTCCTGGACCATCATCAGACGAAGCCTGTCTTCCAGTGACATTGACCCATGGCCCATTCCATTTATTTCGGCCTTCGAGCAAGATGCCGGGCTCAATGGGGAGGGCAACTTGCGGGATCCACTACTGGCAAGTTCCATTGTCATAGAGAGCCTACTCGCCCGGTCGGGAGTTACTTGGGACTGAGAGCTAGAAGCGGGCAACGGTGGGAGAGGACGATGGTCACTGTTAGAGTCAAAAGACTCCACTTGGGATTCGAAGGGCTGCGATTCTTGCGCAGAAGATGGCCTCAGATCGGGGCCGGGGCTGCCGAAATCTTCACTGAAAGGGTCATCCTCCCCCTGGAACTCCTCGCTAGCTCTATCGGGGCTCATAAAACGCCAGTCCTCTGGTAGAACTACTGGAGTCTTATCTGTATCTTCCAAAGACGCGTCAAAGCTGTCTTCAGCCCCCATGTAAGAACCGCGATCAAAACTCTCCTCCTCGTCCATATCAGCGGAATCGTAGCTTCCTTCCCGTGAACTCGAGGCAATTGATGATGGAACGGGGGTGGTCATTTCATACTCGTTGATCTGAGGGGGTGCTGCATCAAATGTTACGCTTTTAGTCTGGCGATGCATATAGGGACGCCTTGGTGTTGTATCCGGACCCGCATCTTCGTTATCTGACCAGATCTCGCTCTCGGGATCAAAAGACGGACGACTATTCCCGAATCTACTTTCTTTCGTCAAAGATGACTTCGTGGGAGACGATTGAGGCCTGCTTGGAGAAGTATGAGAATACGTCGGGGAGAAAGAGCTTTCCGGCTTTGGGGTAACTGGGGTGTTATTTGTGGAGTCGATTTTCCCGGGATACAGATTTTGTTTAGTTGGAGAAACAGATTGGGATGGCAGCTGTCGTCGAGCATCCACACTGCCTGCTTCTTTGGTATTATTCTTAAATTGAGAGCTCAGTGGTCGACCGGTGGCAAGGGGCCGTTCCAAAACCTGGACGTGGGCAGGGTCATATTCCTGCTTCTTCTCTCGAGCAAAAATGCTGCTATTTTTCACACGGGATGCTCGTTTTAAGTTTTCAATGGAAGATCTTTTTGATGGGGTGGTCACAAGAGGGTCGTATGGGCTTCTGTTTTCAGAACCCGGCCTGGCTGGAGACCCGCTATCCCTGCCCTTCCAAAACAATCTTGGAGACTGGGGGGAATTGAAGGAATCGAATGGAGATGAATCGCCATTACCGACGGTGGTCTAATCATAACAGTCAGCCAGGAGCTATGTTAGACCAGGAATTATCTACACACCTTGGTGCGCTGGTTCCAGCTTGGGGAGTTTCTACGTTGAGCCACTGGACTCAACTCCGAAAGAGGCCGCTGTCCACTTGCCATCTTGGGAACGAAAGCGGACTGACACGCGTCTTCTCAACTACTTTCCGTATCTATCAATTGATTAACAGGCTGTCTTGAATCAATCCGCAGTAGAACTTCATCAAAACAAACAAAAAACTGCCTAGTTGAGGTAACAATTCTAGTAGAATCATACCTGCGACAAATGATATAGCCACACAACAAGGGTATTCTTTGCGGCGAGCTAAGGGTGTCGAAAGGGTATTGACGAACAAATAACTGTATTGTTTGCGAAAAGCAACAATGGCGCGCCAAAACGGCGGGGAGAAAGGGGGGGTTGGTTATAGTAGTATGGCTCCTTTGACTGGTTTCCCGAGAAATTTAACTGCAACAACAGCCAACAGGCGGGAAGAAGGGATGTATAAACAGCAGAAACAACAGGTAGAAACAAAGACAACAAAGAGCGACGTGAAGAGAAACGGAAGAGGGCAAGCATGCACGCAAGCACAGAGCCAGGACAGAGAGAGTACGGAGGATGATGGCCAGGAGCGGCGTCGATGTGGGTTATAACTTATAGGAGACAACGATGTTGTGTATGGTATGGTATGGGAGGGAGGGGAATGAGGGAGCCTCATGGGTTCGGGCCCGGTTTGCCTTGTTTGTTGCCGCCCCGATGTTGATGTTCCCGCTGCTGCGGTTTCCCCAGCAACCTGTCCCGATCTGGCCTAGTGTCAGTTCCAAGCTTCCAAGGGTTTGAATCTTGGAACCTTCAAATTTTCATCCACTTCCAAGCTTAGTTTGATGCGGCCCGACGACCAGCTCTGGGGCCATATATATATACACATATTATATATTCGCAACAGCTGCCACGGGTCGTTTACTTCATGTCATTCGTGTCATCCGTATGTCCGCGTTGTGATATGAGAGCTGTTCTTTGGGGCCGGCAGTCTGCTGTGTCTCCACCATGGCAGGCCATCCGCTTCGCTTCGTCCGCCAGGCAGGCCCGGCGCAAACCAGCTCGCATGGCTCTGTCACCAAATGTTGCAAGACCCTCTGATCGATCCCCCGATTCCAAGAGGAACGTTCCTCCGACATTCAAGAATAACCCCTTTGGAGGCATGAACCAAACCCGAGCCCGCTTACCCGATCGCCCACTGGCCAGGTCTGAAGCGCAGCTGAAAAGATCTTCGTCAGATAGGAATAGTATGGAAAAGGATGATGTAGACAAGAAAAAGGAGGGTTCGCTATTTAGAGCTCTGAAAATGCAGATCGCCCTAACACCAATACCCTACTCGCGTCGGAATAGAATTAAGGAGAAAATCGCCTCGATTACCAAATTTGATCAGTTCGCTCTTCTCCCTGAAGTACGAGATGCAGTGTACGCAAATGCATTCCCCACACTTACTGAAATATCCCCAACTCCTATCCAACGTGTAGCTATTCCAGCACTGCTTAAACCACCCGCCTACAAGTCAGAGAAGAACAGGCTGCGGAAAAAGTCTAAGGCCGAGGCAGAAGAAGAAGAGCTGTTCGATTTCGACCAATTTCTGCTGGCAGCTGAAACTGGGACTGGCAAAACGCTAGCATATCTCCTACCAGTTGTAAACTGGATCAAACGGGCTGAGGTGGCGGAAAAAGAAACGGAAATGATGGAGAAGGAGCAAAAGCAACAGGAAGAAAAGGAAAAGGAAAAAGAAAATCTATTTGAACTTGAGGCTCCCAAGGTGGTCATGCCGGAACATTCGAACGTCGCACGGCCCCGAGCTATCATTTTGGTGCCAACAGCGGAACTGGTAGAACAAGTAGGGAAACTCGCAAAACAGCTTTCACATACTGTCAAGTATCGCTCCGCGATGATTTCGGCTGCCTACACTCCACGCAGAATTACAAACAACCTTTTCAATCCCGCTGGAATCGATATCCTTGTTTCCACCCCTCATCTCCTCACCTCTATCGCCAAAACCAACCCATACATCCTCAGCCGCGTCACCCACCTCGTCATTGATGAAGCAGATTCACTCTTGGACAAATCCTTTTCACCTCTCACATACTCCATTCTCGAAAAAACTGCTCCCTCCCTGAAACAACTGATCCTTGCCTCCGCCACCATCCCTCGAAGCCTCGATTACCTCATGGAAAAAAAATTCCCGGAAATGAAACGCCTTGTGACTCCAAACCTCCACGCCATCCCGCGCAGAGTCCAATTAGGCGTCGTAGACGTGGACAAGGACCCATATCGCGGCAACAAAAAGCTCGCCTGTGCCGACATAATATGGTCCTTAGGCAAAGCAGGAGTAACCCAGGATGACGTCCCCAGCGACGGCTACCCAACCTCCCTCTTCCCCGAGCCAAAACATATCATCGTCTTCGTCAACGAGCGCGAAACGACAGAGGAGGTAACCGCCTTCCTTAACCAAAAGGGTATCCACGCCGTCGCGCTTTCGCGAGATACCTCGGATCAGCGCAAGGATGAGATCCTCGCGGAATTCACGACGGTCAAACCACCACCCACTCCCCGGGAAGTCAAAGATGCGCAGCGGAACAAGAAGAATTGGTTCTCAGACTCTGTCCCATTCGTTAGGGACGAGAACGCACACCTGGGCCCCCAGAGGAGTCTCCGCGATACCAAGGTGCTTGTCACGACTGACCTTGGCTCACGCGGTATTGACACGGTCGCGGTACGCAATGTTGTTTTGTACGATGTTCCGCATACGACTATTGATTTCATCCACCGGCTGGGTCGTACGGGCCGCATGGGGAGGAGAGGGCGTGGGATTGTTTTGGTTGGCAAGAAGGATCGGAAGGATGTTGTGAGAGAGGTGAGAGAGGCGATGTTTAGGGGCCAGGCTTTGATCTAGGGAACTGTTCATGTATAACCAAACAGTTTGTTTATTTCTCTCTTTTTCTCCCTATATTTGTGGGGTTTGGGTCTATAGAACAGTTTAATCGCCCTTTTTTTTTTTGCTTCTTATGTACTGTATGATAGATAACGTCGGATACTAGGGGGGTTTTCCTTTGGAGTTTACGGAGGAATCAAGCTTGAAAAAGTTGAAAAATTACATATATCACTATGCACAATAGATCTGATTGATCCAAAATCATCTTGTCACTAAGTTTACCTAAGCATCAATCTTTCCTTTTCTCTTTGAATAAATTGCAAATCTCTCTCCTCACTTTTCCCCTGCTTCGTTTATAATATATGATCTGCCAATAGAAATCCACCCCCGATCAAACAAATAATTGTTAATGTATATTTGCAATTCCCAAAAAGGTCACTGTAGCTATGTGAGCCTCACCTGGCATGGTGATCTGTATGGATGGACACTCTGAGGGTGCACAGATTAAGGGGCAATCAAACCACAGTCAAAGAGCAACAATTAGTTGATCTCTCTAAATATTTAAACAAGATTAATAGACCTGGACATATATTTCCTTCCACAGTTTTATTATTATTTTATTGTTCAGGTTATTCAGAATCAAACAAATATTAACTATAAAACCACAGAATAAAATATGATATATGTACATTTATACATCTATTGAATTCAAAAAACTTTAAACAATCAATCTAATAAATCAAAATTAAAAAAAATAGCAGTGAACTAGAATGATTGTTTTTAAAGGAAACAGTTTAACATTGTTGAGAATGAGAAAGAGAAAACTGCTAAGAATAAAAACAACAGAAAAGAGATGGTAACAAAGCTCTCTCTAATTCATCTAAAGATAGGCTTCTGAACAATTTCACATTGTTCTTAATATGACTAATTCATACTCTATCTATAATTTAACATCAATAAATGTTCTAATATATCTAGAGAAGCCTTATTCCATTCTTCTAAACAGTAGGTGCAGATCTTTTGACATTAGTATATTCGTATCAGGCACTCTTCAGGCTCAGGGGCAAACAAGCATGTCTAAACCTCAGAATGAGCCACTAACTAGCATAGTTAAATCACTTATTACATCTGAAACTGACATCATTGAGTCATCATTGCTGGACATAAGAAAAATAGATGGATAGATGGAGAAGTATGATTGCATGTCAGAGAGATTGTGCTCCACAAAGGAAAAATTAGAATGTTTGTTTCTCTGCCTGCTAAAGAACCATCTAGGAAAGGTTGGGCATCTATAAATGTGAATAAATATTATGTCTCTGGGATTTTATAGCAAACAGTAGAAAAGGGTTGAGATATAAAAGCGAGCCATGGGCGGTGTAAGGAAAGGGATAAAACGAAGAAGTGACTGAGGGCCCAGAAAACAGAGGTTTCTATTTCTCTATTGATTGAGTATCTTCACGAGGACGGGAGACGAAAGAAAGGAAAAGAACGAAAGGAAGGGCGGAAACTGAGCTCGATCATCTATCGTATATCAACTAGTTAATTCAAATTCCCATATCCTGCCACTACCTCACCCATATCAAGATACAAGAGCGGGAAAAGAAAAGGATCTCAACCCGTCATACCGAAACAGCCTTAACCAATATCGCCAACCAGATATCCACCTCCCTTCCCTTCCTCAACCCCCAGGCCCTCAGACAATACCGAGAAACCAAACACATCTCGATAACAAAAAAGGATACAATGAGCTACCTCCGCCTCTTATACCAGCTCGCAACCCAGCCCCGTCCCAGTGGTGATCATCGCCCACGGATTGACGGTAGCACCGCACGCAAACCCAAGACCTGGGGACAACCACAGCGAAACTTGTTGGGGATTAGCGATGGAGCGGGTGGGGTTAAACTTATTGGCTTAAACCCGGGGGAGGGAGCGGCAGCTCGCCAGACTCAGCGTAATCGTGCTATCACCGGTGGTGGTGCTGCTAATACCACCAATGCGGCTAATGTTGTTCAAGTGAATAGGAGCGGGAGTGCAAGGGAGGGGCATATTGTGATACCGGGTTGTGAGTGTGTATGGTGTAGAAGGGCGATGGAAGCTGGGGACACTGGTGGTGGGGGGAAATGGTGGTGAAGGAGCAGCAGGAGGAAGAGGAGCTACTGGTAATGGTGCCGAAAGAAGGGTGCGCTTTATTTTGTGATGATCTTGGGCTTTTAGCTTAGTAGCAAGAACAAATTGGGGGAGAGTGAACATATGAAACCTAATGTGGTAGACTGTTTAACAGACCAATTGCTAGAGCAGAAGGAAAGAAAAATATTCCGGCGAAAAATCGAAGCAAAAATTGTGCAAGTTTGGGATTCGCAATAACTATACAGATTAACAAAATAATGTAATTCCTCCACGTAGGTCATATATTACTGATGATGATATATGCAGTTGTAGCTGCAGCCATTGCCAGGAGATCACCAATAGACACAGAAAAGGGGTATCAAATTTCCAAAAGCGTAAAAAGAACTCCGTGATATCCCCCTGAACAACATCGCATTCCATCGAAATAGTGGAAGCGAAAAAAGAACGAAAAAGGAAAATGGCAATGATGAAAGATAGGGGATAAGGAATAATCGTGGAAAAGAAGCGAAAGGCGTTAATTCAGTGCAGGAAGAGATCTATCATGATAGAATCATACAGAGAAATATAATGACAAGATGCATTCGCCAAAGATTAACACTCCCAGATACTTGTTTAGAATACACGTTAGCTTCTCAGACATATCAAACCAGGGGATAAAACGACAAGAACGAGAAAGCAAAAAGAAAACTGAAAAGAAAAGAAAGCTAACCGTCACATTGTCATCCTCAACTCCCTAACCGCCCTCCTCCCCGCCCTCGTCATCCTCCTCTCATCCCCAAAGTCACTCCCACCATCCGTATCAGTCTTGACATCCGGACTCTCCGGCGTCGGGCTCCCAACAGTGCCGCCAAGTCCCCCAGCACCAAGCCCAAAACTAACGCCTCGATCCCTCCTCTGGATCCGATGCTCCTCATCCGACGTCAAAAACCGATGCACAGTCCTATGATCCATCACCCGTTCCTCCAAATCCCATCTCCCCTCCCGATCCGTCTTCGGCCACCGGTACCCATACAGTTTCGAATGGCGCTCGCAGCGCGGACACTCCTTGCGTGTGAAGTACGAGTCGCCCTGCACGAACCAGGCATTGCAGGTGGAGCAGTCGACCCAGCGGTCGTAGCGTTGGCCGAGGAGTTTGGGGGTTTTTGTGTAATCGCCGGGGATGCGGAGGAAGGGCGGGGAGGGGTCTTCGTGCTCGATTGTTTGGAGGATTTTTGTGCGGCGGGTTTTTCGTCTTTTTGAGGACGAACTAGTGGAGGAGAGTTGTTGGTCGCTTTCTAGTGTCGGTTCTGATTCTTCTCGCTCCCGCCGTTTTCGTGATTCTCGTTTATTACGTTCCTGTTTTCGGTTTTGGCCTCGTTTGACAACGAGCATGTCTGCGTCGTTTAGTTCCCATGAATTCGACAGGTCGGATAATTCGCCGTCATCGTTTGTATCTTCAAAGACAAGTTCGGGGACTCGTGCTGTCTGAGCGGCGGGGTGGTCGCATGCCGGGTGAGGATTCCGATTGTCCCTATTATCAGTGCTCTGGGCGACTAACGGTTCGTGCCCCTCTGCCGATTCTTTTTTAATTTGTACCGATGTCGTGTCTGATATTGAGGTCGCCTCGGTAGATGCAGATGCGGAGGTGGTGGTGGAACTATGCGTTTCATCTGGGCCAGGGGAGCAAGACGATTGGTCGTTCGTAGAAGAAGCAGCTTTGTATGAATTACACGTATCGGGATTATCAGCTTCGTGATGAGGATCTAGGCCATCTGCCTGATGAGTAGAACGATCAACAGCAATGGGGTCCTTGCAGCTGTTTGCATATTCGGAAAGGGATTGATCTAGAGTTGAAAGGAAAGAAGGTTCGCCAGCCTCTGGACTGCTGGGCATGGACATCTCAAGCCTCAAATTCGAAGCCTTTCGCTCCACCTTCCGTCTTCTAGACGGCGTAGAATTCTCCGTGGAGAGAAACTGGGAATCTGAACCGCGTTTCCTTTTGTTATTATTACTGGACCCCGGCGAGGGCGGCGTCGAAAAAGCAGATCGATCTAGCTCCTCACATACATCCGCGGGCGTGGAGACACCGCTATTCGTCCCGGAATCAATCACAACACCATTCGGAGACCATCCATTCCGGAGTGCCAGCTCACAGGTATGACAGAGACATTCGCAGTTATCCTCACCAAAATAATTCTCCCCATACGAGACGGTAATCTCCTCACCAACCACAATATCCCTAGTCGCGATTACCTCCATACTTTCCGGCCCCCTCATCACCAGCCTCCCATTCGCGTTACAATCATGATTCGCAAAACGCGCCGGCCCCAGAAAGATAGACGGCGTCTTCTTCCGGCTCGACATAACGATACTAAAATCCTTCCTTGTTAGATCGAGATCCATCTCCTCCTCGCGTGTCATGGGTACAAGCGTGCCGCTGAGCCCGCGTATCGTCGTTCCGGAGGCGATGAACTTTCGCGCAGAAACGGCTGCCTCGTGGGTGGTTATGGTGTAGCGATTGGTGGTCATGACCTCAAAGGGACAATCGGGAAGGTAGATGACGATGTACTTGCGCAGGTGTCGACGAAACCATTCCTTCTCTCGATCGGATTTCAAGCGGTCGACGAATTTCTTCAGCCCCGGGAGAGCTAGGAGTGCTTTCTCAGCCTTTGGCGCGTCTTTCCCGACGATGACATCGTGGAGGAGAATGGAGGTAACCTGTTCTTCAAGTATACCTCTGCAGGGGATATACTTGGTTCGGTTTTTGCGGATCTTGGTCCAGAAGTAGGCCTTTTATTCGCATTTCGAAATTTCATTCAAGCGTCCAAGTTAGTTTTGCTGAAATGCGCCAGAGCATATATGATAAAAGCATGAACTTTCTTCTTGAATTTTCTTTGAGGGATGCTAACCCGATCAACTAGCGCGTCTGTGATCACATCATCATAGCTGGCAAGTTGAGAAAGCGTCAACTTCTCTTTGCGGTCAGGAGGCGGTATGCTAGGCGCCATCGGAAGCGTGGGAATATATACTGCGCGACGCGGTCAATGGGGGTTTTCAAGGTGTATTAATGCATAAATTGGACGTATGAAGCAAGATACAAATAAAAATACACGAGATGGATATATGGGAAACGAAAGGCCGGGAAGCGATAGAAAGCGATAGAATGGGAACAAGGGGTAAGTATTGTTTAGACATGGGGCAGCCAAAAATAAAATAAAGATGTCAAGTTATAGTTCAGATGATGTCGCAAGCAACTGCAGAGCCGCGATCATTGTGGGCAACAACACGCGATGCGCTTCAAGACTCCCTGTTTTGCTTTGGCCTGGGAATATTTGAACAGAAAGCTCCCAGGCTCCAAAGGCTGAAAATGAGGCTTTTGACGTCGTATTTTTGGCTGGATTACTTAATGCGGCGATCAGCTGCCTGGAAAGGGGAACTTGGCCGCTGATTGGCTGAGCTATTTATGGGAGCAATCGGAACATTGTTCATCCGGGGTCCGGTGGATCTGATGCTTATTAAGCACCAGATCTTGGAGTGGGAAATCGCGAGGACAGGAAGAAGTAAAGAGACGAAGAGACGCCCAGAGCAACAGAGCAGAATTTGCAGACGGGACAGACCAAGTCATGCAACCAAGATGATCCAACTAAAGGTATGTCCGTTTTCCTTATAATCGGGCCGGGGTGAGAGAGTGAAGGAGGGAGGGAGAGAGATACATCCGCTGACAACTTCTTCCTTTAAACCAGACGATGCTTAATTGCATCGACAACTCCGGCGCAGCCATTGTCGAATGTGCCAGCGTCCTAAAAATGAAACGAGCAGCCTCAATCGGTGAGTTTGCGCCATATCCTCTATCGTTATCCCTATCCGATATACCTCCGCTCCTCTCCATCCAACAATGCGCATCCCAAGAAAGCTGACAAAAGGCCGGCGTCATCCCAAATAATTACAGGCGACCGCATCATCGTCGTCGTGAAGAAACAGCGGAATTTCGGCCCGGAGATGGGCGGTGTCAGCAGCGGCATTGCCAACAAGGTCAGACGAGGAGACGTCTGCCATGCCGTCGTGGTCAGGACGAGAAACGTACAGAGGCCCGATGGCAGCTTTGTCAAGTTCGATGATAACGCGTGCGTACTTATTAATAAGTCTGGGGATCCGATTGGGACGAGATTGAATGGTCAGTAGGAGGTGGTTTTTTCTTATTTTGCTTTTTTGCTCACTTGTTTATCCGAGACATATATACTGACTCACGTCAATAGGTGTTGTTGGAAAAGAATTGCAGAAGAAAGGCTGGTCGAAGATATTGTCGTTAGCACCCATGCATTTGTAAGATTATTGTATAGAATATATATTGTATTTTTGATATTTCCCCTTCCGCTTGCATCAGAATCTCAGTAGGATGTATAACCTAGCTAAAGTGTGTCGCAACGCCAGAAAATGAATGACGAATGAAAATAAAAATACAAAACTATAGAAATAGGAACACTCTCTAACGCCTCAATATATCCAGCTCGTCCAAACTCATAAACTCCGCCCAATGGGTATAAATTCAGAGAAAGAAAGGAAATGACAGATAAAAAAAGAATCGAAAATTCCCTCCCAAATCAAGTAAACACATTTCCACAAGTGCAGCACACGTAGTAGAGTTTCTATCCCGAAGAACCAAGGTTAGCAACTTGTGAAAGGGAAAAGGGGAAAGGAGTATAAAATAGGCATATATCCATACCATTCCCGTCTCTGCTGACCGTTGCTGAGATTGAAAGAACACCGCTTCGTTTTCGCCGCAGCTAGGGCAAAGTTTGTTTGACCGGGGTAGCTGTGGTTTGTGCCAAACCGCAAAACAAAAGGTTTTTCTCATTAGCCAAAGTCTGGATGGAGAAAAAGAGCTTTTGCAGCTCGGAAAGCGGGAAAGTGCTAGAAAACAGAAAAGAAATGGAAAAGAAAAGTGATAAGAAAAGTCCTCGGCGGGGAATGGAGAAAGGTATGGCGCTATTATAACGTTCCTCGGTCGAAAAGATGCAAAGACAGGCAGAAGAAAGACACTATTGATATTGGATGTCTTCTCCACAGAGGGTGCACAGGGGAAGACCAACCGTAGGATCAGATCCCACATCTTGAGTCACACCGGCCGTGTCACCAACTTGGTTATTGAGTTTGTTCTGGTAGACGCATGGGGAGGAGGCGGGCTCGCCAACATGGCAGGTTCGGCAGGTGAACATGAGCGTATGGGTATTGCGGTCTTCCTTTGGGTAGAGCAAGTTGGAACTATCGAAGGGGGCTCAAGGAGTTAGTCTTGCAGTTTTTTTAGATTGTGATTTTCTGTTTTTATTCTGCTGAAGGAAGGGAAAAGGAAACTCACCATTCACGGCAGAAACGGAAATGGATCTGGCTGGAGCTTTGTGACTGGTCGCCACTGGAGGACATGGGAGAGGCAGACATGTTCGAAGCGGGGAGGGCGAATATTTTTCTCAAAACGAACGACGCGGGGGGAGCACGACGGTGAGATTAAATTAATGTGCCGGATAGAGCGATAGAAGGAGGAGAACGAGGAGGAGGAGGAGGAGAGTACGAGGGTGGTTGTATTCTTTCCTAGGCGACGGGCGTCGGAGGGAATGGCAGATAGATGGATGATGGATGGTGAGTAGTATGTAGATGGAATGAGATGAGGCGAAGTGAAGAAGTTGAAGTTCGAGGCAGAAGACGGGGGCAAACTGGGCTAACCGGTTCGGGACAAGAGCCAAGCTCGGACTTCCCTTCCATGTAGTTGATCCCCGCAGTTTGTCCAGCTCGCCTCTTCTACCCCTGGTGATATCAATATCACTTCACTGCTCTACAATTCCAGTATCTATAGCTCTTCTCTTATCTATAATATCCGGAGATATCCTCCCATCACTTTCGCGGAATATAATACATCATCATGGTAAGTTGCGTCTCCCAAAGGGGCCATCACACGAACTACCCCCTCATTCCCACCACCAACCACCCACAGCAGACCATCCAGCAAGACTCCCTACTATTTCCCAATTGAGCTATCATTTCTGACAAAAGCAATGAACAATGCTTGCCTCACCTCCAGGATGAATCAGGTCTCCCGCCCGGCTGGGAAGTCCGCCACTCAAACTCCAAAAACCTCCCTTACTACTTCAACCCCACAACCAAAGAATCCAGATGGGAACCCCCCGCCGATACCGACACCGACAAGCTCAAAGTATACATGGCACAGCATCACAGCGGACCTGCTGACCGTTACACATTAGGCGGCGCCGGCGGCGGCCCTGTTGAGGGCAAGATCCGCGCCAGCCATCTTCTTATCAAGCACCGTGGCAGTCGACGGCCCAGCAGCTGGCGGGAGTCGGAGATCACGCGCTCCAAGGAGGAGGCGTTGGAGATCTTGCGCGGGCATGAGGAGCGTATCAGAGCTGGGGAGACGACGTTGGGGGATATTGCCATGTCGGAGTCGGATTGTAGTAGTGCGAGGAAGAAGGGGGATTTGTGAGTCTTGTTGATCCTCTTGATTCTCTTGGCTTTTTTGTACCTTTTATTTTGGGTTTTCTTTTATGGATTTTTGTTTTTAGATATCTTGATAACTGATAGATTGTCATTTCCTAGGGGTTTCTTCGGCCGAGGTGAAATGCAAGCTGAATTCGAAGAAGCGGCTTTTGCTCTTAAGCCGGGACAGGTCAGCGGGATTGTCGAGACAGCTTCTGGGGTTCATCTCATTGAACGGTATGTCATTTATGTCATGTCTCCGCGTTCTTTCTTTCCTTGTACATCCCAGCTCCATATATAAGAGCCAAACAAGGGGCAGTATATACGCTAACCTAGCAATCTAGTGTTCAATGAATCAATATCGATGAAAGGAATGAAAGGAAAATAAATCACTATATACCAGACCATGATATTCTTTCATTTTGTGTAACTAGTATACCAGGTCAATTGTAAAAGGATGAAATTGGATCCTGCTATACACATCTATGTGAACTGCTATGATACCCATCAGCTTTATCAGGTTGAGCATGCATCGGCACCTTGACTGCACACGCACACATTGCCCTGCTCTTCATTAGGAAATAAACAAAAGAAATGCCTTTTGAGAAAGCAAATCTGATTCTTTCATTTTCTTCTTTTCTCTTTCATCACAAACCTCTTTTTCATCATACCTCATCAGCAGATTTCTCTGCGTCTTTCTTTGAAACCACGATCTCCACGTCGTATCCCACCCCTGTGTCTAGGGACCTGTCACGACGATTATCTCTTTGTTTTTGATTTAAAGGGAAAAAAGAAACCTCGAGAAGAGATATACGCTTCCTCCACACGATGAAGTGTGAATACTCTCCTCAGCAAGTACGCGGGAGCTCGCAGCTTTCCTCGTCTGAGTGGGATGAGTTGCCAGATCGGCTGGGCATCGAGCATCTACTAGAAGTAAGGCTTGAAATATCTATCTATCCTTTATCCTGGTAATATTATCGTATACAAAAGGGAGAGTTAGATCTAACATTTTACTCTTTGTGGCTCATTCAAGAAGTTCACTTTACCGCGTGATGAATCCCCACGCTCTCCTCGTCACGATGAAGACCATCTCGGGGCTGCTGGGCATCGCAATGGGCCAACTGAAGGAGCTCAATTTGGTGCGCACAGTGTTATGAATCACCATGCCAACGGATCTGGCTCTTTCGCTTCTGCGCCCATTGCCTCCACTGAAGTCAAGCAAGAGGAAGCTGAGCCCCTTTTGTTCGACGGAAACCCCTTTGGCTATACCTTTGCCCTCCACTCCGGATTTAACAACAACACCAGCAGCAGCACTCAAAACTTCCCGACTGAACAGCGTGTTGATGCCAGTCTGATCGACCCCCAGATCATTGGAACCAGCTCTGTAGGGGGCTCACCCAAACCCCGCCCTGCAAGAGTTCTTCAATCAAGTGCGCAGCATATCATGCCTTCAACCACAGCAACAATGCGAGACGAAATCCCCGGAACAGGTAGCTTCCAGTGCACCTCAAGCTACGAAAATACTCGTAGTTCAAGCGTCTTCTCCGTCTTCTCCGCCGACACGACGAGTGCCTATCCTACTCCGTCTTCAGACTCTCCCAGCCGCTCCTCCTCTTCTTTCCCCCAGCACCCCGCTGGCCATACCACCATGGAGGCTGGTAACCCCCTTCTCACGGCCGCAGACCTACTCCTGCAGCAGCCCTTCCACCACTTTTCCGATATAATGAAATTCCACGTCCCCGCGCAGACAGAGCGCTTCCTCACTTCCATCGAGATGCTCACCACCCAAGCCCGCGAGTCCATGTTCCTCCTGCACCGCCAGCACGAGCTTGCGTTCACCTTCTACATCCACATCCAGAGTCTAGAGCACAATTTTCGCCTGCACCAGTGGGGAGAGTATCTCGACAACATGCGCTTCCAGTGCGTCAACATCCGTGACGGCCTGATCGGGGCGCTCAAGAACATCTGCTGGGGCTTCGCAGAGTGGATGGGTGTCTACAAGGATGAGTTGCCATGTGGGATCGTGTTGCGCGCTCGGGATGCACTGAGACAGGCGAGCGAGTTGAAGGCGATGATTGATCGGTTTGCTTATCCGACCTGGCAGGAGATGGTGGCTAAAGAGGCGGTGATAGAGCAGCCGGCTAACATCTCTGGCCTTGAGGCTGATCAGCTTTTTGGGGATTTCGTGAACGGCGATGGGGTAATGCCAAATCATTGAAAATAGTGGTATATATTTCCTGTTTCCCCTATTTCTCTGGTTTTGTCGCTTTGTTTCTAAACGCACTTTCCACGCAGACGCTGATAGCTCTCTTGTGGATTATGATAGTTTTCCAGGGGCAGTCGCAGAACAGTGCGGTTTTCCTGTTTTCTTTTTCTTTCTTTCTTTTTCTGTCTTTCTTTCCTTGGGGAAAAAAAAAAAAAACTTAATCAATTGTTATTCTGAACATTACAGGAAGAATCCGAGACTTCTTTTGAAGCGGAAGGAGAGAAAAATTGCTGTTTTTGATTGATATCGTCCGTACTGCGTGTTCACATCTACATTCCTCGAGATACCGTTGGGTAAATAATGTGTATTGTGGGATATGGAATGCTTATTCAAGGGGCGGAACCGAATAATGACTGTTATTTTTTTTTTTTTTTTTTTTTTTTTTTTTTAAATTCTGAGTTCGGTGTTGGCTCTTTCCAGGAGAAGTTCTACAACTCCTAATCTACTCTTCCGTCGGGGTCTCATGTCCTCCTGTCTACGCATCAGCGTGTTTCTTTTTGGCTTACCACTCACTCATAGCGCTGCGATGTTGCTTGCGATCAAGCTTGGAAAGTGAAAGAAGCTGCATTTGGATGGAATAACTGTGTCTCTAATATTCTCTTTCAATAGAATGATATCACTGCCGTCTACTAGCCTACTCTCGTACCATATGATATCCCTATGAAATCCCCTTCTTTTCCCAAGTTTCACTGTCCAAAATATTTCATACTTGGATCCCGCACCCTCCTTTTTTTTGCTGGCTGTTTGTCAACAATAACATTCCTTGTGTTGTTGCATTTCATGTGTTGTGAAGGGCTGCTGCCACTCATTCACCAGCAATTGAGCTCGGAAACATCTCCAAGTTCCCACCGTGAATGAATGCCTCTCTGATCGAGAATCGGTATAACACAGCACACGTTTATTTTACCTCCCACTTTTCTATACACGAAATGTATAGAGATATCTCTATTTTTACATCTTGAAGGTACTTATACCTCTCTTTCAGATGCCTCCAACGCAGCTAACCCTTTCTCACTTGCCCCTGACATCTCTTGAAAAGCCCCAGAAAGCCCTTAATCCAACCCCTCTCACATACAGACATGCAAAGTCCAGCCGCTGTATACCTTCAAGAACTGCGTATCGCCATCAGAGAACAGCTCAAGTCCCCAACACATCTCTTCCCCATTGTCCCGCCTCGATTTGCCAGCGCCATCGAATTAGTCCTTGAGGCAGCGGGCAAATGCTTCCTTGATTTCCGGGTTATACAAGCCGTGTATCACAAGCGCCACTACTACACCTGCTCCAGAAGAGACCCCATACACTATAACGAACACATAAGCACCATCAGCCGCCTCTTCCAATGGAAAGCCCAGTATCCCGGGCCCAACAACCCAAACTTACTCCCCACAGCAAAGCTGCCCTGCCACGCGGTCCAGCTACACCCGGATAAGCGCGAGTATGAGGTATTAATCACGCGTGTTGGAGAAATGAAGCATCTCTTTGTGACCGTGACGTATCTGGCTTGGTGTAATGCGAAGAGGAATCTGGATCATTTGATTGCCAGTGCGTTTGTCTGGCTGCCGCAGTCGGAGGAGCTGATGATTCGGAGTTGGTGGGAGGGGTTTCTCCGGCAGATACCGCCGTGGGAGGACATGTTGGAGAGCATTCAGTTGCCGGAGTGGGAGGTTGTTATTGGGGATTTGGAGAGCAAGATTACGGAGGTTGTGGATTTGGAGGGGGAGTGGGAGCGGTTATGTTGAAGATTTTCTTTTGGTTCTCTCGTAAGGCTTTGTTTTTTTGGGTTGGAGAAATGAGTTTACTTTTTTTTCCTTTGTTCGTTCTGCTTTTCATCTTTGTTTTGAAGCTCTTGTTCATGGGCTTTAACTTCAGATAAACCGTGCGTCATAGCTAACGTCTGGCATTTGGTCATGATTCGGGGGTTGGTTTTGAAAGGCGCATTTCGAGTAGGATATTCGTCGGGCAATGGCAGGGAACTAGATATCATATGAGGTGTTCTAAGGGAGGGGGTTTTAGCGGAATGGCATTGAATCTCCTTTTTCCTTTCTCTTTTAACGCGACAGAGAACAACAATACATCGATCGCGGGAAAGGGGGTTGGTAGACGCTTGCGTGTTTGCATATTTCAACTGCTTGACACCATAGATGTGCTTGCCAATCACAACGCGGTGACCATTTCTCCTTTCTTTGTCCATGTTTTCTTCCCATCGGATTTCTGTTCCCTATCTATTTGTAGCACGTTAGGCTCAGGCGACTCATACGATTGCGGGGAGTGGTGATGGGGAGAGAAGTGCGTTGGAGCTTTGCTTTAAGGGAGTTTTTGGTCGCAGAATCGATCCGATTGAGCAAAGTTGATTTGTGTCTGCGGGAAGAAACTGTTAAGGAGAGAGCTCACAGCAGACCTCTCACGTATCGTCTAACCTTTGATAGTCGCTACCTTTGTCCTCATTGCTTTGATAATTTGAATACCTTACTGCCAAGGGGAATATGTTTTGTATTTTTCCGATATCTTCTTGAGGGGAGCTGCTGCTGTTCTGCAGAGTACACCTGCATAGATATTCAGCGCATGTTTCAATATCATTTCACAAGCGCAGGTACACGCACATACACTCGCTCTCTCTCCCACTCAAAACATTCCATAAAGATAACTGCCATCCCTAATTACTGTGTCAAAACGGCCATTATATTTTCCTGTCTTGGCACAAGATGGAGGATGTAGATGAAAAGGATGAAGACGATGTGGTTACATATACCTGGTAGAACTCCATGTGCAGGAGGGAAAAAGGCAGGAAGAAAGAGAAGAAAAGAAAAGAAAAGAAAAGAAAAGAAAAGAAAACGAGGCGGATGTGAATTTCTCTCAAGCTTTGACAGATGATATACTGATTCCAATAGTACGCGGCAGAGATTCCTAAGGAACAAGTGATGTAAACAAACAACAAAAAGCTCCCCAAACCTTGATAGAATGAGATACAAAGGATGGTCCTAGTCCACGCCGCTGATGCTCGTAGTAAGTCGCTCCAGCCTCGACGTGATTGCATCGATGACGGCAGATCTAATATAAGTTGGGTGGGTTAGTCGATTGGCGCGAGAAAAAAAAAGAAAAAAAAGCAAAAAGGTGTGGACACGCCGGGGTAAAGGGTAGTGATTTTAACGTACTCTCGCTCCACCATGCTCATGGCGTCTGCGATTTTGGCCCGTTGTAACCGTTGTGGGATCTTGGGTTGATGGCTGCTAGGGGTACCTGGCGTTGAAGGTACATTAGATGTAGTCGTCTCTCCAGAAATCTGAGATACCTCTGCGAGGAGGCTCTTCGCGAGAGATTGGGCCTTTGTATTGTCCGATCAGTTTAACGTGCCCGTTCAATGAATCAAAAGAGCAGAGAAAAGGAATAAATTAGATAAACAATAAGATCTTACAGTTTCCATGCGACGAGCCAATTCGCTGGACTTTTCCCCCTCCTTTCCCTCCTCCGTCTCGCCAAGGAAAACAGAGAGCCTGTCGACCTCACTAACCCAGCTCTTTTCCTTCTCACTCATCGGCCGACCACCGGCCTTGGCCATCTTATTTCGGATATTATTGTACCGTTCCACTAGCAGCTTCTGTCGAGATTCTGCCGCTGTCATCCTTGAATTTAGGGGCCGCTTCTCGTCTCCATTACGTGTTCCTTCGGAGTCTTGCCCAATGCCATCGGATATGTTGTTGATCCGCTCCGCTATCTCTGCGAGTTGGCTTAACTGGTCCTGCATTTCGCCTTGTAACCGTTCGCAGCGGCGGAAAAGATCCGAGGCGGCTCGCTCGAGGGAACTGGTGTGGGCGCTTAGGATTCTGTGGGCCGCGGTAATGAGATCTAATGTTGATGGCGAGAGCCGGACGGGTTCCTTGAGAGTGTGCCTGTGGCCGTGTGGAACTACATCTTCGATAAAGGAGGCTAGCGGGGGCAGGGAATAGAATGCTGATGGGGGTTGGTACACTGAACGACGGGGAGCAACAAGTGATGGCTGGTGGGTGACGTCGGCTTCGAAGGAAGCAAGTTCGCTTGTTAATGATAATGGGTCATAGGATGGTGAATCGAGAATGACGGCATAGATACGGGACGCGGAGTTTGTCAACAATAGATAACCTATATCGTAGTCGTGAAGAACTAGGGAGCTTGGGAGATGCTCCGGTTGCGACTGATTTGTGGTAGTAGTCACCGATTCGTGATCAGTTACTTGAACGATTTGTTCCCGTAGTGCCATCGATCCATCGCATAGAACCTTAACGCGGAATCCTGAACCGGCGGGGTCGGGTGACTGAAGTTCTGCTTCGAGTCTTTCGGCCCAAGACAACAGTGAGAAGAAAGTAACATTGTTCGCTGAGGTGAGGAAGAAGTTGTATCGAGAGTGGACATCCTCGGTGAATAGTGGCCAGGAGTTTGGAGTTTGGTGTTTCTCCCTAACCGTCTCTAAAGATTCTAGCAATAGCAGATCAGATGGATAAGACACCGGAGTTGTAAAGCCCCCCTTATTTGTCTTGGGAAGCCATTGACCCTCAACGCCATCTAGCTCAAGACAAACATGAACTCTGCCAGTTGTCGTAGCAACGCATATTATAGTTGCTGATACACCCTCCCGAGGGCTCTCTTCAAGTGGATAGCCGTCTTCTCCTAACATCAAATCTTCGACATCGGCCTTGGCGGCGATAACCAAAATATCAGTGAGATCCAATTCATCCACTTCCTCTCCAAGGTCAAACTGAAATGGGCCCTGTAGTCTTGGTATTGCACTGGGATTCGCTGGGCGAGCACGAACTTCAGCCATTGAAGAAAGCCCAGTGTCTTCAGGAAGGGGTAGAGGCTCTTGATTATCAATTTCTGCAAGCCATTCATACTGTTGCTGGATAGCCATCTGGTCGTCGTCAAATTCAGAAGGATGATCACCCTGTACACTGGCCAATTTATGGATAATGGACGCCGTCAAAGACGGTATCGTAATTGAGGGGACCTGCCACTTTGACGGTAGCAGTGGACACAATGCATAGATATATCCCGGTCGCATTGCAACCCAGAGAGTCATTGGTGCCCATGCATCTTCATCCTCGTAGCCATGACCTCCAAAGCAAGCTGAAGCAACTTCCATATCGAAGAAATCGGCTGAAAATCCCTTGTTTTGCCCAAATCCAGATGGCGCAAAGTCCTCGTCCATTGATGTTCCATCTGCCAATTTTTTCAAATCAACGGCTACCGTTGGCCTATCAAATGACCAATGGTTATTCCTGTCAATCTCCCATACTCGCACTGCGGCATCTTGGGTGACCGTAATGAGACAGCCGCCTTGGTTATCGCATATCCCCAACGGATGCCACAGGGCAGTTATTACAGGGGCCTCGGGAATAACATGGGTCGTAGGGCCTAGTTGAAACGTCTTAAGCCGGAGCGGCGAGTGATCGGGGCCCGAGAGGTGGGAAGAATCTGGTAATATTGCGATGTGGACGGTATGCGGCGTGATAATGGCCAGGAAATTACCATTTGGAGAAGGGACAAGTTGTGTTATCTGACCGTATACTGGCACCGTGAGAACCTGAAGGAAATATTAGCTAGCGTCCTTTTCAATAATTCTCTTATCCATTGATTGGTTTTGTATTACTCTGTAGAAAGGCGCCTCCTCATCCGCAGCATGTCCCAGGCAGCTTTCTTCTTCCTGCGACGGGCTCCTCTCCGTTTCCCGTCCCCGCTCTGTCCCCTTTCTCTTTTGCCGCACTTCAGCTTGCCATTCATTCTCCAAAGTAGAAAGGTTAGACCACCGAATCTGGTTATCCACGACCGCGAAGACTTCCGTCCCCCTTCTCGCCAAAGTCCGCTTGGGTCCAAGATAACGCTGCTCGCGCGTGTCACTAGCATCTTTGCTTTTCGAAATGCGATTTGCTTGTGATGGGCGCTCTGACCTAGAACTTAAAAAGAACGTAGCTCCTGGTGATGGCCTAGACAGCCAGGGAGGAGAGTAGTCGATGACCTTCGGCATGGCTGGGGCAGACGAGGTAGGTTTCGGGGCGTGTTTTGACGGATCAACTGGTGCAGTTTGAAAGCGCCTCCACGAAGGTATATTTGTTTAGACAGTATGGAAGTTAGAGGGTTACTATAGGGCCCAGTAAACAGCCATTAGCATGAGGGACAAGGAGAAAATAGCGTCCCCCGGGTTCGTTTGTTGATATTAATATGTAGTTAAATATTTAAATACTTGATAAATTTTTGGCGTGGAGATTTTGGAAGCGCCAAGCCATGAGCTCCTCGCAGTCAAATCAGCTTGAACAACAACAAGATTCCGGCAAATCACTTCGATTCCTACAGCAACTACATAAATACAGCTCCTCTGACACGATGCGACCTACAATTGAAAGGTTGGATAAGCCAAGCGCATATTATCTGTCGAAGGTATGTCATATCCTCTTTCATCTCTGTGTATTATTTGCCCTAGGTTGGATTGGATTTGCTGAAAACAAAATCTCCTCGCTCATAACAGAATAAGCGGAGGAAGTTCGGTGACAGAGATGGCCCTCAAGAAGACCCCGTTGACCCTTTGAAGGATGCCACTACACTCTATGTCGGGAATCTGTACGTCTACACATCAACTCGTTGATCGCGTTTTGGTTTGACAGTCAGTCGATTGACATAAATGGCCCTGATGCAGTTCATTCTATACGACGGAGGAGCAGATACACGAACTCTTCGCCAAGTATGTAAAGAATACAGTTTTCGGGGTCGATGAGATCGTTCGCATTGCATTGGAAGAGTGTCATTAACAATCCTCAGATGCGGAGAGATCAAACGACTAGTCATGGGCCTCGATCGGTTTGCGAAAACACCTTGCGGCTTCTGCTTTGTTGAATACTATACCCATCAAGACGCGCTCGACTGTATGAAATATATTGGAGGAACAAAGCTGGATGAGCGCATCATTCGGACGGATCTAGACCCGGGATTCCAGGAGGGTCGGCAATACGGGTACGTCGGGTACAAAAGAAGCCTTTGGAATTGCTATTCGGCTAACTAGATTTTTACAGACGGGGTAAATCTGGTGGCCAGGTTCGGGATGAATACAGAGATGAATATGATCCAGGCCGCGGTGGTTACGGCCGGGCGATCGCTGATGAGCGAAGGAAGGAGGAGGAAGAGTATGGGAAAGGCAGGTAAGATAATTTTTGAGCTGGGCAGGATCGGGGCGCAAGGGAGGCGTTATTGTTTCAAGTTAATGAAGTTATAATTCTACATACACAATGGGAAAAGAGATCTATCTATCAAATATTCAAGCTGGCCCATGGAAGGGTAAAGAACCTTAACACAGGGGATACCTTGTTCGATGTTGGATTCGCCATTGCCGCAGTGCAAATGTTGTCATTGCTAGGAGGCCCGCGATTTCGACACCGCTTGCTCGACCTGCTGCAACCACCAGGCATGAATCCTGGGGTCATCCGTCAACTCGGGATGGAAGCTCGTGCCAAAAACATTGCCCTGTTTCACGGCCACAATATCTCCTGAATCCGTATCCGCATGGATATCTGCGCCCGTTTGAGCAAGCCTGGCTGCCCTGCCCGGTAGTTTTGCGAGCACATCGACATGATCACTCATTGCCTTCCGCGCCGCAGGATCCTTTGGATGCCGTGATGGTGCCACTACTGTTCCTTCTCTCTTTTGTTCTTCAACCTGTATATCATCTACAAAAGGGAGTAGCTTCTCGACCACAGGAGCTCGGATAAATACACCCATGAAGGTTGCCGATTGATCGGAGCTCTCGCCGCCCTGGCGCACTTCGGACAAGAAGGGCAACTTCAATGGCGCCTGGAAGCTCTCAGTCTGCCTGCCGAAATGGTTCCTATTTACGCGCACATCAAGGCCACCAATGAGCTCCTGGCCTCCCTCCTTTGTCCGATTTGCCGACTCGGCGAGTAAGATTAGACCGGCGCATGTTCCCCAGGTTGGTCGACGGCGAAGTCTGGTTGAAAACGGAATCCAATTGTCAGTCGCGGTGACATTGAAGAACGGGCCGCTTCGTGCAGCAGATGGACTAAGCTCACTTAACAAAATCTCTTAGTGGCTCGAGTAATTGCGACCTAGCGGCAACCAGGGAGATAGCTGTGCTTTCTCCGCCGGGAATAATCAAGGCGTCGCATATTTCGAGTTCCGCCGGCGTGCGAACTTCAATGAAATTCCATTTTTGGGTTTCGTTGGGCGACAGGCTTGCTGCAGCTTTACGTAGAAGCTTTAAATGTTCGTAGAAAGCGCCTTGGAGGGCCAGAACTCCCACAGTAATCGCCATCGCATGAGTGAGTGAGGTTGAGTCAACATTCTCGAATTCTAACTCTCACCTCTCGCGCAATATGAACATATGACTACGGGTATGGTATTGTATTTTTGTAATGTATTGTATCGGGTGAATTTTGCGAATCGGAAAGGATCACGTGCATCGTCAGGTGGAGTCAGATCTGATTAGATAAGTCGATATATAAATCTCCAGCTACAAATCTTTCTATCAGTTTTGATTATACCCATACATGGAATACCTTTGTCTGTTTCCTTTTGTTTCTTATAATAATACACTGTGATAATTACTTTTTTGCTACCCGTATTTGAAATGCGGTTTTGATATGCATTGATGCATTTGCTGCTTGAACTTGCGGGGTGGTTAAAGTATCTGTAATATTTACAAGATATCCATTTATAAACATACATATAGGATTCTATATAGATATATATATATCTATATAACCAGTTTCTCTCCACGGGCATGGCTTCACTGCCATCTCCATCTCCTTCTTCTCCCTCAACCCTAACAAGATGGTACATTGACACTAGGCCTCTAACGGCCACAACTCAGTCCCTCCCCCTCCTCTCCACCCTCCAAGAATCCGACCAAACCACCGTCAAAGCCTTCTACCACCTCTCAGACCGCCACATGTCTCTTGCCTCCTATCTGTTAAAATATCTCTTCATCCACCGCACATGTCGAGTTCCCTGGGCCCAAATCGTCATCAGCCGCACCCCGGCCCCGCATAAAAGGCCCTGCTATATCCCCCCTCAACGGCATCAGCCACCTCTATCTGGGGATGATAACCGGGACGCCAATCCCTTGACTCCCATCCCAAACATTGAATTTAACGTCAGCCACCAAGCCTCCCTCGTCGCATTGGCAGGATGCATTAGCCCCGCACCACGAAGCGTGGAAGAGGCATTCTCCCCGCAACCCCGCGTTACCCTGAGCTCAAACACAGATGCCTATAACAACCACCCCTCCCCCTCCCCCTCCCCTCAAATCGGCATAGACATAACCTGCATGGATGACCCAGCCCGCCGCAACCGCGGGCCCCCAAAGACAGAAGCCGAACTACACGCCTTCATCGACATCTTCGCTGAGGTCTTCTCAACAAACGAACTCGATGCAATGAAGGCATATCCCAGAATCAACAACAGCAGCAGCAGCAGCAGCAGCAGCGCGGCTATGACCTTACAAGAGTCGATAATCTACCGTCTCCGCCTCTTCTACACTTACTGGGCCCTCAAGGAAGCGTATATAAAAATGACCGGCGAAGCGCTCCTAGCGCCCTGGCTACGTGATCTGGAATTCAGAGATGTTGTCGTTCCGACGCCACCAGCTTCATCTGCATCCTTGCAGTGGGGAGTACCGGAGACAGGGATCAGAGCTACGTTGTATGGCCGGGATGTGCCAGAAGTGCGTTTGGAGGTGGTGGCGTTTGGAAATGACTACATCTTTGCGACAGCGGGGAGAGGGGGTGGGTTTGGGAACTCTGCAGGCGAAGAGGAGATGAAGGCCCGGTGGGATGAGTTTCGCTTGGTGGATATCGAGAGGGATGTGGCGCTGTGTGCGAGAGGGCAATGTGAATGTTTGGATTAAGAGTGATTTAGCGGGGGGCGGTTGAGGGTTCTGCATCTGTGTCAGTTTTGTGTGTGTTGATAAGCGGAGGATTCCACGGGATGATTTTATTTATTACGACAATATATATATTTGACTCTAATGGTTGAAGGGTTATATATAGAATACTCTGGACAACATATTATCATCGCCCCTACATGTATGTTCTACTAACCGTCACGCGCAATCAATCTCATCCATCACTTTTCTCCAAAGAAATTCAAACTAGGAAAAAAAAAAAAAAAAAAAAAAAAAAAAAAAAAAATCTATACATTTTGCATTCATCTGTCTATCCGTCTAGTATCATGATGATATTAATCACAGTATAGTGTCTCCATACAGAAAGCAGCATAGACTGCTTGCTGTCTTAGAAAGCCTCACTGCTTCTAGACATGGAAATGGAAGGGAGAAGGAATAAAGAAATCGCGAATAAATACGAAATATAACAAAAAGAGGGGGGTCGATGAAAGGGGGGGAAAAAACTCCGGAACGCGCTGGAAATGCATAATACATGATATATACGGAGGCTGTAAGAAAGGCCAGGCGCATCAAGACGGAAAAGAGAGGGGTGACGGACGGAGGCAAGTAGAGTAGGATGCCTGGCCATAAGTTTAAGTGTGAAGCTTTTTTTCCCCTTTCTTTTCTTTCTCCCTGTTGTTTTCTTTTCAACCTTGTGGCGAAATACCGTAGGAGTGGATAGCGGAGGATAGAAACGGATACGGAAATAAGAAAGAATCGAAATAGGTATCAAGAAAGGAAAAGAAAGAAACGGAAAAGAAAAGAAACCCCCATTCCTCTATGGCCTCCTGCTCCGCAGTTGGAAAAGTGCTTCTAGTTGCCATCCCATCTTGGCCTCCAGGTCAGTCGAAACAGTTGTTTTAAGATAATCCCTTGTGCTAGGATATATCTCTTATTGTGTAGAGGCGGCGGATGGGTGTGGTGCGTCAGCATGCGTGAATAAGGCTTTCGTAAATCCCGCCATCCGTAGTGGATCTCCTTCCCCATTGAATGTATATACAACAGTTGCCGTTTGCCGTTTTCCTTCGTGGAGTAGATAGAAATTAGGAAATAAAAGAATCGAAAGAGGAATGCCGCCCGTTTTATCGTGCGGTATGCCGGTATTACGGAGGAGGGGCATGTAAGGTCGATAAAATATGAGCGAGGAGGGCTTTGTATTTCGTTTCCACTGGCGGGCTATTCAGTCCATGTGATTTATAGAGCGTACCAAGGCGAAGGGAACAAGAGTAGGTGGTGACATATCCGTTTCTCTCTAGCTAGTTTCCTTTTTTTTCAAATTATTTGATTGGTGTTGACTTTAATTAAGTCTCAATGGCGGTGGAGGTGGACGAGGCATGGGGAGGCATTGCAACACGGTTCGTAGGGATGGAGGAAGCGGAGGCTTCTTCCGTATACCGGGCTTCTCTCGTCTTGTACATATCCTGGATAACTTCCAGCATTGATTCCCGTGTCTTCGTGGTCAGCTCGTCGACATCGCTGGTTTGTAGGTTCTTGGTGCTAAGCGGTGGGAGGACTAACGTTGATGGGAGAAAGTGCACGTTAGCCAGATCGTTCCATTGACAATTGACGGGATTCGATTTCAGATATGAATGCTTTGCTTCCCCTCTTCCCCAACCGCAGGATTAAGGGGAACGAATGAGAAACAAAGAAGTAGACTATACTGTACACACCTTTAACCCGAATCATCCCAGCCTCAAAGCGCAACTTCTTCACATCCAACAAATGCGCATAATTCTCCGCCACAACAGGGACAATATCCACGCCCGCCTTAACCGCCAAATGGAAAGCCCCCTTCTTAAACGGCAGCAACGCCGGCTCCGCAGAGTAACTCCTCGTCCCCTCGGGGAAGATAAGCACACTCTGCCTCTCCCTCTGCATCTGCTCCGCCGCCCCATCAAACGCCTTCACGGCCGTCTCCCGGTTCGCCCGGTCAATAAACACCGTGCCGGACAGGGTCATGAACCATCCCAACACCGGCACGCGCGACAGCGACTTCTTCGCCGTCACGCTACAGTACGGCGGGAAGATCGTGCCGAGCAACAACACATCCAGCTCCGTCTGGTGGTTCGTGATGAACACGGCGGGCCGCGTGCTGAGGTATTCCGAGCCCGAGACGATCTCAAAGTAGGTCCCCGTGCACAGGCGCATGGCCCATTTGAAGCTGCGTGCGACGGTCCACTGCGACAGGCCGCCGTAGCCGACTAGACGCAGGACGATGGAGGCGACGAGGCCGTAGGAGGCGCAGGCGATGAGGCAGGCATAGGCGGCCAGGCAGCGGGCGAAGAAGCCGGCGCGGGGGATTTTGAGGGAGAGGCCGAAGAGGGAGACGGTGATGGCGAAGTAGGAGGTTAGGCCGGTGACGAGGTAGGAGAGGATGGCCATGGTTTGGTTTGGCTTGTGTCGGCAGGTTTTCCTATTCTTTATTTGTATTTTTATTTTTTATTTTTTGTGTTTTTTTTTCCCCCAATTGACCTCTCCCTTTTCACTTTATTTTTTCCAGAGGAAAAGAAAGGGAGGAGTGGAGGTTAGGTGCGAACGGTGCCGAGGGCAAAAGTGGGTTGGAGGAAGGATATTAAATAAATATAATCTTTTTAGGTTTTTGGTGGGGAGAAATATAACTTTTTTTGTTTTCATTTTGGCGGCTTCGGGAGCATGTTGGGGTCAGCAAATATTATTCAACGAGCACAGTTGGGGGTAATTTGGGTAACGTTATTTCTCGCAAAGCCGGGGAAGGGAATAAATAATAATAAATACTTGAGAAGACCTAAGGAGTGACTATAAATATACCCAAGACTACAGGATAGATAGGAGGAATACAAATATAATAAAATAAAAATAAAGAGTATTAATAATAATAAATTGGGAATAAGAATGAAGGCCGTCTCCATGGGGTAATAATCATTAATTTGTATTCACAGGGCAGCTCTCGCAGGTTACAGAAGACATACACTTCTCTCAAAAGCCATCCTTGGATAGTTTTGGAGATTGGAATCCTTCATATTTCCCCGTCCAGTTTCCATCCAACAAATCACTTCCCAATCACTACCCTCTCCGTTCGAGCCTCCCCTCTCGAGAGAAAGTGTACATCTGTGCAGGTTTGTATCCAGAATTAAAACGAAAGAAGTTGCGGGGAAAGGAGTAAGGAGGTAAAAGAGAAAAAGGAAGAAAGAAAAAAGCAAGGACCAAATCAAATATCCAGAAAACGCCTGTTTCTCATGCTCATGTTCATGCTCATGCACGTCGTGCCAGTTTTGGAGAAAATACCAAACACCAAACCGAATGCCCAGCACAGGTAAAAGAAAGGAAAAGAAAAGAAAAGAAAAAGAAAAGAAAAGAAGAAGAAGAACAACCTCCAGACATCAGACATCTCGCTAGGCTAAGCTGAAAAGACAAGACAGTGTGGGAGTGGAGGCACAAGTGAGGTGGTGGATGGCTGGGGACAGTAATTGGGGGGGAGTCCACAGGCTGCGATGAGAGGCAGATATCTATCTGCAGGGGTAAAAAAAGCAGGAAATATAAAGATACAATCAAGTGTGGGCCGCGATTTTAAATCATCCCATATCCTCATCATCGTCTTCGGGATTCTCTAACGATTCCATTGCATCTTTGATAAACTGAGCAGCCTGTAATTGTTGAAATTTTAGGTCAGCGCATACCCCTAGGTGAGTGAGACGGACAGAGCTTAAAAAATAAATTCGGCCCGGGGCGGGGAAAGAGAAGAAGAGAAGAATCATACCTTTGGATCCAGATTCAAGGCCGTCGTGAAATGCTTGATCGCATTGGCCTTGTCATGGAGCATTTTGTACAACTTCCCCAATAGATAATGTACATTCGGTTCATCGGGAGCAAGATCTTTCAGAATCTTAAGTTCCACGTGTGCAAGTTTAAGCTCATTAAGCTTCATTAAAACTCGCGCCTTGCGCAATCGAGCGAGAACTGACTGGGGCGCAAGCGAGCAGGCTCGTCCGTACTGAAGCAGCGCAGCCTTTTGATTACCCATCCTCTCCAGCACCAAACCGATACACCATACCAACACCGCATTGGTTGGATTGATATTGGACGCTGTCCGGTAGTGCTGTTCCGCAAATTTGTATTTGCCCATTTTCTCATATACTTTGCCAATACCGTACCACGCGTTATAATGTCTGCTGTCAGCACTGATTCCGTGCCGGTAAGCGTCCAACGCCTTATCGTACTCTTCATTCGAGACGTATTCATGACCCTGCAAGGTAAAGGCGTAGGCGAAGGTATGATCCAGTTGTGTTGCGCGTTTGAAGCACTTGAGCGCTTGGTCATGGTCAGATTGTAGGGAGAAGGAGTTGCCGATGGCACACCAGGCCTGTGGTGAGAGCCGATCTACCTCCATCAGCTCGTGCGCCAAATACGCCAATTCAACTTCATTCTTCAAATGCCATAGAACTGTCGAGTAGACCTCCATATCCTCCAACCTTGACGGTGCGATAGTTTTGACTCGAATGAAATATTTCTCAGCTTCTGCATATAATCCTTGCTCGTAATTCGCACGGCCGATCTGTGACAGAACCCAGGGTGTTTCCCGCTGACTCTGCGGGAGCGTGTTGAATATCTGGATTGCCTCTTGGCATTTATATGCCATAAGCGCAGAGTATCCCTCTGCAAGTTTTGCAAAAAGATCTAAAACCCAGTTAAGAGCCTCGATGTCCTTGGATTTGTCCGGGACGCTACTCTTCGATTGTCCGCCAACCACCCCATTCGGAACAGCAGAAACGGGAACTCCCCGACTCTCTTTATTATCAATGTCCATTCCATCTGGAGCTGCCTTTCGATTGCCGCTAACCACTCGGCCCATCGTCGATCCAGAAACGGTTCGAGGTTTTGCACCAGTCGACTTCACCTTTTTAATCTCCCGACCATCCCGCGCTCCGAACGCTGCTGAAGAGGTTGAAAATTTGCTGCTGGTCGGGCGGATCTGGTTAAACAGCCGCACACTACGTCGCTGCGGAGCTCCTGGCTCAGGGGGTTGTGAGCTTGTGTGGTGGGCAACCTGACCGGATACCGTTCTTTTCCGTTCGCCTCCAAATGACGGTGCAGTAGTTTCCCTAGAGACAATGGCCGCGTGCGCATCCTCTGGGTCCACCCTGGTCTTACTTCTGGGTTTGAGTGTCGTCTTCATTTTAGGTGGCGGATCAGCACCATAATCTAGACCCAGAGTCTGGATGGTTTTGTTCTTCCTGGCAGGTGCAAGAGGGGGCTCCCAAGTCGGATCACCAGAAGCTACACCGCTGCCGCCGCCTCGAAGTTCGTCCGAATCGCTTTGTGCAACTGGAGTTTCCAAGCCTTCGGGAGCTGGGGCATTGACCGAAACAACACTCACGTTGCTGCCATTTAACTTTTCCCAAAGCGCAGAAGAACCATTTGCGGCGTCAACACGAGCGCTAAACGAGGTGAACGGATCTAGGTTATGGTTGATATTTGGCTGAGCCTGCAAAGGGCCGTTTGTCTGTGCGACTTTCTCGAATGTTGCAGAGCTTTCGAGTACTTGTGAGGACGGAAGCATTGCCAACATCTCTGGAGACATCTTATAGATGTTGGGGACTCGTATATTGGCACCTTTCCCATTGGATATCCTGTTAGCGCTTACTCTCAACGCGAAACCATTCGGAAATTCTTGTGATTGATTCTGTTTACCTGTTTGGCAGAGACCGAGAAATGCATCCCAAAGGAAAGGATTTAATTTTAGAGCTTCAACATAGCAATCGACAGCTTTATGCAGATCCTGATGGGCGTGCCACAACTTTCCCTGTAAGCAAAGACATGCTGCAGCATCGGGGAGGTGCTGTCGGCGGGTTTCGCTATGTTTATCTATGTCGAAAAGGACGTTAGCGCTCCTCATTGTAAATCTTTCTGCATAGATCCTCATATGTGAAAAATCCCCCAACAAATAAACAAGGGTGTCCAAGCTGCTTACTCCAGGTATTCTTAGAAGCCCACAGATTCCTGCTCCTTTCCAACGCAGTGATCCCTTCAATGTATTTGCCCAGGTCCAGACATGCCTGAGCATAGACGTACGAACAGCCAGCATGTGTCCCTCTGGATCCAGAATTCCTGCTGTATTCCCAAGCAGCTTTAGGCTGGCCGCTCTGGAGGTGGCAGAGAGCGAGGAGATAGGAGGCCTCAGACGACCGGGGTTCGAAAGCGTGGAGACGGCCGGCAAGGAAGAGGGCGTTGCGGATGAGGTTGTTATCGAGGTGATAGTATATTAGTTGCCTTAGCTGGCTAGAGATGTGGGGTGCAGAAGGGGCCATGGCACAGGATAAGGTCTTTTTTATATTATTATTTTGTTGTTTATAATGTATTGGTTTTCGTCGAGATTTGAGGTGGGTTGCTAGGGCGGGACAAGCCAGGTGGGTTGCCGGACGGCGTATTCTATCTTAGGAGTGAGTAACGCATGCAGGTATGAAGGAGGAAGAGTTTGAATGTTATGTAGCTATCGAAATGGATGACAGTATTGTATGATGCAGGCGTGTGTGATGTGTGTGAAGGGGGTGGTGGCGGAGGATTTTGGCACTGGGATGATTGGCCGAAGAGGAATCTGGGGGAAGGAAGCCGCGAGAGAAGAGACAACCGCGCGCTTTTTAGAGAATGATTAATGATTATTTAAATAGTTGATGGACGACTCATGGACGACTCAGCGCGGGAGGAAGACAGTGCATCTTCCACCGCAGATTCAACTGAGAAAGATCCTGAGGAGGTGTCGAGGAGGACTGCGGCGGCGAGGATGAACAGTTCAGTTCATGGGATATTTATTTATTTATTTACCCAGCAGCACCACACGAGACAACAACACCCAGCAGCAGTTTCTATGAGCAAGTGGCCTAGGCTTTCATATTGCTGTTGGGTCAACAGAAGCCCAAGGCGATCGTACAGATATGATAGGAATTGTCCAGAGCGAGGTGCGGGCCGTGGGTTAACGGGCACGAGATATAGACAGATTTAAATATTTAACTAATAACTGATTGGGGGGGAATATGTTTTGGTGGTTTTCGTCGCTGGAACGACTGCTTGTGGCTGCTAATATTAGGTAAATAGGTATTTTAGGTAGGGTAGGGGAGGTACCTGTGGTTGGGCGGTTAAATGGCTGGGCTGCCAGGTACCTACCTATTAATACCCTAACTACCATCAGTCCATACGCCATACGTACGCCTTGGAATTTGTATAAATAATATTTGCCTGCATAATTTATATTAAATGTTGTTATTTTTTTACTTTTTATTTCGTAATTATTTTAAACCAACATATTTAGTTACTCTAGACAGACTGCGTGATTTCCATAGTATTTAATTACTTATTTATTTAACCTCTGTTCAAGGTCTTGGCCCATATCAATATTATTTAATTATAATACTTTCTTCTTCTACAACAGCGTCTCTCTAAAAAACATACTTCTACAACCCCCCCTCCACACTCCCCTATGAATACAGTCCTATTGCGGGACAGTAAGACGAATAAGACGAAATACAAATGGCACAAGTAACACCCCCCCCCCCCCCCCTCCCCCAAAAGTCTCCCAATTTACCACTAACCCTCCATCCAAGAAAGCCGCAAAAACCCTCGCAGCCCGCAACACCCGCCTCCTCAATCGCACCCACCTAACCTCCCTATCCCTCCACCTCCTCTACCTCCTCCTACACTTCCTCTTCAACCGTCCCCGCGTCTTAACTCCCTACCTCATCTTCACAACCCCAACCCTCGCCATAGAATTCTACCTCGAACGCCTTGGCCGCCCGCGCTATAGCAGAGACGGCGGCAGCGGGAACACCCTCCGCTCTGCCGGCGAAGACCTAGACGCACCGGGCCTAACGGAGTACTTTTGGGATGTGATTTATTGGACGTGGGGGTGTATGGGGGCTGTGTGTATCTTTGGGGACCGCGCGTGGTGGCTGTGGGTCGTTGTGCCTTTGTATTCAGCTTGGTTGGTGTATTCGACGTTTATGGGGTTTAAGGGGAGTATGGCGGGTATGGCGGGTATGGCGGGTATGGCGGGGCTGGGAGACGTGGATGGTGGGGAGGGTGTGGAGAGCAAGAGACAGAAGAAGATGGAGAAGAGGGGAGCGGCGCAGAGGGTCAGATACCGATGATGGATTGGATGGGCGGTTTTTGGGGGGCTTACGACGTGTACATGGACAGCTAATACGGCTACTGATCGAGCAGTTTGGATATTTTTTCTTGCCTTTGCGTTTACATTTTTGCAAAAACCAAAAGGGCGGTCGATGTGATCTTGTATATTTTAGTTATGTACATGTATATATTGCTTGGTGTTTGTATGCCGAGAAAAAGGATGAGTTGTGCCATTTTACAAAATAGACGCTGCCAGGCGCTGGGAAATAGAGAACATGAGAAAATAATACTTAATGAAACTTTGTCCAAACCACAGGAAAAGAAGGGAAAGAAAGGAAAGAAAGTCATGTCATGTAGCTAAAGGGTCGACTGGTAACGAATATATATATGGCAGATCAAAGTGCACGGGACATAAATGCAACAACATATAGGTACGAGCTGTGGCTTATATCAAACCAGCGAAAGTAAGTGGGTCTGTGAGATATATTATTATGTGTACTAGGGGAAGTGATGTATGGGTATGGTATGGGGTATAAAAACATGGATGTCCGTTTTGGTCGTGCCGCTTCTTCTTTGTTCAAAAAAAACTAAAAATAAAGAAATAAATGCTAGGAAGAAACGTACCACTTCCGTTGGAATGGTGGTAGCGCATTCTTCTCTTCTTTTCTCTTCTTTCTTTCTTCCTTTCTTTCTTTCCCCTCCTGTTTGTTTTTTTAGTAACATGTCGATTGCCATTTTTAGTAATAGGCCATTCTACAGCTCGTCCCTGCCTGTTTCGTGAGCAGCAGTATTTTTTGGAGAGCTAGCAACAGTACTCGAAGAAGATGACACCAACTCAAGAGACGCCGCAGCAGCGGAGAGTGCATCGTGGAACCTCGAGGAGGCATCCTCAATAATCCTAGTCGCGGAGGCGGGAGCGATGGCGGTCCCCACCGAGCTAACGGAATACAGAACTGCATCTAGGCTAGCAGATGCCAGAGACGAGACGACGCTAAATTCGGAACTGGCCTCCTCGAGAATTGGCTTGCTGGGCTTGTCGCTGGTTGGACTACTGATACTCGTTTCTTCAGTAGGTTGTACATGACTAGACGCAGAGTTGATGAAGATAGAATACTCGTCATGAGCGAGGCCAATGGCTTCGTAATAACGGCGACGCGCATCGAGGATTATCTGCTGGCCGGGAAAGGCTGCTTCGTCAGTGGTGCTTGCGACTGCGCTTGCGAGGCTCCGAGAGGCATGTTCGAGATTCTCTTGGAGCTTTGCGGAAGCACTTAGGAGCGTGTCATCGTTTACTGTTGCAGTGGGAGAAGGGCTGAGGGGAATTCCTGCGTATTCTGAAGCTGCTTTGAGACGAGATTCAAGTTTTTCACTCGCGTGTTGGAGAGACCCGGAGTAAGCGGATTCGATGGAGGCGACAATTCTTTCATCAGGAATTCCAGAATCCTGAGCTCTGGCGGCCGAATGTGAAATGTCATACAGTTTCTTAGCCTGAGAAAGAGAGTCTGAAAAAATGGAACTGGCTTCGGGGGGCGGCATGGGAATGGAGTATTGCTCTGAGAGGACTGTCTCCGACGGAGCCACGTTCGATGATACAGAGGGCTGCTGGGATGAAGACGGCGTAGCATCAAAAGTCTGCTCAGGAGTATTAGCAGGGACATGATTTTCATGTTCTATGAATTCAGCGGCAGCCCCACCCCAAACCTTAGGCCCAGTGGTAGTAGCCTCATCATCCAAAACGGGTTCTGGTTCGGGCTCGGGCTCAGGCTCAGGCTCAGACTCAGGTTCGGGTGTTGGTATACTGCTTGTAAATACAACAGATAGTGGAACGTCTTGTTCGTCCCCAGAAGCGCTGTTTCCGGGGGTTCCCACATCACTGGCTTCGGGCATATCGTCGTGGCTAATAGCGGGATCCGTGTCGAATGAAGGATCTTCATCAAGCGGGTTCGCCTCGTTGGACTTATCCTCGGGTGGTGATGTCGATTGATATTCAGCATCTGGTTCTGGTTCTGGTTCACCCAGACCCATTGCTGCTATCTTGCTGGCACGAGCTTCAGCCGCATCGCTCGTCTTCGTCTCAAAATCATCGCTGATATCCTCCGCTTCGATTTTCCACTTCCCAACCTCCTTTAACCTAGTAAGCTCCTTCGCCGTTTTTTCCGCAATCCTCATTCCTTTGTTAATAATATCAATTCCGAGGGCCTTTGCTTCTTCATAAGCACCATGTTGCATACCAACTTCCCTAACTTCCTCGCGCCAGCTGTGAAGTTGTTTCTTCAGCGCATTATATTTCGCCCAATCCTTGTATGTCACGCCATCCATCCACGCCCATTTCATCCCAATATTCTGAAGGCTCAGGTCACGGATCTGGTCAAGGACCTCGATGGTAGCGTCAGAGGCGGAGGTTACCCTCACATGAAGGTCACCATTAAAGTCCGCGAACCACTCTCGAAGCTTCTGTGCAGCTTCCCGGATAGCATAAGCCGATGTCCTAACAGCTTGTGCCAATTGATCCTCGGCGGCTTCGCGATCTTCGAAGGTGGATTCGTCAGGTAAATTACGCACTATATCGATGATTTTGGTTCTAAGAGATTCGAGCTCTCGATGTCCCACCGATTCCAACTCGGATACGAGCGCTTCGCCTGATCCCTGCGTGTCATTTACGTAGCTCTCTACAATCTTAGCGACCCGTTCACTGAGGTCTTCGGCTCCTTTATCAGCCGCAGTAGCGAACTTTTCTTGCCATGTTTTCAAATCCGAGGCTATTGTTTCGCGCGCAAGGCTCGCCTTATCCACTGATTGCTCAGGGTCTGGCACAGATACCGAAGTCGAAGTCGCAGTGGTCGACGGACTGTAATCAGACGTCTTCGGTGATACTGTAGTTGCTAACGTTGAAACGGTGGGGGTTGAGCTAAATGGTTCGGATAAACTGCAGAGGCATTAGCTTAAATTAAAAGGGGGGGTAATTATAATTCAGGCCTCTTGGGAACAGCGGGAGTGCATCCAAGTTTGATGCGCGAGGATGGCAAGGGTAGTGGAGCTCACATTTCAGCTTCTTCACCAACAGCACCAAGCTTCCTGCCCTCGCGATAACTTGCGAGCTTCTCACCAATCCTAAGCAGCTGAGGCTCAACGTTTTCGCGGTAGAGTCTCGAAACTCCAGGCAGAAGCGCCTCGTTTATGAATGTCGCCAGATATGACCACGTCTTCTTACTGTACGGGTAGATCTTGTTCACCACACTATCGTATGTGTAGGAATACATGCTGACAATAACTGGCTTCGTTCGTCCGTAAACTGGTACAATATACGTTTGGCGCAGATAATCAACCTGGGAAACTGTTGTGCTATAATAGAAGGTTACTACTGAAGCAACGCGTGCATAATGCGGCTCAATTGACGATTGGTATGTACGGCTCAAGGAGCTTTGTAATGAATGGATATGAGGCGTAACGATTTCTCCCCACTTGTTCTGAAAATATGATGCTGCCTTCTCAATATGGGGCGCTCCATATGCGCGGTAATTTCGTTTTGTGAAATCAGTAGTAGGAGTGTATATCTTCTCGTTGAAATTGCGTGCATATGGGCGAATGGTGTCGACATATGTAGCTCCGTAAGCTTCATAATACCGAGTTACATGAGGCTCGAGATGTGACCGCGCAATCAGGTACGGCTTGCAAACCGTTGGAGAAGTGTTATCAAGTTCTGGTAGCGTCGATGGGCAGTAGAAGAATGGCGTAAGTAAAGCGTACCATATGACTAGCCTATTGAAAAAAGAAAAAGAAATCAGTATGATAGAGACCTAGAAGGAGAGGGAACTGGAGGGGCGGAGGGGCGGAGGGGCATCCGACGAAATAGCATACCGTAGGGCAACTGCAAGCGACCACCGTGCGAAGCTCGTAGGTCGTCTCCGATGTTCTTCTTTTCCTTCTGCTTGCTTTTGAATGGACAAACCATTAATCTGACCATTTTTCATATTCCCCACCACTGTTCCGTCCGCTGCCATCGCCATTCTTGTGGCGTCAGTTGACGCGCCGCTCTAGCTTTCTTTCTTTCCTTGCTTTTTTTATTTTTTTTATATTATCGCTGGTTCGTCGTCTCGCAGCGCTCTATCACCACACGTAAAGCAATGCGACTAGTGCTCATATATCTCATAAAGGGAAAAATTCACGGGCAACCAGGCTCGCAATAAAAGTGCGAGGAAGAACCAGCGCACGTCAAGACAAGCAAAAGGAATTTATGGTTCGAGGTCTGACGGAGGTGAAGAGGTGGATCTTGGCATGGAGCTCTGCGGACCAGTTAACTTCAACCCACAGGAAATGAATGAATGAGCTTGGGGACGCGCAAAACCCACTTCTCAGGGAGTGCAGTTATTAGATATTATTAGGTGATAATAAGGATGTTTGATACTTGCATTCAGCGAGAGACGGCAGGGCAGGTAGGCCAGGTTTTATATGTCGTTCTCTTCGCTCCCTTGTAGCAGACGAGGTTTCACCATCAAATTGTTATTATCCTGTTTCGAGCTGGTGGAAGTTGGAAGTCACGGGGTGGCCAATCACATGCCAGTCAGTCTGTCGGAGGCAATATCTTGGCGGGTCGGTCTGGCGCGTTGATGCCCTGGTTGTGACGTAACTAACTTAACGTAATAACCCTGCGGAAAATGGTTGTTCCGCGGAGAATTGGCTGAGTAAGCATCATCCTGGCGACTTGGAAACTTTTAGAACGGCGGCGAGAGAAAGACCGGGGTTTGGCTTCTTCCTGCTCCATGTCTACTCTCCCGAGTATATTACTTGCCTGGACACTCACCCACGCCGCATACCGTTTGATACTACCTTGAGAACTTAGAAGACTTGTGGTTTGTAAACCCTTAGTACTGCGGAGAAATCTCTTGTACTGTGCTGACTGACTATTCCCGCAGTTTTGTAGATATCTATCTTAATCAGTCATCCTCCGCGAAGGAGACAAACAACAAATCGATACCTACCTCCGGGATGCGGGCATGCTCCCAGCATTCACCATAGCATGGTCATCCTTCTAATCTCCCTGTAATTTCTTTTTCTCGACGTCAAGGAAGATGGATATCAACCGGATTGTGGCTGGCCGGGACCGGAGGGCTGGTCCTCTCCCGGATATCATGAACGACCCTGCCTTTGCCACAAACACTGCGACCAACAGACGAAGTGTAGACGAATCTGACACTTGTCGAATATGCCGCGGCGAAGGTACCGAGGAGGAGCAGCTCTTTTATCCGTGCAAATGTAGCGGGAGCATCAAATTTGTTCACCAAGAGTGTTTGATGCAATGGCTTTCCCATTCACAAAAGAAATATTGTGAGCTGTGCAAGACGCCTTTCAGATTTACAAAGCTTTATGACCCGAATATGCCCAAGGAGCTGCCGGCTCCGGTTTTCCTGAAGGAGCTCATTCTTCATGGCGGTCGGTCACTACTTACATGGCTACGCTTCGTCCTGGTTGCTTTCGTATGGTTAGGATGGCTCCCGTGGTCCATGAGAGCTATCTGGCGAGGTCTGTTTTGGTTAGCTGATGGGCGGTGGCCGAACCCTGAATTCTACCACGGCTCGAGTGTGCCCCCAGCAAGCCAGGCGCTTGATCAGCTTGCAGCCCACGGAACTTCTCCTGCCAACACCCTCGCATCCAACAATCTTTCTACGGGGGTGGGACCTCAAAATATGACGCCTACACTTCCGTCTTTCGTATCGCCATTTTCCGCCATGCTCAATTTCTCAGCCGGTGAGCCCTTGATATACACCATTATGAAGAAGCTCCTGCGGGACACCTGGGCGACAACGACTTCATCTGTACTCGAGACGGCTGGTTCAAACTCAACGAATGCAACTAGCGTCTCTATTCGACGGTTTCGCCAACCATCCTGGCTATCAGATGTTTCCTTTTTAAACAAGTTGACTCCCTACTCCACCCTGAATAATATTTTAATAGATACGTTCGAGGGGCAGATAATCACTCTTTCGGTGGTTATTGCTTTTATTCTTGTGTTCTTAATTAGGGAATGGGTAGTACAGCAGCAACCTGCGATTAATCTTGCTGAGGCAGATCGAGAAGCAGCCGCGCAGCTGATTGCTGATGCGGCGGCGAATCAACCTGTTGAAGAGCCGCGACCGCGCCCTGTTCAACATGTCCATCATCAGGAGGCCCACGAGGAACCAAGCCAAGAAGACAACCAGGAACCGAACCAAGAAATACTTCAGGAAGAAAATCGAGAAGATGTATCTGAACACGAGAATAGCGGATTACCCGATTGGGATCACACGCAATCGAACGATATGTCTCTACAACCGGACCAGACACAACAGCCTGGTGGCCCCAGCCACGACTTGGAATCACTTAGCCAACATTGGCCTTCACAAGTTGAAAACAACTCGAACCAAGGCACCATCGATGAAGTAGGCCATATTCTCGAGCACGCTCCGACGACCAACCAGGCCAACGACGAAATAGTGGCTAATTCTGAAAATCACGGCAATGCCCAATGGCCTGGCCTGGATGTGTTCAAAGACCTGTGGACTCGTGGTGCAAGAAATCCGACGGAAATACTAAGAATAATTGAGGAAGAAGGCCGCCAAGAAGAACTGGGTTGGGTTATAGCGGCAATGCAAAAATTGGAGCGTGTGGGCGAACAGGGATTCAAATTTGGTGAAATATCCGAGGGAACCTTGCAAGAAAACGACGAAGGAAGTGCCTCAGCCCTTCACGCTCCATTTGATGCGCCGATGCATCATGACGATGGCCCTCACCCATCGTCTTCAGCCAGTATTTACCCCCCTAGAGAAGAACGACGGGAAATCCAGGATACACCAGAGCGAACAATCAACCTGAGATTTGGAGATCCAACTGCAAACCCTAGTGTCCCCACGGACTCCTCATCACCTGTCTTCCCAAATCTCGAGCCTTTCACCCCATCTGCGCGCTTTGGTTCCGAAGTAGCTGGCCCGTCCGGTTCTAGGCATTCGGTGGACTTATCGTCCCATACTCTTCGGCATAATAGTTCAGATCACTCCTCTCCACCACAGGAAGCGGTACAGCTGCCCGACAGTCAAGCCTCCCTGTACCCTCCAACTCCCGCTGAACAACATGCTCCCGAGGTTAACATTCACGAACAAGGATCCATGCCAGCTACAGAAGCTGAACCTTCGGAAGCCCCACTCCAGCGACCACACCCTATGGAAGCAGTAGGCCCTCGTCCTGAGAGTTTGGTTGATCGGGCCTCGAATTGGTTTTGGGGTGGGGTGCCTCTTCCGCGGCGGGGAGAGGGTGAAGGCCGAGAAGAAGACCGTGATGCTGAACCTGCCATAGAAAATCCCGCACAAGAAGCTCCATTCGAACCCGCGCCGAATGGGCATCATCATTTTCATGACCCAATGGACGAACCAGGGTTTGCTGACGGCCCGATTGCTCCAGTAGACCCCGACGATATTGAACCTGTGGACGATGCTGATGATCTGGAAGGTCTCTTAGAGCTTATCGGCATGCAAGGCCCTATCGTCGGTCTGCTGCAAAACGGTGTATTCAGCGCATTGATCGTATCCTTTACCGTTGCAGTCGGCATTTGGCTCCCATACCTGTGGGGCAAAATCGCACTGGTTCTTTTCACCAATCCGATACGGCTATTAATTGGAGTCCCAATTGCACTTGTATCTCTAGTTGTCGATATCACCGTTGATACACTTCTCGGGAGTGTAGGATATATTGTCTACCTAACGAACGTTCTATTCCGGTTCCTACTCGTCACGTTCGGACGATTCATCCCTTCTCTCACAAAATTTTCTGGAAGCAATGCTCTTACAGCTGCGTCGCTATCTATGATCGACCAAAGCAGCCAGCGCCTTAAAGGTGTTCTAGGCGCATTCTTTACCTTCCACGAATCCGACTTACCCATGTTCTCCGTGTTATCTCATCAAGCCTTGAGGATCCACCAAGAGCGGATCGCAACTTTTTTCAGCTTTATCCTCAGCCTTGGGAAGACTATTGTTTACGACACTCCATTGCTTCTCCTCCAGCAGGGGGCCTCGCAACGACTCATCGCCTCTATACTATCCCTCGAACCTATGAACCTACTCAACACTGCAGCAGGTGCCGTTGCGGGCGTTGGAAAGTCGGCGCTATTCTTTTTGGAGACAGAAAATTGGCCCAACCTGAAAATCGGCGGAGTCGAGGAAAAGGTCTCATTATCGTTGAACCATGACTTGGCACAATGGGATACCAAGGATCGAATTATTGCAATTATAGTTGGATATTGCTTTGCCTCTGTTCTTGGGATGCTGTACCTAAGGTTTTCCGCTCTGTTTTCCGGACCACGCCAGGAGAATCGGCGGGAAGGAGCTGTAGCTGATGTTTTGCAGCAAGCTGGTGGAGTAATGAAAGTGATCCTCATCATTGGGATCGAAATGATTGTATTCCCCCTCTATTGTGGCATTCTGCTCGACATTGCCCTCCTTCCACTTTTCCGTGGTGCAACATTGTCTTCGCGGACCGCATTCACGCTGGATTCGCCGTTCACATCGTTATTCGTGCATTGGTTCATCGGAACTTGTTACATGTTCCATTTTGCACTTTTTGTGTCCATGTGCCGGAAGATTATGCGAAGTGGTGTATTATGTGAGTATAGAACACATGTCTTGATATTTAGAAATATAAACTTTGGACTAACAAAAGTCTGTATTAGATTTCATCCGTGATCCTGACGACCCGACGTTCCATCCGGTACGCGATGTTCTTGAACGCAATATCACTACTCAATTACGCAAAATCGCCTTCAGCGCTCTTGTGTACGGCGGACTAGTTATTGTTTGCCTTGGCGGCGTTGTCTGGGGCTTATCTCTGAGTTTCCGCGATGTGCTCCCGGTACACTGGTCTTCCAATGAGCCCGTTTTGGAATTTCCTGTCGACCTACTTTTCTACAACTTTGTAATGCCGTTGGCGATCCGTTATATCCGCCCATCAGATGGCTTGCATAAAATGTACAATTGGTGGTTCCACAAGTGCGCGCACAAATTGAGGTTGACGCACTTCCTGTTTGGGAAACGGCGTAAAGATGAGGAAGGACGACATGCATACCCAACATGGCGTGGCCGGATTTTCGGCCGCCGGGATACCCTGGAGGGTGAAAACCGGCGTAAAATATTTCTACGAGATGGTAGATTTGTGCGAGCTCCAGGGTCCGACCAGGTTCGAATTCCGAAGGGTACCCCTGTTTTCTTAGAAGTTGACGAAAATAATAAGCGCATTGATGGCAAGGAGGATAGCAAAGAGGGGCTTCATGGGAGGTCGAACAAAATGTTCGCCCACGTCTATGTGCCTCCGAGATTCAAAACCCGGATCGCTATATTTATTTTCATGATATGGGTCTTCGCCGCTGTAACTGGGCTTGGATGCACTATTGTCCCCCTCGTCATCGGGCGATGGATGATATCTTCACTCTTCCCCAGCCATATCCGCGTGAACGACATCTACGCCTTTTCTACCGGCATATATGTGGTTGGCGGAGTATTCTACGCGCTAGTTTACTGTCGCCACGGCCTCCCGGCGCTCCGTCAATGTCTGCAACCCTACCTAGCATCCCCGCGACAGGCATTCCCACACGCGTACAACCTACTTGTGAAACTCATCAGCCTCCTGTACATTGGATGGGCATACGCTCTATTCCTCCCTTCCCTTTTCGCCTTGCTTACGGAACTCTATGTTCTGATTCCTCTGCACACCTACATCGGGGGTGGCGACGCCCACGTCATCCACTTCGTCCAAGATTGGACGCTCGGCGTCCTATACGTACGCATGGCTGTCAGATTTATATTGTGGTATCGCGGCTCGCGCCCAGCCAATGCCCTCAACTCCATCCTACGCAACGGCTGGATGAATTCGGACATTAAGCTGGCCACCCGTGCATTTATCGTTCCTGCTACCTTGCTTGGCTGTGTTGCGATTTTGGTACCGTTGCCCGTCGGGGCTATTCTTAATTCCACCATCTTCCGTGATTCGTCAGCCACAGTGCGCTCTGAGGTATACCGCTACTGTTTCCCTGCGACGTTGATGGCGGTTCTTCTCGTATGGGCTGCACACCAAGCCCGTAAGAAAATTGCCATCTGGAGGGTGGGCGTTCGGGATGACGTGTATCTAATTGGAGAGCGCCTTCATAACTTTGGAGAGAAGCGTGCGAAAGATGTTGGTGTAACACGGCGGATGATTACTTCATGATACGACTGCGTTTGCAATTTTCAATTTTTTTCCCCCACCTTTTCAACTAGTTTAAAATTATCTGCAGTATTTTAAAAACAAACCGTTTTACCGTTCTATTCTCTAAGCCATGTATATTAATTTTCCTGCGTTGCATATAATAATTTTATTCGCACTTACTAGACAAAATAAATTCGTTTGCCTTTGTTGATGTTGGATCAAGAAATTGTGCTGCCTGCCCGTTCTACGTACGGATTGCACGTGACCTCAAGGTTCCTCCACGAGGCTCTCAGCCGGAGACAATCTGCGGCGCTCTCATTGGCCACTTTTAGGCAGCAACTTTGCGGTTACTGCATCCCATCGCCGTCTCCCGAGTCCCCGATGCGCCTGGGATATTGTATAGGGTTCGTCGTATCGATCATCTCAGAGCTGGCTGATACATCGTCGTGCTCTCTGAAGAGGGAATCCCCAAAGTACATTTCCCGCATTTCATACGCCATTAAGAGTGATAAGTTTTTAATCGTGGTCAATTCTCTCAATTAATCTCTAGATAAAAAGCACCACAAACGCAGCCATGTCTGTCCTCAGGCATGGCGGAGCCTTCTTCCAAAGGCGGCTCACAAAGCTGTATACAGACACCAAGTCTTCCTGCGAGAGCGTCTCCAGCGCATCCAAGGCGAACGATGACCCAGAGCTCGTCGCATTGAATCGAAACTTTCGCACACAGAAGGATAGGTTACTGGCATGGGGCCTGGACTGGAGCGATGCGAGCGCCGCCCAACCAAATGATATCGACGAAGCGCTGAGCGAGGCTGGGTTTTCAGACGTTGTCGCGAGTGTGATGTCGTCCATACAGGAGCTGCTCAATGAGGCTGAGAGGCTCCAGCAGCCGGATAGTGTCAAGTCGCCTGACGGCTTGGTCCAGGTTAGCGCTGTGAAGGCGACGTACACGGCAGAGGAGATTGCACGGTCGAAGGAGTTATTGGAGGAATTGACGCAGCATATCGAGACGCTCTATGATCTCTCGCGATCGCGGAGGAATATGAGCATGAGCATGAGCATGAATTCGAATTCAAATTCACAGTCGATGTCGAAAGGTCAAGCTCAAGCTCAAGGCCAAGGTCAAAGTCGTCCATTGCTGTCGAAATCTTCGAAATCGTCCAAGGAGTCGTTTTTTTCGCTTCAAAATGAAGCCGGTCAGTTGATAGATAGGAAGCCCTTACCGACAAAGAAAAAATCAGCATCGGAACCCCGGCCAGGACGAGCGGGTTTCACAAAGAGCCATTTTACGGGGCTTCATGCCAATGCGACTAATGAGTTTGCTGAGGACTTCCAGAAGACTTTCGCGGATTCATTCCTCCCAACAAAGCCGTTTTACATCGATAAATCTGCCCTTCATCTGTCGCGTGGCGGAATTTCCCATGCTTCCAATCCGCCCCCTTACGAAGCGGTGGCAGAATCGGCAAATTCCAGAGTCATTGGACATTTAGATACCCATGCGATGCCTCATGCGCTGGCAGCGCTTGTACAGGGTCCAATCGTACCAGTACTAGTTGAATTCTCGCCGATAATGTTGGAGATGCAAAATTCTCTCCAGTTCCCTCGCAGAGAACGACTTCTTCAATTATTCGACACACTCCAACGCCTGGTAGAGAACTCCAGGGTTTCCCACCTTGGGTTGCTGAAGTTCGTTGGCTATTTTATTGATATGACTTATTCCCGCTACGCATTTGTTTATCAGATCCCACTGGAGATGTTCCCATTACTGCGACAACCTTCTGATGTACTGAGAGACGTCAAGCCCCGGCCACTTGTTTCGCTATTCCATTCCGGAGATGGCCGACCGGACTGCCCAATTCCAAATCTCGAGAGTAGGTTTCGCCTGGCATATCACCTAGTTCTGGCAGTTCTTCATCTCAGAAGCCAGAATGTTGTACACGGAAATATAAACAGCAACAATATTTTGGTATTCCCAGATTTCCAAGTAGCCAATCAACGGCTCCTGGGCGACTCGAGTTCCGAGTTCAGCCACCCGTATCTTACGTCTCTCGCTCAGTTCGACAGCGAGGATAAGAATGCAGTTCCCGAGCCGTTATCCGCAAGCATGTACCGCCATCCCGACGACCGTCGGGTTATCACCGATAATTCAGCTTGGGCATATGATCTATACAGCCTAGGCCTTGTATTGCTTGAAATTGGCTTGTGGACCCCAATCAGTAAGCTGTGGAAGATGAAGTATAACAATTCAATGTTCAAATCACGAATCGAAAACGTCTACGTCAAGCGGTTGGCACCCAAATGTGGAAATTCGTATATGCAAATAGTCCAGCTGTGCCTCGATGCGCCGAATTTCCACCTGTCTACGGAACCGATGACAGATCTAGGACTAAGAATCCGACAAACCTACCATTATCCATGGCATGACCCGAGTACATCAGATGAGTGGAACACTTTCTCTAAAAATTTTGTTTACACAATTGGGAAAGTCAGTTGGCGTTGTGCTTGCCTGGATGTCTTCTCCTCGCCGCCCGCTTCAGATCTGGATGAGTCTCTTCCTCCACCTCTCGTTATTGAGCCAGCCAGTTCGTCGTTCCAAGAAGTAAACCCTTACGACATAGGCCGTCAACCAGATTCAACCACGGCAATTGATCCGGCGGACGATGGGACAACTTACGGTGAATCAAATGGATTACAGGATCAGAGCTGTGCTAGTGAGAAAAAGGTGCGGAAACGGACGCTGAAGAAGTGGTCCAATGTCGAAATACCCGAAGAAGACTTACGTGACTGGAACATGACACTCATGCCGAAACTCAGCAAACTGCTTCAGAAGATCCTGAAGGACTCTCCTGAATCCTGCAGTGCTTCTTTAATGGTGGCTGGAGAAACTGCAGAGACCGCAAAGACTACAATTTGTGTCACCTGCACCAATATCCGGAGGGTTCGAGTCGCTCTCAAGAAGTACTTCGATTATGATCGAGAAAACTGGGATCTCATTGTGATTCGGGGAGATGTTTCACGCTCAAAAGTCCCTCGCAGACGACGTAGAAAGCCGAAAACGAATAACCGTGCTGCCATCGATGCTGCTCAGGTTGACCTGAACCCACACTATCAGCAGAAACCTGTCTGTGGGGCATCAATAGGGGCATTTCGACTTGACGAACATTTACCACCAGTTTCCTATGGGGGAGCGATCCTTGTCGATGGAATGCCTTATGGAATGACGGTGCATCACATGCTTGATGCCCCCTGTGATGATGAGGACGATGACGACCTACCTCCTCGCTCTGCTAGCAATTGGACTCCCGAAGGAGATGCTCATGATCAGGACTTTTCATACTCGTGGCATGATGAAAGGCCACCTGAAGCATTGTATCCATTTGAGATCTCGGATGACGATGAAGATGCAGATGACGGATCAATAGCACCAAGCATTGATGAAGCCTATGATGATTACTGGCTCTCAGACGGGTATTCCACTGATGACGGGGATGATGATGACGATGACGATGACGATTATGATTCTGCCTCGATTGGAGATACAGCTGGAGTTGATCCGGGAGAGGAGCCTCAAATAATCGTAACGCAGCCAGCGATCGATGATGTAGAAGTTGGATTTTTCCCGACCGCGGAGGATCGTGACGACGAGCATCTTGCCTCGCACTCGCTTGGATATGTCCATGCCTCGTCCGGAGTCAGGAGGTGCAAACGCGGTGGGATGAAGCATGAAGTGGATTGGGCGCTGATCAAAATTGACGAGAGTCGGATGGATATTAATAACGCGATACTTACCGATGTTGACGTGTCAGAAGCTCACAGTTCCTCTTCTCACACCAGTAGCCGCCGCGAAGCTCAGCGGCACCAACAAGGCTCCAAAGTGCTCTTTGCCACACTTGACAAAGTCGCCAGGATTGAAGATCTCGCCGGCTTACATGTCCAATGCTGCGGTAGGACAAGTGGCCTGCAAAGCGGCCGCATTTCCAAAGCAATGACCCTGGTAAAGATGCATGGTCGCCAATCCTTCTCCAGCAGTTTCAGCGTCGATGGGAATTTCGGAGGTAATGAATGGCCCTTTCATCCTTCATCCTTCCTTCCACATCTAAATCCAAACCAATTCCTTCCCCACACGAACACGCCCCTTGTGAAACAAATCATGCTAACGCGGCTCATTCACTAGTTCCCGGCGACTCCGGAGCCTGGGTCTTCGACAAATCCACCGGCCAGGTATGCGGCCACGTTCTCGCGTGGTCCGAGAAGAGCCGCACAGCCTACATAGCGCCCATGGAGATTCTCCTCGACGACATCGCGCGCACCCTGGGCGCTACCAGTGTCACCCTCCCCGGCAGCGAAGAGGCACTAGCATGGAGCCGCAGCCCCAATCCCACCCGCGCAGGTGCCACAGCACATAGTGATAGTCGCGCCGCGGCGGCGGCGACGGTAGCGCCACAGCCTCCTCACATGAGGAAAGTCTTGAGAATGACCCGCCACGAAATGGAGCAGCTTCCTGTTGAGTTGGGGCGGTTGAGCATTGACCGGGACGAGCAGGGCCGAGGTCGCGGTGGGGTGAAGGGGTTAAGAGATGTTTCTGCCTCGACGTATCGCGCTGTTGCGCCGTTGATTCGGCAATCGTATACGATGGAGAGGCAGTTAGCATGAGTGGGTGGGGTGTGTTCGTCGTTTCTTATACGTTTTTTTCTGTGGTCATTTCATTTTGGTCCTAAATACGTTTTTATTCCACCTCTCTTTTAGAGTACTTTTTGATAATCCCCATTTTGTGATACCCCCCCCCTTTTCCATATTTTTGCCTATTCTTATTTGCTAGCTATCTTCCCCTTCATTATGCATTTTTCTTTTTCCTCTTTCTTTTTTGTATTACTTTCTAATTCGCTAATATTCATACGCATTGTATATAGTTATAACCTTGTTCAGCCCAGGTTCCTAGGCATGTTTTCCACCATTAAACAAATTAGTGTAATATTATAACATCTTGTTGCTTTCAGTCTTCATATATATATGCATATTCAGCTTAACCGTCTTATGGCCAGGCAACATGCATATCTACTTTTATCTTACCATTCTATTCACGAGAATGAGCAAACATATTTTCCTCTAGCGTTCAAACACCCACCCCACACCGTCTAGATTCTATCCGAGGCCTATCAGATCATGAGATTAGAGGGTCAACCCATCAAAATGAATCAAAGTTCCTAGAAATATAAACATTATCGAATTATGTATGTGTAAATACTGGAAAACCAGAAATCTAGTCCTAGAAAATACAAGAAATAAAGAGTAAAAAGCAGGGAAACATCTAGGGAGGGGGCTGCCCTGCTGATTTTATAGGGAAGCGAAACCAAAGTAAAAGTAAAAGCAGACAAACGAAGATCGAAGGAAAGCAATCAGCGAAGCTATGAAATGAGGTGATGAGAAGCAAACTAAACAATGTAATAAAAGCCAAATTGCAAAAATATCGAAAAAAAAAGAAAGACAAAAAAAGAAAGAAAAAACACAACCACACACTCCCACATCCTATGACTATTACTGAGAAAGAAAAATATAATACGCATATGCTTCGCCAAAGCCGCCCCTCCATCTATCACAACATGCATAAATCAAAACACACCCAAAAAAAGCAGCATGGCTCATTTCACACTCAACCCAACCCAACCATGCTCATTTCACTCTTCCTATGACGACCCCAAGTATTTTAGCACAGCCTCCCTCTCCTCCACAGGAAGCATGCTCAACACCTGCTGCACACCCTTCAGACCACCATCCTTATTACCCATGAGCAACTGTGCAACTTCAATTGCGACACCCTCCGTCTTCATCTCCTCGACTTTCTCCAGGACCTTCTTTTTATTCTCTTCGTACCACAGCGCAACCTTTCGGTCGTTGAAATCGAACTCCCGATCCAACATTCCAGTCCACGACTTCAGCGTGTTGAGATTGATTTCGCGGGTTGTTGGTGGAGCGGGTCTAGGGGAAGATGAGGGGCTGGTGGTTGGGATAGCGCCATTGCGCATGCCGGTGGGGGGGGCGGTTGCCGCCATGCGCTTTAGGACGAGCTCCTCGCTGAGACGGCGGCGGAGACGCCAGTAGAAGAATCTTCTCGCGTTCTTCCACTGGAGAGCTTGACGGATGGTTCCCTTTGCCTCCATACGGCCGGCGCGGTCGTGAAGATCGGCAAATTGCAGAGCAATCTGCATATAGACTGGGAGAAGTTGTTCTTCTCTTTCGGTCATCTTGGCTTTGATCTTGGACAGTTGGTCTGCAGGCAGGGATTTGTCGCTGAGGGCCTTTCTGAGCTCGCTATATTCCGGGTCCAAACGGGCCATGGTATCCAGCTGTTTGTCTTTGCGGTATTTGATGTTGACAATACCCTCAGGTTCAAGAACACCACCGCGAGATTCCTCATCAGCGTACATCTCCATCTGTTCTGGGTTGATAGTAGGATCGATCACAACCTATGGCAAAATATTAGCACGAGATGAAAGAAAACATCAACAAAGCAACCCGGGAAATTAAACTTACCCATGAGCCACCGCGTAGTTCTCCGAGTGGCGGGATGTAAACGAAAATAGGTTGCTCGTATTTGACAAGAGCATCGACGATGTAAGAACCATACTTAAGAACCTCATTGTACATGTCGCGTTGGCCGCCAGAGAAACCTCGCCAGTTGGCAAGGATCATGACCGGCAGTTGTTCGCCAAAGTTGAAATCCTTGAGAGCTTGGGCGGTTTTGAAAGCAGAATTTGGATACCAAACTCCACCTGCCTCTGTGGAAATCAGCTCCATCGAGTCCGGATTCGCAGGATCAGCGGGCGTGACAGTGTCGACGGAGCGGGTCTCGACTGCGATGACACCCATGGGGATACCACCGAGCCTAGCGCGTCCAACAACCACAGTCCTGGCCCACCCCCCGAGTGCTTCCTGAAAGGAATCTTTGTCGAACATGCCAGGTAGGAAACCCTCATCATCATGCTTACCAGCGATAAGCCATCTCACGTCATAAGTTTGCTTAGCGGGAGGATAATAACCGATATCTCGATCCCATGTGTCCGAATATGGTCGGATAGGGACGGGCGAATTCTTCTTGTCAGGGATGAACGACATCCATTGGACAATCTTCTGTACGCCTTCAAAGTCATCATTGGCCGTCATATGGGAAACACCGTTCTTGTACATGATCTGTGTTCCACCCAGCTGCAAGTTAGATGTATAGACTTCTCGTCCAAGTAGCTTGTTAATGGCAGGAGCTCCAGTCAGGATAATTGGCTGTCCTTCAACTTGAATCGCTCTTTGGCCTAGGCGAACGAGGTAAGCACCAATTCCAACGGAGCGACAGGTCACAAGCGTGATAGTGAAGATGTCCTCGTAAGCCTTGGACGTCGCGCCTGCAATAAGGCCGGAACCTCTCAGACACTCGACACCCAGGCCATCTTCTGCGCCGATGATAGTGGTGATCATATGTCTTTCCTCACCGTCTTCCGTGACCAGCTCCGTTATGACATCCTTAGTCTTCCTCTCGTCAAATCGCTTCTTGACCTCTGGAGTAAGATAAAGATATTTGAAGCCAGCGTCCGGCCGCTTGGGATCATTCCATGCAACCGAGAAATGACGCATCAGTTCCTCTGCCATTCCGATGCGAGCACCGGAGTTAGCAGAAAGATAGATCCGTGGAATTCCTAGCTTCCTCGCAAGTTCCGTGCACTTGTGGAAGAATTTGTCTTCTTGAGGCCCGAACGATCCAATTTGGAAGGTGATATCGTTGGCGATAATGATGAAGCGCCTACCTCGTGGGTACTCGGGTGTTCTGGCAGTGATCATCCAACCAACCATTCCATGCGTGTTTGTTCCCGGCTCGCGAACCACTTCGATCAAGTTATCAGTATCGTCAAGCACGAGCTCAGCGTAATCAATGCAGTCGCCTACAGCCGGTCGTTTGTCGGCAAGCGATGAGTGCTCCCCAACGGCCTTGACCCAGCAATTCTGGAAAGCTTGTCTGAAAAGCTCGGGGAAGTCGTATACATATTGGGTTCCCATCAAATGGGCCTTGTACCGCTTTGGTTGCAGCCATTCTTTTGTAGGATAAGGCGTGGATACCGGACGAAGATGCATGGACCCGATCTTAGTGGTGCCACCGATACTATGGAATATCCATTCTCCCTTCTCGGATTTCCGCTCAGCATACATTTCAACCTGGATGATATATCCGGAAGTGTTGTTGATGACAACACGGAGGGGATAGGCCATGCCAGTCGTGGGTTCCGTACAGAGGATACGAATTTCAGCCCCGGTCACGCGAAGGCGCCAGAGTCGTCGACCGAAGCGTTCCAGGAAGCCTGCCAGTGCTCTTTCAACATCAGCGGGTTCAAGCGGGAAAACGGGCGTGAAGTTGATAAAAATATGGTTCAAGTCGGAGTTATTGTTGCCAATAATTTCAAGCGCGTCAAGGATATCATTCATCAAGTTATCGGCCTCAGAGATGAGATACTCCGCCGTGGGTATATCATCCCGCAGACGCCCAGGTCGAACAACAGCACGTGTGAAATATCGTTTATCAACAGCCTTGTCGCTCTCTGGCCCTTTCCCAATCGCTTCGTAAACGTGGATATTTCGGTTTTCTGTAAAGACGGGCTTGATTTTGAACTTGGAGAGTCTTCCCAATTCAAGCTGGAATGCAAGGGCGGGTTCACTATGGCGAATACTCTCGTCTTCGTCGTAAGAAGGCCCTCTAAACGTGAAGTAACCGGGGTAAGTTCCATCCTTGTGTCCACAAATAAAGGTAAGTCTTCTCACTCGGCGAGCGAGTAACTCTTCCTTAAGTTCGGAGACAAGTTTAGTAATGCGCGCGACCATCTCCGTATCATCCAGGTCCTCGATATCGCGTATAGCAACGTTGCAGACTCCAGTAAGCTCATCGACAGTTTCAGGGCGAGGTGGTTTGCGTAATGCTGCCAAATTGGAACCGAGAGAGTTTCCGTTGTTTTTCTGTGGCTCTGAGCGAGGGAAGACCTCCAGCGCCCTGGAGAGCATTTCTTCGGCATCATCAAGATAATTGACTGGAATAATGACACCTTTCCTCATTGGTTCATTGACCCCCTTGTTGACCAAGTACGACATATCGCTAATGGAGCTAATTTTCTTGAATGGATTGCTTTCCGTGGTGGGAGTGGTTGGGGTGGATGGGTGGGTTGAAGCGGCTGCCATTCCAAACTCAGAGTGGCCAGTCTTCCCGAGGATGAAATCCCACGAAATAAAGAATGGACTCTCCTGTTGGTTGTGGTATTCGATTCCCTTCAGTGAGTATGCCCGATAAGCTCTGCGGACATACACCTCGAGCGCCGCCAGCGATACCCATTGATCCTGATGTCCAAAGAAAAGAGGAAGCACGTCGAAGACGGTGTACTTGGAGTCAACCACTTCCTTCAAGACGCTTAGGTCAGGTTCTCTATGGTCCCACCCTGTCTCTCCGTATTTGGATTCCACAACTGAGGAGCGTAAAATATGCTCCATCTGAGCAACTCTCTCTTCAAGAGACGGCAATGCGCACTGGATAAGAACCTCGCGAGCTTTCAATGCCACTTTGGAAGTAGCTCGAGATTCCAGTTCTGCTAGTTTTTTCAGAATGGGTTTTAAATACTTCCCGACGTTGCCGGCGTTTGGTTTATTTGGACGATACATATCTAAAATCGCGAGCAGCAAGTTGTTCTTGGCTCCGACTTTGCTGTGAGATAAGACGGTTTGGATGACGCCGTCGATGTCATCTTTGTTCTCTTCTCTTAGTTTAAGGATCACATCCTCGTCTCGCATATTTCGTCCTGTGAAAAGGTGCTCCACTTCCCAATACTGTTGAAGAATTCCTATGAAGACTTTGTATTCGTGAACTTTCAGACCCTCACTATATCGTCGGATGACATCCACGAGGGGTAGGAGGCTTGTCTGCAGAATATCGGCATCGGCAGGGCTCACATTGTCATCAATGAAGCGGGTAAGTGTCTTCATCAATTGGTTGGCTGGGAACTCCGCCTTTCGTGACTTGGCTCTATCAACGACCTGCGTGAGGAGGGAGTCAAGCTTCTGTGGCATGCGAGAATGCAGGGCGGACACTTGGGCGTTCCACTCTCCATACGGTAGTTCGGGGTTCCTCAGCACTTCGACCAACTCTTTCAAGGTGGCTCCCATGATGACCTGGTTATCGAACCCACGAAGAATATCAAGCAGAATGTTGTGGAGTAGGCCGAAGCGCTGTGGTGGCTTGGTGCCGACAACTTGAGGAGGACCTAGCTCTGGTAGTTGCCCGAGGAAAGGCTGAGCATGTTTCACTCTTGAAGGGTCATCCAACGCGAGAATACCCAAGATATCCCCAGCTTCGAGTGTAGACCCAGGCTGTTTGATGAGTTGCACGATACCATCCTCCTGCGCGATGAGGGGCATATACATTTTCATGACTTCGACCTCAGCGAATGGCTGTCCAGCTCGAACATGTTCTCCGTTTTCCACAGTATATTTCACAAGCTTGCCTGGACTAGGGGTACGAAGTTGCGTAGGGTCGTTTTCTTCTTCAAGCAGACATGTCTTGCCATCAACACTCAATCGGGTCGCAGCCGCTTCCTCCTTCCAGTAAACATTATGGCTTCGTCCATTCAAGAGCACGAGCAATCCTCCATCAGCTAGAGCCCGAACACCAACAGAACATTTGGACCCGTTAATAAACAGATGATAGCTATCGTCGCTTGATCTAGTAGCAGTGAATTTGTATCGGTATCCTTCGTAAATAAAATCAATGGGGAAAACTGTTCTCAGGACATCTTTTGAAGGTACTTGACCCTTCTCAAGACCCTTCCGATATTCCGCGATACACGACTCACTCGAGAGATGAGCTCTGGTAACGGCTCCACAGATAACAGCGACCATTGGGTCGGGACGCTCAGCTGTAAGTTTATTCGAAATCAACTGATCCAACCAGCCAGTGGTGATGGTATTGTCCTCGAAGGCGGGAGTCTCAAGTAGCTTGATGAGATACTCAACGGTGGTCCGGAAATCACCGCGAATGCTCAATTCCTTCAATGCGACGACCATGTGCTTGCGTGAAGCAGAGCGATTTTCGCCGTAGGCAAAGATATGGCCAAATTGAGAATCGGAGAAACTATGGATCCCACCAGCGGTGCCGACAGAGAAGTAACCCCAGACATTTGAGCTACTTCGGAAGTTGAGCTCGTGCATTGTACCGCTGGATGGTTTGAAACCTTCGCCGGGATCCTCTGAGGTAATACGACAAGCAGTGGTGTGACCCTTAGGTTTCGGTCGACGTTGAATTTTCGTGCTTTCTTCATTCGTGAAATGGAAGTCAATTTCGGAGCTGGTGTTAGGGTCCACGCCATACAAGAGACGAATATCACGAATACGATGCAAGGGAATTCCCATGGCAATCTGGAGCTGTGCGGCGGGAAGATTCACTCCTGAGACCATTTCGGTTGTGGGATGCTCGACTTGGAGACGGGGATTTAGCTCGAGGAAATAGAACTTGTCTTCCGCATGGGAGTAGAGATATTCGACAGTTCCGGCGGAAACGTAGCCAACTAGCTTTCCGAGTCTCACGGCTGCTTGTTCCATTGCCTGGAAGGTCTCTTGTTTCGCAATCGTGACAGGAGCCTCCTCAATAATTTTCTGATGTCGTCGCTGGACTGAACAATCCCGACCAAAAAGGGAAATGTTGTTACCATACTGATCTGCTAGTAGCTGAACTTCCAAATGTCTCGCATTGCCTGCGAGTTTCATGACGAAAATCGGTGACCCAGGAATCTCGCTGGCGGCGGCATTATACATATTGATGAAATCCTCTTCTCTCTCGACCTTTCGAATACCCTTTCCACCACCACCTTCCGAGGCCTTGACCATGACCGGGAAACCAATCGCCCGAGCTTTCTCCAACCCTTCTTGCGGAGAATGGGTGCAGCCTTTTTCATAAATGTGTGGTTCAACAGTCACGATCCCGTTTACATCGACTGTAACTTCATCAACACCCTCTCCAGACCAAGGGATACAAGGAACCCCCGCGTGCTGGGCAACAATCGTCGAAGAAATTTTATCTCCGAGGGAGCGCATCGCAGAACCAGGAGGGCCAATAAAAATAATCTTTTTGGGAGATGCCGCAAGCGATTCAGGCAGTTTTGGGTTTTCTGAAGCGTGGCCCCTAGTGGAATATTAGCCAGCTTGTTCCTTCCCACAAGAAAAATAAAATAAAGTACGGGTCACGGAACGTCCTCACCATCCTGCCCAAACTGCGTGGACGCCCATACGTTCTGCAACATCCACGATCAGCTCAACATTGGCATAATTGTTGTTATTCGTGCCTCCAGGAACCTAATCAATAAAAGTTGAGTCAGCTGCGCTAATTTCGTCTCCCATTTGCTGTGCAAAACTCGACCATCTTTATAAGAACGCCTTTAAGAGTGCTCCGTACCTCAACATATTGGTCAGCCATTCGAATATAGTCTGCATTTGCTCTTAAATCCTCCGGTGTGGCCATGACCGTAAATTGAATCGCTCTTTCGTCTCCAAACGTATTGTAGGCCCATTTTCGTACATCTCGAATTTCTTTGACGGCAGCAATGCCATTATTCGCAATGAGGACCTAAACATTAAAAAAAAAAAAAAAATTGAGAAAAGAAATTACAGTCAGTACATATTCTCATCGTATCCAAGCTTGAGATAGCGCAGTCCAAAAATTGGCTTCGTCGCGGGGGCAGGAAAGGAATTACACAAAAGGGTGAGACAGCATTGAACGCACCGAAGTAATAACTGAGTGTCCATCGTTCTTTGCAACGAAATCCTTCACTTTTCCGGGGGGTGCCAGATCGAGACGATTGCCTCCGATAAAGTGTGGTGGCAGGTTATGTTTGGCTGCGAATGCGCTCCCAAAGCCATTGACGCTGGACGATCCGTTTGAGACCCCCATGATGACGGCGTAAATAATATATTATTTCCAGCTATTCATGAAACAGATGGAAAACGCGACGGAGGTCTTCGTGCGTTTCGACAAGGGCGGGTAAACAAAAGCACGTGGATCGATTTGGGGGGAGGTTGTCGATCCCCGGTCACACTCTTTTCTTTTTCCTTTTTGAAGGGTTTGTCGACTGTAAAAGCGTTTTATGGAGGCTGATATATTTAGAAAATTAAAACGGAAAGAAAAGAAATCCAACACGGCCTAGCAATTCAACGCCTGATCCCTTCCAGCGCGCATGGACGAGACAACCGAGTAGAGAACGAGCTTCTTCGGAGATTAGGGGAGAAAGATGGGAGGAGTGCGAAAAACGTCTCTCAACGAATGAAGGAGAGACGAGAGAGCAAATTAAGGAGGAATTAACAGGCAGGATCAAATGAATTTCTCACGCGGAAGAAGAATGGAGAGTGAAGAGTGAAGAGTGAAGAGTGAAGTTTGAAGTTGAAGGAGAAAGGCCAAAAGGACAGCGGTTAGAGAAAAAAAGAAGTAAGTTGAAGCCAACGAACAGGGAAAGGTTCAACATGTCATGTCTCGTAAGATTGGTATTGGGCTGGTATTCAAGGCGATCTCTGAGGTAGGTAGGATACGGAGTACTTTTGGCTCTTATCGATAACCCAGAAATTGGGTTGCGGCAGAACAAACAATACCAGGTTGTTTCAAGCTTTAACATCCAAAGATTCAGCGGGAGAATTATACACTGCAAGTGCCTATGAAGTGAAAATCTGCTCCGTGACATCGGATGATCTTTGCATACCATACACCATCCATGAGTCTACAGCTACACAGAAAGCTGTTCTATAAATCAGTCCCAATGTATTTGTTCCTTGTATTATTCGTATTGGCAACTTGTATTCAGTGTTCCCCCATCCAAATCCAAATACAAGCCAAAGCCCAATTAGGCAAGTTTCGAACTATCCTCTTCGCCCCTTGAAGGCAACCTTCCCTATTCGGGCTAGCAACAGCTTCACCCAAACTTCCACCCGCGCAAATTCCAAGCCCCAGCAACGAGCAATAATAAATATTAATTGATCCCTCGCAGCTCCCGCCAAAACAGAGAACAGATAGACAAGTAGGGACAAATAGACGGTGGGTGCATACGAGTTCCATTAATAATTATTTCCATTTCCATGCAAAAGGAAAAGAGCTGGGAAGAGGCACAACAAAAGAAAAATTGCGGCGACGCCCAGCCCAGCGAATATTTTTGTTGAGCTCAAATAAAATGACGTTTTCCCCAACGCAAAATACCTCTAAAAAGTCATCGAAAGATTTGGACTCGATGAAATTCCTGTTTACAACTAGGTCCGGATTCGCCCTTGAAAGCAGGCTGCTTTAAATCCCCACTACCCACCCATCCCCTGAATTGATCTTCCTGGCAGGCATGCAAAAGAGTTGCATCTGCAATTGTGAATTTGTGACTCTTCACAATCATGTGTTCAACATGCAACATTTCTCCATTCTATAATATTCTATAAGCTTCAACATGTTTTGTTACTACTGTGCATGCTGCTGTGAAGGTAATTTCACAGTCTATCAGTTTTTTTTATTCATCTCATTTATTTTAGTGAATGAGTTCTTCTGAATGCTATGATGATGATCTCTTTGACAGAGAAACAATAGTATGAGTATTTCTGCAACTGTGGTATCAAGAGTTATGATGGAAGAAGTGCTTATAAACAATGATTTGATATCATGTTCCCTGACTTCCCCCCACTCACCAATCCTGATCAAATGCGATGAAAAGATGGAGAGAGAGTGATTGATTGACACAATTCTGAACCAGAGAATTTGAAGGAATTTCAACACCAGAAGGTTCTACCTGGAATACAAAATTGATTGGTGTGACTATGCTGCTTCCTGAGAATCTCTCTATAATGTGCTACCCAGTTGCAAGCAACTGATTGAGAAATTTCATGCAAAATCACTGAAGAGATCAAATCTTGTCAAGCTCAAAAGATTTGAAGAGAATGCACTGGAAAGATACAATAAAACAGCTCATAGAGCAACTGACAATCACTGTTCTCTATTTATATCAAACTGCTGACAAAAGAGATCAGTCACAGAAGTCAATCTGACACAGTCAACAACTCAGTTCAAGATGAAAGAAAGACATTGTGTTTTATATTTGTGAGAATTCATGCTCTAGTCTGTGGTCTAATTTTCAAGAAAAATACAAGCTAGGAAGTGTGATGCTGCATGATGTCTGTTTGAGATACAAACTCTGTTAGGTATCTACATTTACAGAAGTATCAGATGAAGTAAAATTGGCCGTATATTCTCATAGAGTCTGGCTAATCTATCCTTTTTCCCTTCATCTCACTCGCACTGCCGTTCCAAATAGTTCTGATAGCGTAACCAGCAGCTGATCCGGCTTCTTCCTGGGATTCTATTGCTGATATCATCCCATTTCAATTCTTGACCCTCGAAGTTTGAGTATTAGCCCATCCTCTTCCAGTGACCATTTTGATATCTTCCTAGCTGGCCAGCCATTGGGGGGCTTGTCTGGCAGCAATCTCTTCATGGGCCTTGATGATATCTCCCGCGAAGATGTCAAAGCTAAAGTTCTTGATGAACCCGCGCTAACTCTGGCTTTGATGATTGAGGGGATGGGTTTTCACCCCTAGCGGTCACCGCGCTCATTGTCGGATCCCAAAAGCAGTGAGATATCCAGCTTGCCGGTGATAATAGGAGAAAGCGTTTGGAAAGTGACAAGTGGTACAAAAAGCTAGGAAAGAAAGCTTCGGCGACTACTTATAGCTGATTGCCAGGACCTATAGGCTGTTGCACATGAGCACTGGGTCTGGCATGACATTCCAAATTCATGACATTCTCTTCAATTGCACAATCAGTTTCTGTTTCTGTGCAAGCTAGCACTCCATCATGTAGAAGGGAATCGCGGAATAGATGGTTCAGGGTCTGAATTAGCGAAATTAATATCGCCAAGTTGCATAGCCCACTGATCAGTATCAAGAGGGGTGGTCAAACCGTCAGTATCAGAGTGGTTTACATCTTGGCTTACTTAGGACATTGGAAGGCTGAATGATGATGAATATTTTAATGCCTGGAGGCACGTGATCGGTTAAGTCCTCCACGGCCACAAAACCTCCCTAGGGGTATCAGGCACGCCAGCGCGGTAGCTACTCTACCGCCTGACGGATTCTAGTCGGCCGAAGCCCTCGCATATTGGGCTGCAGCGTAATATTATTAAATATATATATATGGTGTGGGGAGGAACTCATTGCTCCTCTAAAGAATTAGAAGCGTAATACTGATTGAGTGGTCCAAAAGGGGACTCCTCGGAAGGACCCATCTCCGGGCCGACCCGCGACCGCCTGGACCTTCGAGCTTTTCAGGAGGAAAGGCATTATTTATGATGGAGAGAGGATTCCGCCGATAAATTGAGAGGTGCAAGGCAGATGGCTTACTGGCTCACACGGGCATTTAATCAGGCGGTATGTAACGGCTCACAGTTTTGGCCAAGCATCTTGGCGTGGGAGAGTGGCGAGGACAGACCTCAGCAACTCTCCATCCCTATGTGGATTTGGGGTTGTGATTGAAGAGCGGCGAGATGTGGCAAGACTGCCAGTCGATGATACCTGTAATCTTTTCAGGGGTTGTGTGGGTCTACAAGATGTTGTCATCATGTAAATCATTATGCCAGAGGCGCGGGTTGGTGATGGCAGTGTCCTTCGGGATAAGGGCATCAATGATTTGTCGGTACCATGCTAAAGCAGTAAGCTTCTTTTCCTTGTCTAGCCGGCAGAGCTTTGGGCCACAGAATAAAGCGATCTGTTTCGGAGGTTTCAAAGACTGGATTGCTTTTGTCTCTCGCGTCGCGACTACTTGCAGATACTGCATTAGAGAAGCCCCTACAAACTTGTAAGCGTCTGCACGAAGATGATATGAGTCCCAACGTACATGGGCCCCTCTCGATATCCAAAACTGATCGACCCCCATCAAACCAATCTCGGCCTGTAGTAGGCCCAATAGCAACCTCGGAATCTTTGACAGCTTTGCCATCCTTGATGTAGTGGTTATCTGGTGGTGGATGCACGTCTCCCGCGTAGTACAAGCTGCCGTAACGCGAGAATGAAACGCCCAGCCATTGCTTCTGGAGACGTGTCATGGCAAGAAGCACTTGGAGCTTCTGGGGTAATTTCATCATGTTCCAGACTTGAGACAGCGGAACACCTTCGATTTTATCCATAATGATAAATTCAGCCCCAACAGGGTGTGACTTTGCTTGCGAGTTCCAAGAGTAGACACGAGGTGCTGGTGTGTCCAGAATTTTTCTGGCCTCCCAAGGCAGATGCGTTAACAAAACTCAGTAATTGTGGAGTTCAGGATGAACTTACAAAGTCCATCGTGGCAACTTCACTGGCTGTAGTAAAGTGTGCAATGCCAGCATTCGGGTTGGGCACCTTAGCTACGACTTCTCGGCCATTTTCCATAGACATGAGGAATGTTTTGTCGAACATGCTGTCGGGGTACTTCTTGATGGAAATGCACTTAGTGGCGCCGACCGAGTCTGCAGCGACATATGCGAGCTTGTTCAAGTCGAACCTGATCTCTCGCTTTCGAAGATTCTCCGCCTCGTCAATAACAAAGCGGCCACGCGTGAATTTGAAAAATTCTTCATTAGAATTCCAGTCTGATACGGATTAGCGATACGTTGAGTCAAGCTCAGATTGGCATGCTACCTGCCTGGGAGCCCATGTGGAGGGACAGGAACCGTAGGATAGCGTTTGAGCCTTCGAAATTGAGCGGCTATGTTGCTTCAAAATTGGTATTATACTTCGAATGGAGTGCCATGGACGGGTGAATGGGGGTCGCCACATATTTCATGAAATGCAATGGCTCTGTAGAAGGCGCAACAATTAGGTAAAAACTGCAAGCAACACGTGACCCGCAGGGACGCAGTCTTGCGTACGTACAACTTTGAACTATCACTATGCTATCGAAACAGCCTCAAATCTCTCAAAAATCTACTGGGAATTTGGGAAAGAGGGTATAATCCTACTTTATAAGTTGGTTCCTCACGACGATGGAATTATTCGATCCACCAAGCAGCGGAGAGCACCCTATTATTAACTCATCCGAGTGCCATTATGAACCGAACCAGCGTTATTAACTTCTAACCTAGTCTCGAGACACCACTGGCGCTAGTCTCGTAGCCTCTAGTTGTTCGGACCGGATCATCTAGATGATCCGCTGGTGTAGAGTTTTCATCCTTTTTTTTTTCCCCTTTCCCGCTGAGCTCGAGAGCTCGAGAGCGAGCTAGTTAGTAGCATGCATCGATCTCATCTAAGCCTTTCCCTTGTTTCATGGTTTCTAGAGCTTCCACCTCCATGCTAGAGAGTCCGCGGGTAGTAGGCCTCTGAGACCTAGTCTACAACGGCTGGGTCCTTTCGTGCATCCCGAAGAATAGTAACCATGTCGGAGTACAGCTTTGAGTCCTCTTTCTCCCACCGTTTGTCGACGGGGAAAACACACCGTCGTAGCCTGTTGACCCACGGAGCTAAGGGCTTGTAGTATGGGGTGAAATTGTCTTCGATAGTCCTGAGAAAATCCTTTTCATGATCTATTACCCCCTTTTTGGCAGCTGCAAGCTTTTCTGTGTTGAGATAGTTCCAGTCTTCAAACAGCTCAACAACTCTTCCCTTCCCTGGGCCCTCGTAGTGGATGCATATCCAGAAGAGCACCCAGAAAAACGACTCAAGATCGTGCATGAAGGAGTGCTTCTCACCGTAGAGCACGCCGATGGCCATGAACGCCCTTGTGCCAGTCTTGCCACGTGCCCCAGAGAACCCCTCCCGTTGTTCCTTTACCGCCAAATCAAGATCGATCAAGAAGGCCTTTTGAGAAGGATCATCATCGTTTTCATTCACCATGAGGTTCCCCAGCGAGATATCGCATTGGATCATCCCAGCTTTCTCATGCAACGACTGATACCCGCGTATACAACCCTCTAATCCAGATAGTAGGAGAACCCTTGAGGTAGCCTTGTATATACATTTGCCGTAATCCTGGACAACGACACGGCGGTGCACCCGATGCTGTACTGTCGTAGTAGCTTTAGCAGGAGAGGACGACCGAGTGCGCTTGCTTGGGGGTAGCGGAGCTTGGAGGCTGTCGGACGACCGTTTTTCTCCGGTCGCCTGTTTCTTCTTGCGGGATTTGCCTCTTATCATCACTGACTTACCTAGTTCTTCATCCGCGACTGCTGTGACACCAAGACCTTTCCGCGCAGTTTCGGTGGTATCGTCCTGGCCGTCGATGCGGATGGTCTGGTGGTGATAGTACCGAGCCACGTTGATCACACCCTTCTTCATCGCTTCGCTGAGAAACTTCCCTTCTTCGTCACGCTCTGGATACTGCCAGGAGTCCTTAACCACAAGCTGTGTCGACGATCCTTTGCGGTGGACTTTCCAGCAGGTAGTAGCCCGGCCGGCGATACAGTGTGCCCGCCCAATTACCTCGTCGATCACGAGAAGCTCCTTCTCGCCATTTCGCTCAATCTCAATGCAGCGTGTACCCTCCATGGTGACAATAGTGGGATCGAACCCTAGCTGCTTTTGGTCCATCCGAAGGAACCCTAGCATCACGGTAATAAACCGACAGCCGTCCTTGTTGATATCGAATTTCTCAGATGCAATCCCACCGGACCGGTCAAAGTGCCAAACACGGAGGAATGGGCCGCAGAGGGTGAATCCGGGAACAAAGCGGCGGGAATCCTGAGCAGACAGAACCTCTCTGACGTATCTCCCCAGATCAACCTGTGCTCCAGAGGGGGTATCATACTTCCGGTCATTCTTCAACTCTCCTGGGACCAGGATCTGCGACCAGTGGCATCGGGTGTTCTCTGTAGCATTTGGGTCGTCAACAAACCCGACATCGAGTTTTCGCTTCGCGGTAGACCCATCCACAGGGCAGGTCGGTTGGGCAAGGGGTCTGCGGTGGATGTTCTGAGTGGGATCACGTTCCTCGGCGAAGTGCACAAGTGTGCCGATGATCTTCACCAGCCAGTCCAACACGCACTTCTCGGCAGCATTTTCCGGCCAACCGGTCCAGCCTCCCTCTTCAGTGTATAAAGGCTCTTCTCCGGCTTTGCATGTGTCGAACACTGCCCGTGCGGTTGAGTCCAGCCCTTCAATCTCGCCGAAAACAGCCTCAAAAAATCCCGGGATGTCCGGATGGAGAACTCCAAGAAGTTCTTCCTTTAGCACTGAATCGATGGATTTTCGGTGCTCGGATGAGTTGACAAGACTGCTGGTGGTATGTGACCGCGGGGTCTGGATGCTCGGAAAGTTGGGACGGGGCGGAGGTGTAGAGATTGTGGGCTTTCTGGGAGTATCAATGAGGTCAAGAATAGCTTCCCAGATTTCTGTATCGGGTGCTCCCCCGAGGACAAGTTGAATGGCAAGACGATAATCATCATAATTGAAATTGGTTTCAATGTGCTGAAATAGACGAGCCAACTCTGATGCCACGCTCAGGCCACTTGTTCTCGAGCGAAGATTGAATGCTGTATCCTGGCCTTGCAGAGTGTTAAGCAACCTTAGAACAGCCATTCGACAAATTTCGTTTTCTGACTCATTACTCCCGTACACCCGCTCCGCATCTTGAAGACGACGAAATATTGGCTGAAGAGAATCCTTGAGCGGATACTTCGCTACAATATCATTAAGAGAGGAATCTGCCATGCGTTCAATTTCTCAAAGTTTGGAGACAAGAAGGTTAATACTTACCTCCCTCACGTACTAATCCAGAGAGTGACATTTGCTTAGTTAGTTTCTCCGGTCTACATTAGGTTTAGCGTCTCTTAGAGATGTTATCTCCCTTTTTTTTTTTTTTTTTGTATTCAGGCTCATCTCGATCGAGTTCTAGTAAGATTTAATAGACGAACAATCTACACTCTTTTAGTTAATTATTCTAATCATTGATACACATCGTACAACATACAACATATGGCGAAACTAGTCCGTTACATACTACCGTGCCATACACGCCACATTATCTACATACATTATGATAATGGCAGGAATATATAATCTATCCATCGACCTTTCTTCATACAAAACAAGCATCAAACGCTCGCTTACGCTTGCTTTGCTGCTTGCGCAGCCTCTCTCTACCACTTCCACTCTCTACCTCTATTACCATCATCAGATTAATCAGAGCTGTACAGACTGCAGAGCCGGCTGTTCAATCCCATTCATGAATTCAAAGAGGTGCACATGTTACAGGGCATTTAGCAGCCATGAACACAGAGAAGAGTATAAGAAATGTAAATACTGTAGAGAATGTATGAAAAGAGTAGAATGAACAAAAGAATGAAGATTTGAAAATTGATCTGAGCTGTATAATTTTTGATGAGGTGTCATATAGACTGATCAGTGAGACTATGAATTTCATGTTTGATCTGATCTCATATATTTCTTAGCATGAATTCTGCTGAGACTAATCATCAAAAAAATGTGAAAAGTGACTATTAATCAGATCTCATTTAGTTCTATTTAGTTCTATTTCTAAGAAGTAAACAATCATATCACTATATTGAATTTAATACTATTGTGTTGATATATCACTTGCATGGCTCAGCCATCAATTTGATAGCTGAATTAAAAGTTTGTGATTCTGGTGCTTCTTGTCATTAAAATATACCTCCAGGACCTGAATATGGTGCATTCCTAGCACAGAAAATAACAAAACCTGTGAAGAAAAGTGTTAGTATTCTGTGTCTCCCTTTGCAAGGCATTTCTTGAAAAGACACTTATAGAAGCAACAATATGCAGGTGAAGTGACTTCATGTTTAGCCACTGACTTATCACATCAATAATGGCCAGCAGCTCTCCACGAAACAGTTCATCCTTATTTTCAATTATGCCACTGTACATCAGGACTTTCATATGGGGAACTGTAGCATGTGCTATATTCCAGGCTGCCTGAACCTGCCACCGGGGTTCTTTGGATACATCCATCAGCTTCCCAAATTTGAAGCTTCCGAAACTATAAGTACAGTGGGTGGTGAGAAGCTATATCTGAAAACAAATAAGTGAGAATAACGAACTCAACATAGAATGAACCAGGGGGGTTCAGATCCTGTTTTGACAGGGTGCAGTTCTGGAAGTATTGGTTTAGATACCGCTCCTTTTCTAGGGACATTGACATCCAGAGTTGCTGTATACCACCCAATTGCCTCAGGTCGGCATGTGAGATATAAGGGCTTGTTAATTGTTCAAGGGATTCTTTGATGGCTCGTAGCATCTTGCGACGCGAGTTCCGCTCTCGGAGGTTGTCAGCTGCCATAACTCTGGGAGATTTGTGTATTCAGTGGATTTGACCCTCATCAGTGAAAGACTGAAGAGGGTGATTTGATGAGGCGGGTAGGTAGGAGATCTGGGTGAGCCACAATACAATGTTATTGTTGGAGAAGTTGCCCAGCAACAAAACAGACCGAATCTCCATTAGCGGGTAACTTAAGCTGTCATTGGCTGCGGCCACCATTGACTGCTTGAGTTTGCGCCGCACGAACCAAGATCCGGCCCCACACCGCACTGTAGAAAAGTGGGTCTTATTGGCCGAGGTTCCTTTAAGGTTCTCGGGTCTGGTCTGCGCCCGTTGGGCCGTGGGGGAGAAACAAACCGACAACATGGAAAAGGTAAACTCTACTCACTTTTTTTTGGTTACTGCAACCGCTTTTCCACGTAACAGAGAGGAGTACTATGATGTCCACTTCTCTATTTTTATTCCCTTATTCCTTCCTAGGAGTTTCAACTGAGCTCCTCGTCTTCGTGTTGAAATCCTTTACTCATCTCAACATTTATAATTTTGACTGCAGGAGGAAACGAGTCTGGCAAAATCGGGGAAAGTTTGGCCCACTACGCAGTATATTGCTGAAAGGGATACCGGGAGTATATAGTTAGAGCAGCAACTTTACGTTCCCGTAAAACGACGTGGGTGCTTGTGAAATATCTCCCACCCCATCCCCTTCTTACGTCCACCCCCCCCCCCTGGATATAATGCTTCAAATCTTTCAAGAGCCAATAGACGCAAATCACCTCACGAGCCAGCAGCCGGGGCAATATGACAATCTAGCAGCAATCCCTACGTACCCGAAGTTCCCACCTACCCGAGTGCAAAATGGTTTCAATTGGCGATAAACCCAAGGGGAGCCGAGCCGATACTCGAATCATCATCCTTGCATCAGCTGATCGGATTAGAGAAGTCATCAGTCATTTCATCTCAAGTAGCAGGGGATTGTTAAGGAGAACGTGGAAAATCATTACTTGGGGAGGAAGATTAACTCGTAAGATTAATTTGTTCTGTGCAGGCAAATTAGAAAAGGTGAGTTCTAACAGGTGAGTTTCAAATCCCTGGATACTAACGATACCGAATATACTTCCAAATCGACTAGAAGACAGGGAGGAAACGATATCTTCTAAGGAGAAACGACAAACGTTGCGAGTCTCCTTTATAAAGTTAGAGTATGCTAAATATTGTCAAATCGACATAACAGTTCACGGGAAGACTAGCCCTACCCCTTCTAGCCTGACACAAGAGGATAAGAACACTCTTGTTCTAGAGAACCGAGCCAGAATATATAGTTATAGCTAGACGTAACAGTCTCAAGGTAGGTAGGTACATAGATTTATGTAGGTATATAACAGAATGTCATAGGAAAAGGAAAAGGATCAAAAGAAATCAAGAGAAAAAAGCATAGTTATAGAAGAGAATTTCAGTAATGTGTCATAGTTCGGCAGATAAACAGTCGTTAAGGAGAGAGGCAAAAAAGTATATCGGAGAACGAAATGGTCTAGAACATGAACAGGCGAAGGAGATATTGTGACCCTATTAGAAGAATTGTGGTTGAGGGGTTGGGAACGAAGGGACATGAAAAAAATGAGACATCCAATTAAGAAGATGGCGATGCTTGATGGTTGGATAGAGCGCCGCCTCGGTAGCCGCTAAACGCTAGCTGCGTCCTTGGAGGACACAACTGGATGCTCTCGCTTTCTACTCTACGGGCCACAAGGTCCCGGAAAACGATCCTCTCAGTTTATCCCCGCAATACAGTGTCATAAGGGGAGAACACTGAAAGGCGATATAGCAGAGAATATATTCCTGACGTACAAGAAAATAAAGAAAGGATAAGGATAGGCAAAGAAGGACACAAAAAGGAGGAGAAAGACACTTAAAATAACCTCAAAAACGTTTCGCCAAGGCACCCCGAGAATAATGCCAGCCGTAAAAATATCATAAGAACCGTGATCGTGAATCAAAAGGAGGTGGATATCACAAATATGTATGTATAATGTTGTCATGCTAGATGCCTGCAAAGCAGAAAGAGAAGTAGAATGGGCAGACGAGAAATCCGAGGCACGAATGGACGGGCAAGTGCTAATAACTTTCACCCACTTCGGTTAGTTTATTTTTCCTTTCGGGGGGCCCCATGTCCCCATCTCGTCGATCGATACCGGAGCTAATGCGGCGGGGAGCAGGTAACATGGAGGGAGTGATGGTATTTCCCCCCGATTCCCTTTTCTTTAGGCCGCCAGGAGTGGGTATTCCGGAAATTTGGTGATCGCCCTTATTAAACGTGCTGCGTCGTGGAGTTGGGGTTGTAATGTCTTCATTCTCATCAATATAACCCATGTTGACTGAATGGCTATAATTACTCAGAGATGAGCGGGGCCGTCGGCCCTCCGTTGTTGGGTTGGTGGAATAATGACCAAGTGGTGTTCGTGAACCTGTGAAACTTTGTCGGCTTTCCGAGCGAGGTTGTAGGATTGAGCTTGCAGCAACGGGTAATTGGCTGGTTGAACTGCGGCTGGAGACACTGGCTCTACTGCTGGGTCTGCTTTCACTCTGGCCGGTTCGACTTGGTGTCCCTTGGTTGAGACCGAATGAACTTCTTCCATGAGGAACGTAGGAGGATGTAGATTCGCCGTCACGAGAGCTGGCAACACTTCCGCTCGTCCGTTTTCTTGAAGATCTTCTGATAGTCACTGAAGATGGAATATAATTCTGACCTAAGGTTGAGTTCGTTCGGGGCGAGATCTTTGGAGGGGTCTCGGTGGGTGCAGGAAGCCTTGACCTTGCCGACTGTACTCGCTCCTCAAGTTTCTGCATCTTGCCGATGAGTCCTCGAATTTGATACAGAGAACCAGACCTTGGAAGTCCTGGTGGTTGATGTGTAAGGTGTGACCGCGTTACAGAGCGACGAGAGGTGACGGAAGGAGTTGAGGTGCCATTGCTAGTGGGTATAGAGGGGCCCCGAGAGTGCTTTGTCCTGGACGATGGATATGACGGCCTCGATGATTCCGAAACAGAGACTCGGGGTCGTGGCATAGAAGGAGTGGTGGTTGATTTCCCAAGACCATATGACGATTCAGAGAATGGCGGTGAAGGCGGCGTCTGAGTATCAGATGCAACGGATGAAACAGACTTTGTAGGTGGGGTCGCAATGGTCGGTGAGGAGGATGTGGTAGCAGGGGAGTGTTCAGAAATCTCGGGAGTATGGGGCACAGGAAGGCCCGGGGTCAGAGGCGTGAGGTTGTTCTTCTGTCTAAGCAAAAGCTCCGCTTTCCGAAGCTTCTCCTGGGTAATGTGCGCTTCAATTTTGAGATCTGACAACTCGTCCCGGAGACGCTGATTTTCAATACGCAAGTTTTCCCGTTCTTGTTCTCCATTTTTGATTTCTTCCTCGAGCAGAACACCTCGTTCTATGGACACATTGTACTTTGATTCTAGATCCTCCAAAGACGACGTTGTGTTGCGCGCTTGACGTTCAAAATCATCGTTGGCCACCTCGATATCCCTGAGCTTTAGCTGTAAAGTTCGATTCCCATCTCGTAGCGTCGTAATCTCCTTTTGAAGGGCACTCTGCGCAGAATTCGCTTCTGTTTTGGCTTGTTTGTACTTCGCCTATATAAAAGTTAGCGACAACCCGTAAGTTCCCCGCTGACATACATCAAAGAGACCATCCATGCACTTGCCTTCCATTCCTCTACTTCATATCCCGCACTTTCTAACTTTTCCTTCAACTTCCTCTCTCTCCTCTCTGAAGCCTCGATATCCTTCTCAAGTTCAGTCTCTAGCTCCCTACTGGAGGACTGGAAGTCCGCCAGTTCAGCTTCGAGCTGTTCGTACTGTTTTTTGTAATAGGCAATAGCATCTTGAGCGGATGTGGAAGCATTTGGTGGTGAGGATGGAGGTTCATCAGGCAAAGGCATCCTCGTTGCCTAACAGAGTCCCTCAATACTGAAGCGCAGACGTTGCTGAATGCTGAATGCTGAATGCTGCAGTCCGACAGATATTGAATGCGCAAAATGTGATAGAGAGAAAAAAGAGGTCGCTTAGATTCACGGGACTAGATCTCGATAATTGCAAGACCACTCTCGTGTAGAGGACCTGGGTCAATATGCGCCAGTACCAAGGGGGAGGGGTCCAGAAACAGATTGCAACCAAGATATCGGGTTGGATAAACCTCGAGTCTCCGGGTTGTTGTAGCGAAAGGCGCGTAAAGAGATAGATAGGATATAACTTACCTTTGGGGTTTACCGAAACCCCGTCGAATGTCGTCGTCGTAGCCGACTACGGTGATCGATGTCGCTGGTGGCCGGTAGATGATGTCGTCGTCTACCTACCATGGACGGACGGCAGGAGGTGTTGATTGTTTGCACCCCGTGATTACATAACCTGTCTCAGGGATCCATGACAACGTGCGCTAGTCCATAAATAGCAGATCCCTGGCAGACAACCCGTTTCACGCTAGTCCAGACCGGGCATGTGAACTCCACCACGTGACTCTTTCCGGGTGGTGTTGCGCGCAAAATCGTGACGTGCACATATCAGACTCCTCCGCAGCAAACGCAACACCTCCACGCCACTGCATCTCCCGCGCCCACGGTACTATCCAGGTGAGTTTGTTAGCTATCTCGTGTTTCTTATTTATTTATTATGTCCGGGATCTGGGCATGGTACTCCCATTACCTCCTGCACCCATTCCAAGCCGGTGCAGTTTGTCTCCCCAGCCTCTACAGTATGCCCACGCACACTGCTCCTCAGGTGCTCTTCTATCTATATCTTTGCTGCCACGCACTTGGTTCCACTGTCTGTTTACCTCGATTGCGCTCTTGCTATCCCTTCGGAAATCTTACTAACGCCGCGTGGACGGCAGTTGCCTTAGGGGTTTCGCCAGATCTGGATATCATGGCCGATTCATCAGACTTAAATCTCGACGCTCCCAGCGACCTTCAGGATCTTCCTGATTTGTCGATGGAGCTTATCCCCCCCCAGGAAGGGACTTATCCTGATAGAGCCTCTTTGCTAGCCGCTGTGCAGGCACACGGTAAAGCCCATGGCTATAACATTGTTGTCAAATCATCCAGTACACCTACAGAGAAAAAGCCAGGCAGAGTCGCAAAGGTGTGGCTGCGATGCGATCGCGGTGGCCAGTACAGACCCAGAAATGGGCTCACTGAAGAAACGCGGAAACGGAGGCGGACTTCGCGGCTCATGGACTGCCCCTTCATGCTTGTCGCTGCTGGACATCCAGGTATCTGGACGCTGACAGTTTTAAACCCGTCGCATAATCACGGCCCGATAGTGGAAAAGCCCCGACAGAATCCTCACCCTAAAGCCAAGAAGGGCCAGGTCACGGCCACTCCCTATGACTGGCCTCATGATGCATCATTTACTCCATTTACAACTGCGCTTGTGCTCATTGATATGCAACGTGATTGTAAGCCTCATAATTGTTTTAAGTACTTCCATACATGGATCAATAATCTGACTGCAATATCACATGCAGTTTGTTCTCCAGGCGGATATATGGCGTACCAGGGGTACGATATTACGCCAGCACAGCTCCTTATTCCCAAGTTACAACGATTACTCGATGCATTCCGTTCGGCTGGTTTTCCTGTGTACCATACCCGTGAAGGTAGTTATATATATTTCTTCGTCAATAGCCTTTTAATATATACTATAGCCTGCTAACCAAGTATATCAGGACATCGTTCTGACCTCTCCAGTGTATCAAATCGGGAAAGCTTCCGCTCAAAAAACAACCCGTCCGGTATGGGTATAGGCTCAGATGGGCCTCTTGGTCGACTCCTCATCCGCGGTGAGCCAGGACATGACATCATCCCGGAACTATACCCGACCATGGGCGAACCCATTATCGACAAACCAGGCAAGGGGGCGTTCACATACACTGATTTTGAACTCCTGCTGCGGAATAAGGGTATTAAAAACCTTGTGCTCGCAGGCGTTACTACGGACGGTTGTGTTTCCACTACCATGAGAGAGGCAAATGATAGGGGCTTCGACTGTATCTTGCTCGAGGATGGCACGTCTGCGGCTGATCCCTCACTCCATATGAGCACGGTTGAGTCCGTGAAGATGGAAGGGGGTGTTTTTGGAGCGACTGCTAAGCTCGACGATATGATACAAGCAGTCGAGAACTTCAAAGCGGTAACCGTGAAAAAGCTTGCGCCGCAAATGTCAAATGTTGCCACATGAAAGCGAAAAGAAACAAAACTCGTAAACAACTTCATGGTGTAAATTATAAACTTTGAAACTCCGCCTGCGACTTTAGCGTGTACTTGGAGACCGGAGTTATTAAGGCGCCAACCCGTTCCTACCTTTTCATTCCTTCTATTCTTGCTTCTTTTTGCGGAGGGGATAATTTGTTTCTTGTTGGATAGTTACGTCGTTTTCGGGATATTCGGAATATGGTCTTTCTTGATGTTTCCAGCCTTTTGTTTTATGAAGTTAGATTCTCCTACTTGTGTGTACGTTATGTGGAAGCCGTCTCTATTATCATTTCCCTGAACTATTCTATTGCAACTCTCCCCCTTATGTTTCTGGATTCTATCCTCTCTGTCCCCCTGCCTGCCTTGGCTTGGTTGAAGCCGTTGTTTGGCTTATCACATCCTAAGCAGTTGCACACGGCTCGAGGGCTTAAGTGACCCCTCTATGGTCAAATTAGTTATTCCGCCAACAAGAATTGGCTGATTTGGTGAAACAGGAAATATATATATATATATATGAACACTAGATAACTTGGGTATCATAACGCAACTCTCGCGTAACACCAAACATGCGCTACCTTTCTCACGCTTTCCTGGATGATAGATACTGTTCTATATTTTTCTCCTCCCACTTATGCAAAACAAAACTCCTGAACACCAACCCACACAATCCCAAACAGGATGCAAGGTCAAGCTCCAAAAACACAAGTAACTCCCAACACCTTCCCAAACAAAACGGGAAAAAATAGGAAAAACAGGAAAAGGCATAGAAAAGTCAATCACAACCACTTCCTTCCCGCCGCCGCCACCCTCCCCCTAAAAACCGGGCTCGTAATTTCCATTCCTTGCCGGTAAAACGGACTCATCACCGTCTTCACCCAGTTCTCATACACTTCATTCATAAATTGCCGGATGGCCTCCTCCGTCTGCGGTGAGGTGGGGTTATTAGCTATAGACGAAGATGAGGTGCGCGAGGACGTCGTGGAGACTGCGGAAGCGGAGAGTGGGCTAGATGTGGCGCCTCCTGCTGTCGAGGATGAGGGGGGTTGCGGGGGTTGGTGGAGGAGCAGGAAGCGGGAGCCTGAGCCGGTGAGGAAGGCGGAGACGTAGGCGGAGGTTGGGGGGTAGGTGTCGATGTGCTTTAGGTACCTGCGATAGAGGGAAGCGGGTGGCGCGTTAGGTTAGTTGTTTTTCCTTCATGCCCGGGACGGGGGTTGGGTGGGGGAAGATGTAGGAGGATTGCGATATGCGATTTTGAGCCGGAGGTGCTTTTATGTTGTAGGATGTTTGAAACTTACATAGCACCGTTGGACCATTGGAGCTCCTCGACAATGTCTAGACTAGCGTGGACTATAAATTGGTTCATGTATGGCGCATTGTCTGGGAACCGGAAGCGGGCGACACCATCTCCGCCCGCCTTGGAAGTGCCGAAGGAGTGGCTGAAGAGAGGGGCGTCGGTGGGGGAGAGGATTGTAAAGTAATATGACATGACTTAACGGCTTTACTGTTCGGATTTCTGGCGTATGGGGTGCGGGAGCAGGAAGTATCTACCGTCCAGAGTAAGCGGGGAGAAGAGCGGAGTCCGAAGCAAAAGGCGGAGGATTGGGGCTCAAGTCATGTGATCTGGGGGGATCTTCCACTTACAACAAACAATATTCACATAACAGGACTGAGAGTTCTTCCATTACTCAAATAGATAGATTTTCTATCTGAGGACATGTTAATTTAATCTTATGTCCATCCGATCGTCTTCACAATGTCACGCCCAACCCTCTCCTACGGCCTCAACCTCCCAAACAAGAAGCGTCAAGGACTCCCGCTCCCCAACACCAACAACCCGCAGAAGCGCAAGAGGACGATCTTCGACTCAGATTCCGAAGACGACAGCGCTCAAAAAGAAGGCGATGGCTCCGTAGAAATCTCCACCATAGGCGGTCTTGACGACGACGACCACAACAACAGCACCACCACCAGAAACACTGACGACGAAGGCAGGCATTCCTCAAAAAAGCCCGCCACCTCCAAGCTGAAAAACCCACCTCCCCAAACAAACCACTACACAAACCTCTCCAGCCTCCACAGCAGCAGAAAACACGCCCAAACCGCCGAGGCCCTCGACTCATCCATCTATGACTACGATGCCGTCTACGACTCCCTCCACGCCAAACCTCCATCCACCTCCTCGTCTGCCGCCGCCAACGAAGCCTCAACACCCAAATACATGACTGCCCTCCTCCGCAGTGCAGAGATTCGCAAGCGCGACCAATTGCGCGCGCGCGATAAACAACTCCAGCGCGAACGCGAGGCAGAAGGCGAGGAGTATGCTGATAAGGAAAAGTTTGTGACCGCGGCGTACAAGGCGCAGCAGGAGGAGGCGCGGAGGATAGAGGCGGAGGAGGCGGAGAGGGAGAGGGAGGAAGAGGAGAGGCGGAAGAAGGGGGGTGGGATGGTGGGATTCTATAAGAGTATGCTTGAGCGCGGCGCAAAGCGGCATGAGGAGGTGGTTAGGGCGGCGGAGGAAGCTGTGCGGAGTCGTCCGGCGGAGGACGGGGTGGATAAGGCGAAATTGCAGGAAGAGAAGGAAGAAATGGAAGCGGGCGAGAAGAGCGAGGCACAGATTGCTGCGGAGTTGAATGCGCGCGGCGCGAATATTATTCTTAATGACGAGGGGCAGGTTGTTGATAAGCGACAGCTGCTTACGGCTGGGTTGAACGTCGCGCAGAAACCTAGTAAAGCGAAGGCGGCGCCCGCTGCGGGGGCGGAGAAGGCGGCTGGTTCCGCTGGGTGGGGTGGAGAGGCGAGATGGAGGGGTGTGGATGTTGCTGGTTCTGGTCGTGCGGCCCAGCGGGCGCGGCAGACGGAGATGCTGGCGGCACAGTTAGAGGAGAGGATGCGGAAGGAAGAGGAGGAGAAGGAGGCGAAGGCTAAGGAGTTGGCGGCGAAGATTAAGAGTTCGAAGACGGCGAGTGATGTACAGAGTGCGCGGGAACGGTATCTTGCGAGAAAGAGGGAGAAGGAGCAGCTGGCGGAGAAAGAGAAAAAGGAGTCGTAGAAGAAATAGATTGGTGTTTTGGTGGATGGGAGTATTGGGAGTATTGGGGATTCGTTTCTTGTTCATTAATGGCAGCGAGATTGGGATTCCGCGTTTGCTATGTACACATATATGGCACTTTTTAAAACTGGCCGTATCATTAACGGCGGCCACTGGAAAACGGCTGGGTTCATTTCTCACTACTGAGTCTTAACATGATGCATATTGTGATTATCCATTTAGAGATATATAAACTATATCCTAGCTAATCTAATCTAATCTATCCAACTCCATGCATCCTTATTTGAGAACAGAAAACCCGAAGGAAAGTTTCGACAGGAAGAACGAAAATATATAAATATAAAGATAAGGAGCACAAAAGCGCCGCTGGACGTAATCTGAGAATGCCTGCTCACCAAGTGCAGAAAATTGGACGTGTCTCATTAACCCCATGACCCAAAAATGCTAGAGAAGAATGGTACCATGTTTTGTCCGTCAAGTTGACGATATATCGCATGTAGAGCATCGTAAATAAACAACAAAAGAAAATCATGAATCACATCCCACATCGTGAAGAACGTTATCCCTTGCCCATGCACTATCCTTCGTCTTCATCCTCCTCATTCGGTTAACGCGAAACTGAAGCCCAAGATACCCATCCCCAAAAAAGCAAATGCGATGCAGAGCGATCTATTATGCGACAACACCAACCCTTCAGAAAAGAGTTGTAGGGAAACACTCGTCATCACGCCAGCTGTTGAGGCAAACATGCCCCCGTAAACAGCCCAGGACAGGTTGTCAGTATCATCAACAACACCGTTGCTGGCACCACCACCCTTGGCTATTCCCGCGCCCCATATCCATAAGGCCGCGAGTCCGGCGCCGGCCGGTTGGCTCACACCGCCTAGCAAGCTGGACCAGAGCATAGCTTTCAATTTCGAATGGAGGGCTAGGTAGAGAGGGAGTGCCATTGCGAATCCCTCTGTGATGTTGTGGATGGAAAGCGCCATGAAGACTGAGAATCCTAGGGTCGGACTTGCGTGGTTTGTTGCGTAGGTGATGAAGCCCTCAGGCAGTTTGTGGAGGGCAATCGCTAGTGACGTTTGGAGGCCGATGGCTAGGAACGCGTTTTGCGGGACGTGGTGATGGTGGGTAAATGAATCTGAAGAGTGGGGTGGTAGAAGGTCCTGGTCGTCAATGTAGCCGCCGAGGTCATGGATTCCAAGGGATGCATTTCCGTCTCTTGACACAGCTCTTGACTGATTGATGTCTGATACGGAGCGTGAGAGAGGTTCGGCATTGTGAATACCACCACCCGCTGCTTCAAGGGTTTGCGGGCTTATAATGTTATCCCGGGATACCATATGTTTCGCTCTCCTCTGAGCTACAACTTTAGTGCATTCCTTTCCACATACGTGAGAGATACCATAGCAGGGGCCGTCCTGGTCACAGAAAGGTTTGTCCCCGCGGACAAGAGAGCTGATTTGAAGTTTTAGGCGGGAAGTGAGCGGTAATTTTGAGGCCGGGACAAATGTTTTTACAGCCTGAGTATTGTGGGTAGAAGGCTGGGCGGACGGGACTCCAGATAGGGCGTCGCGGGGCAACAATGACGTACGTTCAGTTGCAGCGGTGGTCGGTGATTTCAGCGCAGGATTGGACTCAGCATGGAAATGGTGATGATGTTCTTCGATACTCGCATTTCCCGTCTCCTGTCCGTTTAGAATGTGTTCATGCGTGTGCATACAGTCAACCACGTGGGATGGGATATGATGATGGATGAAGGAAGAAACGAGCTGTATGATAACCACCCCAGCCAAGAAGAGTCCGATTAATGCGGATGTAGCTGCGCTAGAAGAGAATCCAGCTTTAATAAAGTAGTCTTTTGATGTTGGCAACATGCTGTAGAGGGAGGTGAAAAGCTATCATGGCTTGTCAGCAGCAGTCGGAGAAAACAGCTTTTGACTCTTGCGACTACTCACCAAGACTCCTGCACTCAAACTCAGCGAAGAGGACAGAAATCCAATACTATCGGCGATCTTGAAGTTCTTAAACCCAAAGCAGTTCCTCGCAATGACATCCACAAAGATAATACTTGCCCCCAGCATGCAAGCTAAGCAGCCCTGGTTAGCAACTATGGACAGCAGCCGGGAAGGGTAAAATTCGACAGAAACCTACCAATACCACTGACGCAGCTCATAATCCATCCCCGGGCATCATTATCCAAGCCCATGCTGAGAGTACGAGTAGGAAAATTTTAGAAACCACGTCAACTGACCGCTACACACTTCAACGACCCAGGCCCGCAGGACGATATAGAATTGAACAGAGAGAGTCAAGTCATGGGCTGAAGAATTGAAACGAGGTGTGATAAATGCCAAAAAAGAGCGTCGTAGCGAGCAGTATAGATAGAGATTATATGCCCATGCAGCAGGATGTGTCCAGTGTGTGTATATCAGAAGAAGTTCAGTGTCGTGGATGTGATAGATACGAGGTGCGGATTTTTGAGCCGCTTTCCTTCGGCGGATGATTTCATCGCTGGCCGGCAAAGACTACGGATCAAGGCCCGAAATGGCTTAGCGTTTCCTCCAAGGTACTTTGTTTATTGCTGTGGCGGAGGTACCTTTGTTTAGTCAGCGTGATTGACGCCGACTTTGGGCTGTCAGCGGCAAACGCCGGTTCATGATTGGCTCGAGCTCATTTGGATATCTCTGATTGGTTTATGTAATCTTCCCGCGGCTGTCGCTTACTAAGTTACCTGTAGTGAATTGAATTTTGAGATCTCGCCAGACAGGAGATATACGTGACACCTACAAACTACTTCGTTTTACCAGCTGAGCTTGAGGAGGAGGCTGACTCGCTTTTGGTTGTTGTGCAACTGCTCTCGCTATCCATTTTGTCACTCATTTATATCTCACAGCTGGACAGGGGAAGAATAGAACACACATCATGTCCAAGGCGACCTTCGCTATCATCGCAGCTGCTGGCGCAGCTACCGGAGCTGGTATCACTGCCTTCATATACTCCTCCAAGAGCCGCCAGCAGCAGTTAGGCTCCCATACTCGTCTTCCACCACCGACAACAACAACCACTACCACTACCACTACCACAACAATCCCAGCTCCACAACCTCAAGCCGCTGTCCTCACACCGTCCCGCGCTACAACATCCCTAGTCGACCCGGCCGGCCTATTCCAGTATGGGTTCCCCGGCCCAGTCTCAGACGCAGTAACCAGCCTCCCACTCGCCAGCGCCTTCGACCGACGAACCCGTAATCCCTCCTGGGTCGCCGAACACATCACCGCCGAATCTCTCGCGCAAAACAACGCAGACCGCAAACAGAGCACCTTCTACGAAGAGGAGACCATCCCACCAACCTTCCGCGCCCGTCTGAACGACTACTTCCGCTCCGGCTATGACCGCGGCCATCAAGTGCCCGCCGCAGATGCCAAGTGGAGCCAGGACGCCATGGACGCTACCTTCTCCCTAGCGAATATGTGCCCGCAGGTCGGCGAGGGGTTCAATCGCGACTACTGGTCGCATTTCGAGGATTTCTGCCGTCGGCTGACGAAGAAGTATCCTTCTGTGCGAATCGTTACGGGGCCCCTGTATCTACCCAAGCGCGATCCGGCCGATGGGAAGTGGAAGGTTACATATGAGGTTATCGGGAACCCGCCAAACGTCGCGGTGCCCACGCACTTTTACAAGGTTATCTTTGCGGAGGATGGAGCTCAGGGCGGAATGGTCAGTTTGGGTGCTTTCGTCCTGCCCAATGCTCGCATTCCCAATGAGAAAAGTCTGTCGGAATTTGAGGTCCCGTTGGAAGCCGTGGAGAGAGCTAGTGGTTTGGAGTTTGCATCGCAGCTTCCTGCGGATCGGAGGAAAAAGCTGTGCCAGGAGGTTAAGTGTGAGATCCTTGTTAGGCAATTTGCCAAGAACAGCAATAATAAAGCGATCCGCTCTCCTTGAGTGAATGTATAACTCTTTTTTTCCATTTCTGGGATTTCATTCAGAGAGGGTATTTGTACGATGAGACGGAATTTAATATAGAGCGCTATTTCCCAAGGTTTTCGAGCATTCCGTTTTTCGGGGTTATTTCTTGCAGCTTTTGAGCTGTATACATACGAATGAATGTTATTGTAAAAATCAAGAAATGCTGCGTTCTCCATATATCCGACCAACCAGCCAACAACTTGTGGATACGTATAAAATACGTATTGAGAACCAACTTCAAAGAAGCAGAGGAGCAATATATGTTAGCACTGGAAGGCCGTGCCGGCCTTCTTCGCCATGTTCTCGCCTCCACCAGCAAATCCCGTCCCTTCACTATTAATCGTGACCAAGCCAGGACGGACCTTGTCCTTGTCTTTATTCTTCTTTCCTTCCTTTGGCTCCTTGCTTCTCTTCCGCTCCGTAACATCTGTCTCGCACACATAGCAAAGTATCCTGCCATGCGTTTCCTTGTCCTTCGCATCAGTAGCATGCGGATCAGGATTTTCATGTGGCGTCATGAATTTGTCCACGCATGGTTTGCATATTACATGCCCACATGGTTTTGTTACTTTTTTGTTATTTTAACTTCCGATTAGTGGAATTCGAATGTGATATAGATGTGCATGAAGTGTACGTGTTCTGCAGGCGTCAAAACATAAGGGGTGGGTGAGCAACCTACATATGGACTTCACACCATTGCTTAGCACCTTTTTGCAGCTTGGGCATATTCGTATCGTTTCACCGGATTGCTTATCTTTGTCTTCGGTGAAGTTGACAGTAACAAGATTTTTCAACGAGTAATTGTGCTTGTTGTCAGGAGTGGAGGCGGGACATAAGGGAGCCAGCTTAACTGGCGTGACGGTGTGTAGATCGTTCGAGGTGGAGGGAGTAAGAGAAGGAACCCAAAATGAAGGAAGCTGGGATTTTGACGATTCACTCTAATGAAGTCAAAGATAATCTGTTAGCAATAACCGCAAAAGCGTCGTCCGTATATTTTAAAGAACCCTCCAGGACAGGAGATGGGAATTTTTCTCACCCGCTCTCTCTCAATTTCCTTCCGAATTTTCTCCCGCTCCTCCTGCGCAATACTCCTCATGGTCTTTTCATCCAGCTCAAACCCCTTCCTCCTCTTTCTCGCCAGCTCCCCATTAGAAATTCTATCCCCCCCACTCCAACTACCACCCCTATCCCTATCTATATCGAGCTTCCTCTTCCGCTCCTCCAAGCCCATGCTAACCATTTCGAATTCTCTTAATTCACGCTCACGCGCCTCCTCCGCTAACCGGCCCTCACCTTCCTCTTTATCCCGCTCCGCCAACTCCCGCTCTCGCTCTAAGCGTTTGATCTCCTTGCGTTGGGCGAGGAGATCGTTCACGGCGCATTCGCGGCAGAAGATATCTCCGTTCGTAGCACAGGCCACAACGGGGGTGCGGGCGGGGACAAGACATAGTCGGCATGATGAGAAGGGGAGGAATGATTCTCGGGAAAGACGGGTGCGCTGGGTTCCCCAGGTGGAGCGAAGGAGTGAGCGTTCGTAGGCGGTGAAGTGTGGGAGGGAGGTGTTACGCTTGGAATGCGCCATGGTTGGGACCGGGGGGAATTATCGCTGGTTTAAGGGATGTGCAGTTCTGATGGAGAGTATACTTGTGGTTAGAAGCTTGGGAAGGGTAGTTAGTATTGTAATGGACTGAAGCTAGGTAGTCTCAATGAGGGAGAGCTACAAAATTGCAACCTTGTTGTATTCATTGATAGCAAGGGTCCGAGAAGTTCGCGGAGCTCGCAGAATGACTAAGCTGGGCTATTATTTAGTTAAGTTTTCTTGGATTAGTTTTAGCTCCATAACACGTTGACCCCCGATGTTGAGAATAATTAATTGCAACTTTGCAAAGAACTGATTACAAAAAGCTCCTTGTGAAAAATGTTTGTCTTCTCTACTACAGAAAGATCCCGTTTCTTTAGATGTTCTTGTCAGCTTCGTCTATACTGTCCCGCCACCCAAGAGCGCTCTCGTGTAAGAATTCTAGGGTAGTTTGAATAATCTTCGCCACTTTTACTTCACTATTGCTTGGACACGAAGAGGTTCTTGAAATATGTACAGTACATATATTTTGATTGCTCTTGATTCCCTAAAATTTAATTCTTTTTTTGCTCGAAGTTGTCTTTACTATATTGCGATATAGGAACGGATTTTCATAATATTCTATGGTTGAAAACCTATTGTTGATCTACTAGATAGTTCGCATCTTCCAGGATGTCACAAACAGGCGACACTACTAGCTACTACCACTACTAGTTATATAGCAGGCAGCTATATTTGGACAAACTGTCGTTTCATAGATTTACTTGTGGATAGAGCCATAGCATGTATATCACACAGCGCCACAGGGCACTGGGATGTTGGCATCGGATTTGCCCTCCAAAGACCAGCTATGTCACTGGACAAACTACCCGGGGTATTTTTTAACCCCACGAGGGATTTCCATCCATCAACATACTCAGCTGTAGGGATTTTACTTTCATTGCAGATTGAAGGGTTCTGTTCGCCGTGAAAGTCAGTCCTTTTGGTTGGCATCCCGACGGCTGAGTCGGACACGCCAAGACGTGGACCGGCGGAAGGACGGGATAGGAGTATGGAATCTACATCCATCCATCCATATATAGTAGTAGTGCTGACGTCGCTGGGGAGCGGGAGACGTGTGAACCTCGACTTCGCCATTGTCCCGCACGGTATTACTCACTACATTGTCTCTATCTCTTCAGCAAACAATGTGCACTGGTGGACTCACATCGGAATTAGTTAGCCCCCATTTCATGGAATCATGGAATGCCGCCGCTACGGATACAGGCCTTCACGACGATGGATCTACCTGGCTACCCTCGTTTTTAGCGTCCTAGGAGGCGGCTATCTGTTCTTGCGGACGCATGGCGCTACACATTATCAAGAACTGAAACTCATCGCGCCGTTTAATTTTCTTTTCCCTTCCCCTCCGGAACACGCCGAATGCCCCTCGATTCGGGGTCTAGATGACATCCACGTCATCCTGAAGACCGGCGCGACTGAGGCCCTGGCGAAACTTCCGGTCCACCCCAACACCACCTTACGGTGTATCCCTCACTTTACTATATTTTCCGACTACGAAGAGGAGATCTCCGGGCTCCATATCTATGATGTGCTCCGTGGGGTTAATGACACGATGAAAAACACGCGTCCCGAATTCAAACTATATACTAGCCTACAAGAGTCAGGGAGGGAGGTCCTATCGACGTGGAATGTGACAGACGATGAGAGCACCCCTCGCGGAAAGCCGAACAATCCAGGCTGGGTCTTGGACAAATGGAAGTTCCTCCCCATGATGCACGAGACACTCCAAGTCCGCGCAGACGCCAATTGGTATGTCTTCATGGAGGCTGACACGTACATCATCTGGCCGAACTTACTCGCGTGGCTGCGCCAATTCGACGCGGATAAACCGTATTACCTAGGCTGTCCGGTGCAGCTTTACAACAACGTTTTCGCTCACGGAGGATCGGGATTCGTTCTCTCCCGCGCGGCGCTGAAACGCGTTACGGAATTCCACTCCACCCGCGTGGAGGAGTGGGATGAATTTACCGCTCGGGAATGGGCGGGTGACTACGTGCTGGGCAAGGCATTAATGGACGGAGGTATTGGCTTGCACTGGTCGTGGCCCATGTTGCAGGGCTCGACGCCATGGAGCTTGGACTATATGTCAAAAAGATATGACAATTTCCCCTGGTGCTACCCTCCGGTAACCTACCACCATATGACTCCAGATGATATTCGGGCGATTTGGGACTTTGAGAGGAATTGGCGCAGGGGGGTAAGTTTTCTTTCTTTTTCTTTTTCTTTTGATAGCAAGATCAATGAATATGTCTGTACGTATATAAATAACTTGGACTCTGATTGGTGGTTATTAAGAAGAATGGAAATACGCTCGTCCTGCATCGCGATGTTTTTCAACAACTCGTCCAGCCGGGGTTCCGCAAACGCGAGCAAGATTTGGATAATGAGTCGCCTGATATTGTCGAAAACGTGGGGAACGAAAAGGATTGTGCTCAACGCTGCGTCGACGATGTTAAATGCTTCCAATACTCCTACGAGCCGGGAAATTGCCGGACGTCGAAGTTGGCGAAGGTTGGTGTCAGGAAACCTGGGGTTGTTTCAGGCTGGATGGTCGAAAGGATCAATCAGGCGACGAAGAGCCTGGGTTCATGTGAAGAGATAAAATGGATTCGCCCATGAGAGATTATATAAAATCATGTGCCGGTATATTTTCCTATCGAGCGATCGTCGGGAAGCGCAGCATACTTAAAAATTAGGCCGACATAAAAAACAAAGGACCTGTATAATAAATATAATATAATGATAAAAAATTTAACGAAATGGCTGAGAAATGCCAGTCAGTCATCATATCTTGCAGACCAGGTCGTCCCAGCACCGAGGTTCTCCGTAATTTTAGAAGTGCTATAACTACTAGCTTTCAACATTGCAGAGTGAGGAGCGGAAGAAGTCAGATAGGTAAAGGAATCACCTATGGATATCCGTGACAGCACATCCAACCAGCATGAGGGGGGATAAGCGACGCAGCGGAGTAAATGGAAGGATGAATGTAAATAATGAGACTTTTAAGAATTCGGGGAGAAGCAAGAGAAACGCAAGCAGTGAGAGAAAGTAGAGATGCTCCGAAAGCTGGACTGACTTAAAGGCTCAAGCCAGGCCGAATCAAGCGTCCGCTTCAGCCCTTTGGCCATGCTTAAATATCTCCTTTTTAGGTCACCTCGCAGCCACAGGAACCTTGAAGAATCTCTCTCGCCCACTGTTGGTTGTTTTTTCAGACCATTCAACTCGGTGATAATATGATACCTTTGCAGATCACTCGTGTGCCCCGGACAGCCAACTAACGAGCTCGTGTCTTTTTTTAAAATCATCCGAATCGCGAATTGCTCCTTGCATCTCCCCGCTGTTCTTGTTTCAACCAAAACGGGGCATTCAAGATCAAAAACTTGGGGACACTACAAGTAGTTTGCAAAGCCATCCGGACTAAACATTACTCCATATGTGTGTGCAGATCTTTCACCCGTTTCTATCTTGTATGTACCCCAAGGCGAAGTGCTTGTGCAGGACGTCGTCCCCTCCAGCAAGCAGCCAGCTCAGAGGAGAGAGAGGGAAATGTGTCCTCCCCGTATAGCGTGTCCAACCAGTCTGGTCTCAAAGCTGAGTTGTCGTCATTTTCAGCTGGCGTTGACAAAAGCCAAGACTGTCAAGTGAGATGAGGCTTAGAATCTGGCGGGACTTTTATTTCTCCAGATACGGGCTTCAGCATATGTAACTTACTACACCTCTCTGACAACGGTGCAACAAACCAGCAAAGAACATCGCACTGTTTCTTCAGGCACGCTGCTGAGCCCCGGCCAAAAATACTTCACCCAGCCACCTGAGGGTTAAGCTTTGTCCGAAGTGCTTGTTTCTCCTTGTCATACCCCATGTTGGCTTTGCGAGCGTGAGAGCTTAGCAGCCTGTTTCGGAACACGAAGGTGATGAGCTCTGAGTGTTGTAGGTGGTAGATATGGCCCTTTCTGTTTATAGCAGCCATCTCTTCCTGGCTAGGGTTCGCTGCATGCTAAGCGTTGACTAAAATCCATCATGCAATGCCACGAGTCTATGGAGCAGCCCAAGCCAGGAGATACCGCAACGAGGATAATCTTCCATGGGATTAGTGCGATTCATGGAGGGAGCCTCAGGTAGAGGATAACCTGAAGAAGGCGCTTTCGATTCATGCAATGAAGATCACTTCAAGGCATAGTGTTATACGAGACCTTGGCCCGTTCTGTCCAAAGAAGTGAGAGAAACGTTACATTCTACGAACAGAGCGTTGTTCTCGCCTCTCTCTGTCCCTTGGTGTATGTCATTTCTGCCCAGCACTGCAACTGTCATCATGCCATCAAACCCACTGGTGATTATTTGCAGCTCAGGATACGATACTATGATATCGGCCAGCAAATCGAGACGCAATTCCATTGTACCATGGCTGCTCAGCATCATCGTATATGGGTTGGTGGCTATGGCAAAACATCCTTATGTCCTATTCGAGAGAGATTTAGATTCTCGACAGCAGACCCTCATCCTGAAGCTCAGCTGTCTTGCTCTCGTATGTTCCCTGCCGGCGGCAGAGGTCGATGAGATCGTGTCTGGTTCAGGGGAATCTCCGACGCAGTTTGCTAGGTATCCGACGGCTTCGCACTGCGGATATAGAGGAGGTTCGTATTTCAGATGCTGGAGATAGCATCAAGATGGCACTGCAGCTCGTATGGTGCACTCTCTCGACGGCTTCTGTGATATTTTTGGAAGGAAGACGGAAAACTTAAGGCTCGAAAAGATCATAAATACCCGCTGAAATCCCCCCTTTCGATCAGTTTTCTTTTCTCCATCATCAACAGCAACATCAACAAAGCCAAAAACCAAAAACCAAGAGCATTCAAACGAACAAACTCTATAAATCTTCCACAAAAACCCCCCTCTTTACACTTTTCCAATTTTTCCAACCCCAAATCCAAAAACCCCCAACCAAAATGCGCTTCTCCGCCGTCTTCGCCATCATCTCTGCCTTGAGCATGACTGCTCTTGCTATTCCCGCTCCCGCCCCTGAGGACCTGGACATTGCTGAGGCAACTGCCGACCTCGCTGCGCGTGATGCTCCAGTGGAAGCTATCCCCGACGACTTCGCCGGTGACGTTTCTGGTCTGGACGACGACGACGATGATGATGATGAGGATGAGAACTCCGCTGGTGCGCTTCAAAAGAGAGGCTGGGGCTGCAACATCTTTGGTGGAAATGACTACCGATGCCACAGGTGAGTTCACCCTTCCTTTTCTCCTGTGCTCCCCTAGGGAAAGATGGCAATAGCAGGGCTAATTTCTTGGTTTATCAGACACTGCAAGAGCATCAGCGGCTACAAGGGCGGTTATTGCAAGCTTGGCGGCATCTGCAAGTGCTACTAAGGTGTGCCCAGTACATCCCCCCCTTTACACTCGCAATGAAAGCAAAAGCAATAATTCTAATGTGATTGTAGCTGGTTTCGATACCACCAGCCCGCGCTCATGATGAACCACGCTGAGAGAAAACATGACCGGCTTCCAAAAGAAAATAAAGAATAATGGATAAGAACTACTACATCGGATAGATTTTTCTCCTTTTCCCTCTCTTGTCTCTCATAACAAGTATCTGCTTTCCTAACATTTCATCATGTTCTGCATAATTTGGCAGGGCAACGATTTCCTTTTTTCCTTTTCTTGATTTCCGGGTCTTTTTGTCATCCATATACACTCGTCTTCTCCGTCTTGTTTGCTTTTTTATGCGATCTCACACTCGAAATTTTCACTCATATTTTGGTTTGTACTGCACTCGTTAAGTATTTCATATGGCATTCTGTTCAGCTAGTGCCGGAGGAGGGGGCTGGTTGGGATGGCCTGGGCTCGAAAGCTTTCCCGATCAAGTTTTGTATGGCAAACCCAACTCGTCCATAACTGGACGGACATATTTCTTTTACAATGAAATTCCTTCACTCTTACCAGATCTTTGCATTCGTTTCTCAAAAAAATAAATAAATAAATCAAAAATCAAATTAAATTGGTAAAACTTGTAGGACAACACAGTCACAGAAGGAGTGAGTGGCACGGAAAACACCGTGGGCGAGGACAAGTAGCGAGACCGTTTTTGCAGGGAAATAACTAACGCCTAGGTAGGACCAACATAAATCTAAAATAATACGGCTCGTCACCGAATTCGATCCTGAGTTGCTAACAATAACGCTGAGCTGACACTCGCCAAGAGATCTACTAGCTAGCGGGGCCCAAGTGGGTCTGTGCTTTGCGAGTCGGCATGCCGATTTTCGGCAGAACTTCAAGCCGACCTCCGCTTGTCGATGTAGCTAACGCCGGCCCGAGGTTACAGAACACTTTGAACAAATCATATTATCATTATGTATGTCAAACTCATCAGCGCCCCGGAAATCAATTCTGATATGGGCAATGGAGGAGGGTGCATCTAGGAGGTAATCCTACATGGGTTACAGAGGACAAGGAAATGACATTTTTAGAAGCTCCCTTCAATTATTTTAGTTTCTTCCTGATTTCCTTTGCCCTTTCGAAAGATTTTTTTTACATTGTTCGCTCGAATCAAGAGGTTTCAATTGGATTGAAGAGCGTTTCTGCCAAGTGTTTTCAACAGTCTGTCTCTTCATCAAATTGTGTTATCAAAAATAAGAAAAAGACTTCGAGAGCAAAGTTGCCTTCTCCATATCAACTTTCCTAGTGTGTCTCAGCGTGTGGGGTTGTTATTTTCAAATCTATCACATCTTAATTAAGCTAACTGCCCAGCCCGCTAACTAGTGGTGATAAAGCAATCTCGAATTAGGCGGTTCATCCGTTACACTACTGCTATTGCTATTCTTCTCTTGCCCCAGATTTTTTTCATTCCGCGCCCTTAACGTTCTTTCAAACCCCATCGAGGAACAATCGATCAAGTTCAATCAAGTTGTTGATTCAACCTTGAGCCTTTTTCTGCTTTCTGTTCTCTCCCACTTTTCCATCCGCAGTGTTAACTCCGTCTGCAACTGCCTTGCCTTTGCCCTTCTTCTTATACTTGTGGCCGCGTTTATTTCTCCCCTTCTTGGGCTTCTCGTCGGAGCTACTTCCACGCCGGTGGCGAGATTTATCATGCTGTTTCTTTTCCAGCTCCAGTTCTTTCACCAGCTGGTCGATGTCTATTTTGGGGTCTAATTGGCGATCATTTCCGTCCTCAACCCCTATGGTTGTGCCCTTAGCCGCATCATCATATTCGGAAAGTTTAATATAATCCCCAAGGTCCTTTGCATTGAGCATGAACATGATCTCTGTATCCCGCTCTTTATTTTTCCGGATGACTTCTGTATCCGCTTTCGAGGACAATCCTCTCTTCGTACGTCCTGCACCCGCAATCTTCATTGGGTCTCTCTGCAATTCTGTAACACGCAAGTAATCCTTGCCCTGGACCCCCTGAATACTGAGAAAGGAATTCCGAGCTTTTGATAGGAACACCAGTGCTCTGCCAACATCAGAGTGCCAGACACAGACTTTTGCGCAATGTTCCAAAATCCGGGCGAAGCGATTATCAGTCAGGCCAATTGTGAGGTGTATGTCCAGAATCGTGTGGGCCACCTGCAAGATACCAGCCGGCTCATTATCGATGGCGTGTTCGAGGAATATGATTGGAAGCTTTAAGAATATAAGTTCCAGGCCTGCTTCAATCGCAGCGTCTTCTTTTTCACAGAGTTTGCAAGCACATTCGAACCCATATTCCTGCAACAGGAACTGCTGGCGACCCACTCTATCCAAATATAAACTTTCGTACGGGATAGTAATCTCCTCCCCTTCCTCTATGGTTCTACAGGCATATACAATCAAGAAGTTTCTCCTGTTCCCGGTCCCGTCGAATGTTAGTTCGGCCAACGAGTGCTGCGCATTAGGCAGGCAGGAATGGTTGAGGTATGCTGAATCCAACCCCAGGGCACGGCTTTTTGGCGGGACCGGAATAGATCCTCTCTCGAAAATGGCCCCCATCGGTCCCCATTCTTCTTTCGAGAGATGGGGGAGCTGGAAAAATCGGCGACTGAATGCCGGATTTTTAGCAGACTTTACTTGCTGCGCAAGGTGATTGTTGTACAGCCGGACGGAGCCTCCTGCAGACTGGAGTGTCGTGGAGGATACTATGACTTCCTCGCAAATGATACACTCCCCTTCCTCAAATCTCTTCTTCGCGACCAGTCCCAACCCCCTATTCCCGCAGGCTTGGTTCTCATATATCGGGGCCGGGGCATGCTTCGTCAACTTGGCTAGATTAAGCTGCATTTTGGCGTCGGGTTTTTTCTTGGTCTGCTCTTCGTTTCGGAGGCTCTCGTTAAGGTCAGTCTCCTTCCCAGAAAGCGCGCTAGGAGCTGCGTGATTGACTGCGCGTTTTGCTCCTCTTCAGGTTCTAAGATCACTCACACAAAGGCCCAATCGATGCTCGAAGCTCTAAGTCACCTTTGATCTGTAGGTCATTCCTGGACGCGTAGGAAGCGAAGCCGTACCAAGGCTCTCCTGCAAAACCGGAAAGGAAAGAAAGGAGAGGGATAACTGATATCATTAGAACTGATATGAAAGAAAGTAAAGAAGGAACATTGTGCTTTGTTTTGGTAGTGGAAGATTCCAATTGTAAGTTGTCGGTCAGCATTACATTTGTCACTATGTGGGAAGGTAAACAGAACTCTCATCAAAGCAGGACAAGCTGACAAGTTGTATATCATCATGCTCATTAGCACCTGATAGTGACAACATCTCTGATTTATGTACAGCAGAAATAATATCAGCTCTGACAACTGATTTTTAATGATTTATGTATTTATATAGAATTTGCTTGCGTTCCTTTGCCATGTGTGCATAGCTATCTGGCTTTTATTTGCTATGCTTTTATGTCCTGCCTACTCTGCAAGAGCACATAGGAAGGAGGAAGTAAGACGGATGAAGAGGTTCATTATATGATGATGCCATTAAAAAGAGATGATGCAGGAGAAAAAAAAAAAAAAAAAAAAAAAAACCCATTTCTGTAAACTGCTGCGCCTGAATAATCAATTCCCTGAGCCTTAACGCATTAACATTTTCCACCGGGAAATCAAGTACCAGCTTTCAAAAGTTAAAGGTGCACAGCACCTCTTTGCATACACAAGTGAACACTTTGAGAATGATGAGAAAAGAAATAAAAGGAGAAAGAACACACTTTGGATGACATATAACATGTGATCCACAGGCAACATAAAGGCTATGAAGTTATTCTACTAAAGAACTTCTCTAGAATACTACCTGTTCCAATTTCAAAGATAGCCCACAGATGATTGTATTTCGTCCCAATCGAAGCCGAAATTCATATTTGTATCAAGTTCTGGCAAACTGAACGATTGATGCTCTTCCTGTTGAAATACTGGTTCGGATATTTGCGGTACCGCTATGCCCGCTGGCGGATCAGCTTGTTGGGCATATGTATCGACGACCATTGTAGCAGGAGGTTTCAATATAGAACTTCTAGCTCTTTCTTTGATTGGAGTAGTAGAAGGCGTAGGCTGACCTAAGTTGGTATTAAAAGTTGTAGTCCCCCCGGGGTGTTGGACATTACTCAGGGTGAAACTCTGGCTCGAGAGGGCTCCATTCTGTGAATTATTGGTAGTGGTAGGTGATATCAGTGAGCCAACTGGGAAGTTGGTGGTAATATTATTGCAAGTAGAGCACCAAAGTTGTTGCTGTCCTAAACACGGGACTTGCTTCCTAAGGGCGTCTCTCTCAGTTGTAAGAGCCGCTATGGGAATTCTCTGTATTGCAGTCGTCGACTGCAGCTGTGCCATGAGTGCATTTTCATTGGGATTCTGTCGCAAATCACCAACGTAGTGGGGGTGCATAGTCGAAGACCCTGAACTGCATGGTGAAGGGTTGTATGTGGTTGCTGATCCTGAAGCATCTGTCCACTGTTGTTGGGGGAATCCCTCCGTGCGAGTATTCAACCGGGCCAATCGGGGTCCAGACGATGGTTCCCAATCTATACTACATTAGTACTCTTGCCAATAGTTTATTTCTGAATATCCGAATGAAGTTTTGTTGTACACTAGTTACATAAGGGAAAAACATAGTAAACCCATGAGAGAATTAGACTAACATGGAGATTGTGACATATCGACGCCTTTGAATCTCTCTCGCCACAAAGCGGCCCATTTATCTTCTTGAGAACAACGAAGCTTGACAGTGCAATTTTGAGCATGATTGGCTCGGAGTGTTTTATTTCTGAAGGTTCTATAACAATGCGGGCAAACATGCTCGCCATGAACTCGACAAAGGTGTCGACTACCGATCCCATTAGCACGGAACAATTGTAACGAGAGGTAAATATACGACAAAAAGTATTAAAAGGCTAACTCTGAGAAATTTTTCCACGTACGTGAGTTCTGAAATGAATTTGAAACTGGTCCCAGAACATAACAAATACTTTCGATGATGGTCTCCATGATACGTTTGTGGGTCGTACTTATGATAGACACACGCGAATTGGCGTCTAGTGCGTCCAGGATCCGCGCGTTTGAACCGTTTCCTTTTACGGTTGTTGCCGTCATCGTCTTCCTCTCGGGAGTTATTTTCGCTCTCGTCGCAATTCCCATGTCCCTCAGTCCCGCACCCATCTCCTCCATTCCCAAGGGCAGAAGACTGGAATGAGGAATCCCGTGTTCCGTCCCCTAGATAAGACCCTCCGTTTTCATTGTTCGAATAATTTGCGGTCTGTCGATGACTCTGATAGATACTGTTTTCCTGAAGAGGCAAGTCAAAGATTGGGCCCGGATCAGGAAGCTGAATTTCCGCGGAATCACCCTTCTGAAAGCCATGGAAAGCTAGAACCTCAGTGTTAGGAGTCATCGCCGTTACCTGGTACATGGGTGGCTGATCCACCAACGGCGACAGCTCCGTCAGCTGCTGGGGATCTCCTTCATTAAGCGAATGTTCATTGTCAAAATCAGTAGCCCCTTTCAAGGGCGGAGATGCACAACCGTCCACAGATGATATAGGAGAGAATTGGTATATTTGTGGTTCAACCTTCGAGCTTGTGTAGCTTTCTTGTGCCCCACACCGGAGGCCATTCTGATCGGATTCGGTGGCTTCAGGAACTGAGTACTGGGGAGCGACGGAGGCCACAGAGATCCTAGTCTGTTGCAACGGCGTTTGTGTTTGCCTTACATTGACGGGGCTGGTGTCGGCAAGTTCGTGAAGCGCACAAAATATGTCAACAGGCAACTCGGAAGAATGAGAATCACGAGATGACGACGCGGAATTGGGAGTATTCGGTGTGCGGAAGAAGGACTGCTGTGATGACGGAGACAAGCTCGAGGAGAAAAACGACACGCGAGATGAATTTCGATGGTTTGTTAGCCACTCTTTAGTCCTGGAAAATCTTCCTGGTTTGAGGACTGGCGTTGGTAGAATTTCCAATGAAATTTCTTCCTGATAAGATTGGCCGTTATGGAACCACTCATTGAAACCCGTAAAATCCACAGGACTCGGCCCCGAGAGTCTGCTTTCATCCCTTAGATGCACCATTTCTTTGACAGGACCGTAACCCTGCCACCCCTGAATAGTTACCTTCCGGACAAAAAATGGCTTTCTTCCTGATTCGCCAGCTAATTCAATTTCTCCCTTCGCGTCCGTATCAACGGATGGATCAAAATCGACAGTGGCGCGCATTTGTTGCCAGCGATCCCACCATCTCTTCAACGATTTTGAGAGAGATCTTGAGCGGCGAAACCTTTTCGCCTCTGATGCAACTTCTGCTCCCTGCTAAAGTCCGCTGATCAGCCTCAGTAACTATATCGCCAGCGAGGATAAAATAAAGAGTTTCAATTGCAGATGTTCGGCCTTGATCCACATCTGATATTCAGTATCTACCTTTAGCTCATATTTTGCCCAGTTCGGAAGAGTCTTTTCCAGGAGTGCAGGCTGCTTGCTAGTTTGCACTCGATGGATATTAAAACTGGAGGAAGTCCACCCCATGCTGGATATCCTTACGTTAGGCAAGTAAAATATATTCTGTGAGGTTAATTTTTAGGGAAAGTCTGAATCGTGCTTCAATAGCCCCTTCTTAAAAATTGCTGCAGAACACATTTTGAAGTCCGTACAGGCCCTTTTCATACCACCTCATTCCCCCCCCCCGCCTTGCACTGAATTTAGCATTTGTCCCAGGGCGCACATGGTGCGCGGGAGATCTTGACGATTTTTGCCAACGGTCAAGGCATTCTGCAAGTGTCAACGGATTTGGCCTAAAAGGCAACGACATTTGAACCGGAAACTAATATAGTTGGCCTTTGCGTGGGTAGTTATGAAGATAGTTCTGGGGTTGAGTGCCCCACCCGATGCCTCCCTGCAAAGGTGTAGTTAGAGCAAAGAGAGTTCCGACCTAAACACTCATGGCCGCCCTATATATCATCAAATCAGCAAGCTTGTTAATATTCCTAGAATCTGCCGCATTTCCATTCTGGGTTACATCGAAGAGAATGCGTTCTAAATGTCGGGGTAGCAGGTATGAACTTGCTGCAGGGAGCCAAAAACATCTTCCGCACAGGTTGCCAATGCTCGCCTACAGGCCAATCAGTGCATAGAGACGCCGCCTCATTGAAAAAACTACCATGCGCTTTTGCAACAGATCACCCAGCCAATTGCCAGGCAGATTTAAGCCGGGAGAACTGTGGCCTCAATATTCAACGAACTATGAGGCGGTTTGCCTGCAGCATAATGCGGGGCGGGACAGGGAGGCCAGTTACAACTCCATCCGGAAGAACCCAGAGACAGTTAAAGTTCCCATCTCTGTTCCCACCCATCTCGTCATTTCCCCTTACTTTCCTTGACCGCAAGGACAAGGCAAAGCTACAAGTGCGGCCTCGGTAAGCCTCAATCGTACGCATCAGCGTACACCCACGTACGTAACTCAGCCGCCCTACAAGGTCTGTAACTGTCGGGGTGAGAGAGGGGTTGACAGCATGATGAAAAAGAATTTCTCATATATTTTCTTTTTCTTGCTATTGGCATTTTCATTGAGATCCGCCGTGCAGCGCAGCCACCAACTGGTGACAACACGCGCCTATGTCGCGACTACGGTAACCGCACATATCAGCTTGGATAACTCTCAACTTGGTTGAACTCGTGCAAACCATCCATATCATTCCGCGCTTGCTTGGTTCGGTGTCCGATGACCCGAATTGTAGTTTTCCAGCTGATGTTTCTCCGTACCTGGTTCGTGTCGTCATTGGGCAATCAAGAGTAGTTTAGTTATATGAGATATTCCGCTGAGTAACGGCGATGAGGCGCCCAAGGCAGAACAGAAGCCTTGGCGTAGGCGGACGACAAAAGATTGCCTTCAAAAGTGAGGGTATTGGGCT